TCGTTGTCTAGCAAGCTATCCCTCTGCTTGTCCAGATAGGACTATCCTACCCACTAGAGCTTTGGCTGTCAGGGTTAACAGGAGTTGAGTGGAATGACTCCCTGCCCCCAGTAACTGGTTTGCCCTTCCAGGTCCTGTCGCTGTGCTGTCATCAGCAGTACCCTGGAATACTGCAGACCTGTCTGGTTCAGCAATATCACACTTCCTAGGCTTCATTCCCAAACTGAAATGATATTTGCATGATAATGTCTAATATTGTGGAACTAATTTTTCAAGTTTTATAACTGACCGAATATAATTCCAAAGAAATAATAGGAAATCTCACGACGCATCCATGTGAACTTATGTTCACAATGGATCCCTGGCCAGAATTAATAAAGAATTTCACTCCAAAAAGCTTCATTTATAGTAATTTCTTTGCTTTAAATATTATGAATTACAAAATTATTTTTTTCACTCTCATTTTTTCATCTCTTCTGACTTATGATATGATCAGTACAAAGGAGACTATATTGCTTGTGTTGGGAAGCTATGCCGTTTTTGGATATCCAAGTCAAACCCTGTCCTCACCAGTCATCCAAACATGGGCAGTTTCCATCAGGAGTCACTAGATAACCATCAGGAGTGGGAAAGCTGTCTGCTCCCACCCCTCTTCGAGTGTTGATGGCAATTGCAGTGATCCTATAACTGCGACAAGACAGTGAGCCGTCAACCGATTGAGACAAAGGGAGACAATGTGAGCGGGGAGAGTGTGTGTAGAAGAGGGAGATGAGTAATTGAGAAAGAGAGAGGCAAAGAGCGAGTGTGTCAGGTGACAGAGAGAGAGTGTGTGAGAGACTGTATGCGAGAGAGTAATTGAGAGGGAGAGAGTGTGCGCGAAAGAGGGTGCACGCTAGAGAGAGACGCACACACAAAGAGTGAGGGAGAGCAGAGAGGAGGTGAGGGCAGTGTTCCATGGTTCACTATCAGGACAGACAATCGGAGCCTCTCTCGGCCGCCGAGGTGGGCCTAAGGACAGACACCGAGTGACATGCCATGCAGTTTCCTCACAAAACAAATCCCTCTTTCCTCAGTGAGAAACTCCTCTACGTCCTTCATTCCCCCTCGCCACCTACTTTTGCGACATTTGTGGAGTCCTGTAGTTCAGTGGTTAGAGCACTCGCTTTGCAAGCGAGAGACCTGAGTTCAATTCCAGGCAGGGCGAAACCTTGGGCAAGTTTCCTTACTCCACACAGAGCCTAATAATAATCCCTCCAAAACCAATAATAAATTGGTCATTCTCAATCCACCACTGTTTGTGGGACATTGCTGTGCGCAATTGGCTGCCGCGTCCGCCCACGAATATACAGTCAATTCACTTTACAGTGTGTTCTGTGAAGCGCTTTGGGACGTCCTCCCGACGTGAAAAGCGCTATATCAAATGCAAGGATTAGTTAATATTAATCCTGACCTGGCCATCCCGATTGCCCAGCAAACAGCAGCTTCATGTCCCCCCGCAACCCATCTGCCTCACCACTGCCATTTTGCCCCCACTCTCCGGAGCTCCATTCCGGATTACCTCTGACTCCCTCCCTTCTTTCAAGGCACATCAAGACCTAATTCTTTCGGTCATCTTTTCCCCTCCCATCCCACATGTTTCACCTCTCACCCCCAGCTCAGGTGCCCAGCCAGAAATATCGAGCACTTTGAGACATCCTTCTGACGTGAAAAAGGCACTGCGTAAATGTTATGTTTCTTGAAAGGAAACACAAAAATATTGATTACATGGCCTGCACACGTTTCTCAAACAGGGCATACAGCCCTCGGCAGCCAAAAGGCTGGACCACCCTGGTCTAGATTATTGTAAATGAAGTTATAAAAGAGGTTACTTCAGAAGCAGCAAAATGCAACGTGCATTTCAAGGAACCGTGCAACAAACAATAGGAAATTTGTCACATTGTAAAATCTGTGCAAGATACTCAGCAAAGGCGAGGCACTTTTAGACTGCTAAAAACAACAAAATCAATCAATTGGAAACTACTCTTGCATATCTCGTAGAGAGCGATTAGTTGCCTTTGTGTTGGCTAGAGCATAACGTATTGAGTTCTAAAGGGAAGATACTTACAAAAAGAATAACTGCATTTTAATTAGAAGTTTGAAAAATGTAGACGATTTTCCAGATACAATTCTTCAAATACAACAGGAAACGGGCAATTAACCATTATTATTGCCACATTTTTATATTGTTCTTTAGTGAAAATTAATTATAATATCACAACTATCATTTTCTCCAGTTTCAGTGAGAACAATTGCCATTAAAGATCCAGTAATTTGTTTTTACAAAACTCTAAGGAAATTCACTCAACTGGCAACAAGTTACATATAGGCATTTTGTTTGGTTTAAAAAACTAAGTTTCAACCAAGATTTACAGATAGTGTTTTTTTAATTTAATACAATGTATTGAGTATAGTGCAAAAAAAACTTAAATGATTTAATTGATGTACAACCCACCATTACTTTCAAGTTAAATTTTCACAGGTGGAATCATTTAAATGTCTTTTGGGATTATATATCCCAATGTGCACAGCAGCATAGACTGGAACATCATCAGGATGCTAAAATTCCAGGAAAAGAAATAACTTGTATTTTCATTGCGCTTCATCATGTTGAAACATCTCAAAGTGCTTTGCAATAATTACTGTCAAAAGTGTACAGACTATGTTTCCAGACAAATGTGGCAGCCATTTTTGCAAACCATGGTGGCACAGAGAGCGATGAGGTGAAAAATCAACTTTCTCTTGATAGCTGTTGATCAGAATGCTGGTCCCTTTTCTTTTTGGAAGTGTAGAACATCTAATTGAACAGACAGATTGGGATCTGCATCTTTAATGTCTCCTCTGAAGATAGCAGCTCCAACACTGTCCTGGAGTTTCAGCATCCTGATGTGCAGCATGAACCCATAACTCTTTGACCAGGAAGTGAATGTATTAATATCAAAGCCAAAATGACACCTAAAAGAGAGTTCAAAAATATGGAGAATGTTTTCCTCTAATTAAACAGCACATTGATGCTTCTTGCTAATTTGTGTACATGGAATTCATTATGTACACTTTTTTTAAAAAAAGGAAGAAATGGTGCCTGAGATGGATCTAAAAGGTTAGATTTAATTGAAAGGTTCAGATGATATCATAAATCACAAAATCCAACTTAAAAATAACCAAAACATTCCACTTATTTAAAAAAACATTTCACGTATTTGTAACTTTTGTTTGCAGGAAGAAAGGGATTTCATTCACCTAGCAGGGGAGGTTATTCAGTTATGGGATGCAATATTATCTGCCATAACAGATAATTTGTATTATGCATTTGATGTGTGATAACTCCTTGTAATGTAATAGCCCAGTGTTGTTGAACCAGATTTGTACTAAGTCACATGTATGGCTCATGAACAACAGTGTGAGCCACACCAGTGGAAAAATGAAACAAGTCATAGAATTCCTCTGAAAAATTTATTTATAACCATATCATACTCTTTTTCAGCAAAGGCAACGCTAAGATTACCACAGACAGCAGAAAACCTCAAACATAAGCCAATATTATCAGTATAAAAATATAACACATCAGTGAGAGATTTGACAGGTTGCTTTTCTCAACCAATTTCTGAAAATTCGGTGGAAACGATTGCGCAACCTCACAGCACAATTCTGCTAACAAACTCTTGTTTGTCAAGAGAGATCTGTACTATATTTTCCTTTAATGAAAGTGATCGTAGAAAATGTTGATTCACAGATATATCGATCCAAACACTGAAAAGAGTTTTGCCGCGATTGTTTTTACTCAGACAAGTATTACATTAGATAATTATTTCAACTGAATATTGAAAAGCCTGACTAGAGAATTTTTTTTTACTGCATACATATAACGTGTTTAAATAGCCATCCACATGTCTCTATAAGCAAATTGCTAGCAGGAATTATCTGAGACATGTTTTCTGCTGAAGCTGAGGTGGCTATGAGTCAGAAGGATACCCTTCATGAGCCACATGTGGCACTTGGCTCTATAGCTCCACAACGCTGCAGTAGACAACTGAATATCTTCACTGATTGGGATTGGCCCCATTGTAGATATGAAAAGTGTGGATTTCAGGTGATCACGTGAAGTACAATGTACTATACTGTAACCATCTTTAATTCAAACAGAGCTGAAGTGACGATTGTAGAAATACTCATTCCTGTCAGCGTTTTACACATCAATCAAATAATAAAAGCAATCTAACAGAAAATGGCATACTTTGATACAAACAGTAGAAGTACAAAATGTTACAATAGAGATCTTGCTTCCCACCTTCAACAAAAAAATCTTCATTCTGTTGGCTTGGCCTGTAGGATATTATCCTCATCTTGTCAGGACCAGCATCCCACACACAAAGAGGACAGACACACAACGCACATTTAAGAGTATCTATCACAAACATCACTACAGTGGGTTGTGCAATGTCTGCGAAAGTAACAGACAACTCGTATTTTCTGGTTCCATATTTTCTTACGTAACAACCAATATGAGAAATACTGTGGCATCAGAGTTGGCAGCATAAACATACCGTCTGGGTACTTCAGAGTTCAAACATTCCCTGCTATTAAATAACCAATTACCATTTTGTCATATGAAGAGACAGCATCATATTGCACTACTCAAATGGCAAAATTCACCAAAACTCTGAGCTCCCCCTTGAGCAGGTTCGTAAAGTTTCATCACCCAGAGGTGACCAGACAAACTAACCCCTGAGGGATGGGTACACAATTCCCGTGATTTAAAAAAAAATACATTTGAAAAATGACTCACAACTTCCAGAAAGTAACCTTACATAGAAACGTAGGAATGTGCAGGACTGGAGCTCGGGTTGTTTGCCCGTCTGTGTGAGGACTCACGGAACGAGACATTTTGAGGCACGAAACAAACTTCGGGGTCTTAAGAGTCGGCAACTAACGCCTCGAATAATAATGTCACCGAACGAACGTACCTTTAAAGTTTTTGATGACTAATTTCTTAGACGTCCCCGGTTTCCCGGTGAGAGTGGCGGACTTGGTGAGGCCATTGGTGTGGCCGACCAGAGCTGAGAAGTTGGCCTTCTTGTGTTGGCCCTCCTCGGCCATGTCCGACACCACACACTCCAGCGGCTCCTCCGCCCGCTGCCTCTTCTTGAGGTGGTTGTGGTTGTGCTGAGGGGTTTGCTGGGGGGAGGGGGAGAGGGAGAGGGAGGAGGAGGAGGCGGCTTTATGGTAAGAACCGCTGAGACTTTCCGGCTCTCCGGACTCCGCCGAACGGACTCTCTTCTTGGGATGGCTGCAGTGCGCGGCCACAACAACAGCAGTTTGTCGCTCTTCCTGAGGCGAACTTTCAGAGGTGACACCTGATCGCAGCATGAACACACCCGCGGCCTCCACCAGCAGCAGCTTCCTAACGCGGGGGGCGGCGGGGAGGGGAGGGGAGGGGAGTGCGGGCTGGGAGGCGGTGAGAGAGAGGCCCCGCCGCCCGCGCTGATGTCGGGGGTCCCCGGGCAGAGGGAGTGGGGGGAGAGAGAGAGAGAGAGAGAGCGGCCCGAGCCCCGTCCGCGGCCCAAAATGGCTCCTTTAGCTCCTAGAGCATCTCGGGAGCGGCCTGTGGGGCCCGAGCGCTGGGACAGGACAGCGGCTGTGGGTCTGGTCGGGGTCTGTGTGTATGTGTGTGTGTGAGGCCTCTCTCTCTCTCTCTCTCTCTGCCTCTGTGCTGAGGCCGCTGTTGTGTAAGTCAGGAGCCGCTCTGTCGGCCACAGGAAGGGAACCTCCCCCTCTCCTCCCTCCCTCCCTCCCCGCTCAACTTTAACCTGTCACCCGGGAGACGCTAACGCTTCCGCTCCCCGGCCCTCCCCGGCCCCCCCCCCCGGCCCGGCCCCCCCGGCCCGGCCCCCCCCCCCCGGCCCCCGGCCCGGCCCCGGCGAGCAGAGCGCCAGTGCGGTGCGCTGCCTGAAGTGGGTGAGCGCTGAGTGCAATGTGCAACCGGCACTGAGGTGGGCAGCGCGGGGGGGAGGGGGGGTTCAGGGGATTACGGGACAAGGACAGGTCATTGGACTTGAGGTACAGATCAGCCGAGATCCCAGAGAATGGCGGAAAGGGCTGGAGCGGCTGAATGGTTTACTCCTGTTCCTGTAACTGGGCACTGAGCTCCCGGTGTGTGTGTAACTGGGCACTGAGCTCCCGGTGTGTGTGTGTGTGTAACTGGGTACTGAGCTCCCGGTGTGTGTGTAACTGGGCACCGAGCTCCCGGTGTGTGTGTAACTGGGCCCCGAGCTCCCGGTGTGTGTGTAACTGGGTACTGAGCTCCCGGTGTGTGTGTAACTGGGCACTGAGCTCCCGGTGTGTGTGTAACTGGGCACTGAGCTCCCGGTGTGTGTGTAACTGGGCACCGAGCTCCCGGTGTGTGTGTAACTGGGCACTGAGCTCCCGGTGTGTGTGTGTGTAACTGGGCACTGAGCTCCCGGTGTGTGTGTGTAACTGGGCACTGAGCTCCCGGTGTGTGTGTGTAACTGGGCACTGAGCTCCCGGTGTGTGTGTAACTGGGCACTGAGCTCCCGGTGTGTGTGTGTAACTGGGCACTGAGCTCCCGGTGTGTGTGTAACTGGGCACTGAGCTCCCGGTGTGTGTGTGTAACTGGGCACTGAGCTCCCGGTGTGTGTGTGTAACTGGGCACTGAGCTCCCGGTGTGTGTGTGTAACTGGGCACCGAGCTCCCGGTGTGTGTGTAACTGGGCACCGAGCTCCCGGTGTGTGTGTAACTGGGCACCGAGCTCCCGGTGTGTGTGTAACTGGGCACCGAGCTCCCGGTGTGTGTGTAACTGGGCACCGAGCTCCCGGTGTGTGTGTAACTGGGCACCGAGCTCCCGGTGTGTGTGTAACTGGGCACTGAGCTCCCGGTGTGTGTGTAACTGGGCACTGAGCTCCCGGTGTGTGTGTAACTGGGCACTGAGCTCCCGGTGTGTGTGTGTAACTGGGCACTGAGCTCCCGGTGTGTGTGTAACTGGGCACTGAGCTCCCGGTGTGTGTGTGTAACTGGGCACTGAGCTCCCGGTGTGTGTGTGTAACTGGGCACTGAGCTCCCGGTGTGTGTGTGTAACTGGGCACTGAGCTCCCGGTGTGTGTGTGTAACTGGGCATCGAGCTCCCGGTGTGTGTCGCTGGGCCCCGAGCTCCCGGTGTGTGTCGCTGGGCCCCGAGCTCCCGGTGTGTGTCGCTGGGCCCCGAGCTCCCGGTGTGTGTGTGTAACTGGGCACCGAGCTCCCTGTGTGTTACTGGCACTGAGTGCCCTCTGCACAACTAGGTAATAATATTAGTAATAATCCTCACATTGGTTTAATGCCTTTCATGTCTGGAGGTCGTCCCAAAGCCCTTCACAGGATATGCTGTACAGTGTCTGTGTTTTGCCTGTGAACGCGGGAGCCAGGTTGCACACAACAATGTGCTACAAATGTCGATGAAACGAATGATTAATTTTATGCGAGGATTGTTTGTGACGATACCAGGAGAAACTTCCTTCTCTTTTGAATTGTGCGATGCACATCATCTCTTCAAAATTATTGTTGGTAATACTTTTTCCCTTTGTTTTTCTTAGGTGATTTCATTGCTGTTTTACCTTCACGATATCTGGAATAATTAACAGTCCTACTGCATCCTGCCAAAAATGGCACACATCACACTAAATCAATATTTACAACAGGTAAAGATAAATACCTCAAATGTTCAGCATTATAATACCATTTTTGACAATTCTGATCAAAATTAAAGACCAATTTGACACAATTGTTATAAAATGTTCACAGTGTTGTTTATGGTTTACTGATGATGACTACATCATATATATTTATAATACAAAGCAACCTGGTACAATTTATGCAAGGTGGAGATAGATATCTTAATAAATTGGTTTAATCCCAAAACCTTGGACAAATAAATCAGAGTGATAGAAATTCTGCAACATTCTGGTCAACATAGAACTCTTCTTTGCACTCTGATGTAGGAATGTAGGAAACGGGAACAGTAAGAGGTCATTGTTCTACATGAGAAAATCATTGAACACAATGAAAACCAACGACCGAAATGGGGTTATAAAATAATTAGTGTAGAGTGGAAGGGTATAGAACGTTAATTAAGAATAAAGATTAATAATTTTGTTGAATAGTTCCTGAAAGTTATGTTTGTAATGTGTGTAGCACTATGACATCTTTAATAAATTGCTGTTTTAATAGGTATTGGAGTCTATTGATAACAGGGAGGGAGATTCATGTGCTGAACTTGTCTCATTCAAACATCCCCATGTAGCAAACCGTAGATTGCAGGTATGAAACAACATTTCATTATTTCCAACATTTAATGTACAAAAAGTTGCAGGAATTGTGCAAAATTGGGTGTTTTTATATTTACATGTTTATTTCCTTGAAACCAGTTAGCCAGCCCAGAAGAGAAATGCCAGCAGATTCTCGAACCTCCTTATGATGAAATGGTGGCAGCTCATTTAAGGTAAAATAAACTTTTTAATTATTGTTTAAAACTCGTACCTCCCACCCTTCAAACAGTTTTCATTTCATTTCATGTGACATAATAATTGTCACTTTGTTCACACTCTGAGGTGAATTTTGTAAAGAATATTGATCTGTCTAAATTCTGATCATTGTCACTAAACATGCCCAAGATATCGTTGCACTGTATTGGAAGATTAGAATCAATTGTACAAATATTAAAGTATATTTCAGTTGTCAGTTTGAGGCGATCTTTGTTCTTTGAGTGGAAGATTATTATGCACCAACTCAACCATACCCATTCTGTTCAATTTTGGAAAGTATTGTGAGTTATAATTGCAATCATTCATATGTGTTACAAATGCAGAAAGAACTGATAGAGAGTGGAATGAGAGAACTGTTTCTTGAAAGCATGCGTTATATATGGCAAAATGTATGGTGTTACTGACACCAAAAATACATCTCTCTCTAAATTCAAATCTTGATCATCATTAATATCTTTAAATCTCTCATTTCCTTTGAGATATTCTTTTATGTGAAAGATGCTTTGTATATGATTTTGAGGCATACAGTATATAGTTGATTTTGAGGCACATATCACACTGATGATATGGACACACTGTACTAACATATTACCATTTCAAGAATAAGAAATCTGCACAATAGCTAATCCAACATTAGTTGATGTTATACTAGATGGTAACAAAACAAAATAATTTTTCTTTTTTCACAGGTGTACCTTTGCAGTTGCAAACCATGATTTTATAGAAGCATACAAATACCAAACCATTGTGGTCCAATATCCTTTGTGAATAATTTATGGGAGAATTTAAAAAGATAGTTCAAAGCAAGTTGGAGATTTATTTTTGTGTTCTCATTTTTTTTTCTTCTGATATATTCTGTGTGTAGTAATGCACACAATTGCTAAAGAACTGTGATTGTTGTGAGAGAATTCTGGATTAAATAGAGAGAGAATATGAAAGTGTGTGTGTGAGTGAAAGAGTGTGTGTTAAACATGCAAGAAAATAATATTAAATCGCTGCATTGGTGGAGATTGGAGACGCAAAGTTCTGTGTGTGATGCAATTTAATTGGGACATCCAGCGAACTTCCTCAGTATCAATAATGTAGTGTACACTTAATTTAAAATATTTGTAAATTTTTTGAAGAAAAGGATTTTGGCAGGCAGATATTAATTTGGCCTTGATTACCATATAATAGCTTGTTCACAAGTCCCTGCAGAAGAGCATGTTTGATAGGAATTTGTTTCATAAATTCAAGTGTTGTTCTGGTTTTGTTTCAAAGATTTAGCAACCTAAAATAATAATGAAACAAAATGTAACCTGCTTTCCTTAATTGTAAAACATCTTTCTTGCGAGCATTCCAAGCACACAAGGAAGAAAACTGGTGAGTTTCAGAGTTCTTTTTAAATCTTTACCATTTCAAGACTGAAAAATGCTCTTGAGTGAAGGAAATATTATAATTATTATTTGCCAGATAACATTTTTCTGAAAAAAAGTCCTAATTTTTTCTGTTCTTCTATCATTGATCAATTTCTGATATGTGCTTCCAAAATGGAGAAGTCTGATTAATTAATGGAGGTTTAATTAATTTCCGGTTTTGCTTAGTTGGCAGTGGAAGACTGTGGTTCCAGCCCCACGTTAAGATTAAGATTGTAGTCTAGATTAACACCAAAGTGCAGTACAGTTGGAGGTACATTGCAAGAGTTGTCAAATGAGATGCTGAACCAAGGTCTAGTTTGCCTGCCAGTCAGGTGGATGTTAACAATCCCATGACAGATAAGATTTGTCCTGAACAACAATCCTCCACATATAGATTAAAAAATCATGTAATAATCATGTGGCCAGGCTCTGGGCCATCACTAGCGTCCTGTCCAGGGGCAGCAACCTGATGGTTTAGAGTTGGACATTTTGTAGTGTAGTCCGATGCTGTCCGACATATGGGAAGCCAGCTATACACTTGCCTTTATAAGTCAATTAGCATTAAAAGGGTTCTATTGCAATACGTTCCAGAATGTTGCCAATATGAGAGTCGCACATAAACTGTATTACAACAAGGTTAGAAATGTATTTTGTATGATTTCCCACCAAAGAAGGAATTATTAGCAATGTGTGATGCAGTTGAGTTTGGAATATATTGAATTATTATAGGGGTTTGTCTACTTTAGGGAAAAAGATTGAAATATTCATGGTCAGGCAAATGATGTTAAACATGTATTGATATAATAAAAACAATTTTTCTGCAAGCATAAGTTTAGGCGTTTCTAAAATTGTAAAGCTGGCAGAAATACAGAAATTGCTTTAAAAAGTTTTAATGCGGATGCGACAGTATGAACAAGATGAGACATTTTTGAAGTACAATTTTTTTGATACTGTGTATGCATGTTTGTATGTAATTGTTAGGGCATTGCCAATTATGTATGCAGTGGCCTTGGACCTGCGGATTTTTGCAAATAATGTGAGTATAATGTTCTTTATCAGTATGAATTAATTTGGTTTAAAATAACTTTAGACAGCTAATGATCTTAAATTAGAAATGCAAATGATTTCAGAACTTGAAATATCATCTGTTTCAAGGTTCTCTTTATGCTATGTTTTAATGTGTAATTATTTTCTTATGTTTATTTTAAACTATTAAACGTTTTGGTTTGATTATGTTTTTGGTGAGTTTCAGAATGCCTTTCTATTACTCGCTGAAACTGGTTTTAAATCTAGTCCACTGAATTTCCAGTACGTGAAAGGATCTTTATTTTTGTAGTCTCCACCTGGTGGGGAAAATGCATGTAGCTGCTGTATCTGTCCTGCTAACCACATTGAATGGGTCTGAATATCAGCTGTGGGAGGCAGGGTTGACTGAGGATTCCTATGATGGTAATTCAGAAAAGGAGGTCAACTTTTTAAGATGTTATCAAGACACAAACAAAGCCTTTACATTATTGTTTCAAGGTTGTGAATTTTTGTACAGTATTTTACATTGATCTTCTGAGCTAGTTGAGAAAAAGTAATGATTGCACTCCTCTTTATTGACTCCCATTAGTCATTTGTAATGTAGCGGTCTAGGTGAATCTGTACTTTTGCTTAGCTTGCTGAGTCCTGAGCAGGATCGTTGATGCTAAAGTGGAGTAATAGAATTGTCTTCAGAAGGATAAATGTAATATATTGATCCAGGGTCGATGGAGGTTGTGTAGCATTTGGCAGCATAGTCATGTAAGAAAAAGAGTGCCTAACACAGATGAAAGTTGAGGGTTTGAAAGCCTTCAATGTACAGTTTCAGGAAGGGGTTCATCTTTTTGTGTGGGTGGTATGCAAGAGTTAGTTAAAGAAGAGTGTCAAAATTGATTCTTGTGTTGTTTTTAATTTGTTTTTTAAAAGAATTACGGCATATAATTAGGAATTGTCAAAATGTAAGTTCTCCATTTTTCCCTGCACTTCATTCTGTGGCTAGGCTGACCAACAGCTTACGAAGAAGGGAAAAGGCAAAATGGGAGACATGCTGGAGAAAGCTGCTGAACTGCTGATGAGTTGTTTCCGAGTCTGTGCCAGTGACAAGTAGGTATTAATAAATTGCTTTGTTTAATTGTGCAACATCACAACAAAAAAATCCATCTCACCAACCTCTATTTTTGATGTGATTACTTCTGAATACAGTCGTGCTGGGATTGATGACTCAAAGAAATGGGGAATGCTATTTCTTATCAACCAGCTGTTCAAAATTTATTTTAAGGTAAGGAGAAATCATAATAGTTCTAATTCTGTAATTATCCGATTCAGACCTGCATTTATTCTGTGCCTTAAACCGAATGCCAATAAACTAGATTTCTAGTGAACTTCAAAAAGTCCAGTTATGTTCTTCTCTACATATATAATTGTCTGCAGAAAGAGCACCAGTATATGATTTGACTTTGCACACCGAACATCCTTTTTCTTCTTGGAGTGAGTTAGTGATTTAGTGTTGAATTAAGGGCAATTTGATGTTGTGAAATCATTCACATTGGCTCTTTGAGCTAGCAGAGAAAGGAAACATTCATCCCATCATTCAGGTTCGATTCAATCCGCAATTCCAGAGATATATGTTTGCGTCCATAAAATGTCAATACAGAAGAACCTGGGAAAATGCAGGAAAAATCTTCACTTCTATTACTATTTTACAGATCAATAAGCTTCACCTCTGTAAGCCTCTAATCAGAGCTATTGATAGCTCCAACCTGAAGGATGAATACAGCATGGCACAAAGGGTAACCTATAAGTATTACGTTGGTAGGAAAGCCATGTTTGACAGTGATTTTAAGCAAGGTGAGATACCGGGGCCTAACTGGTTGATGGAAATAATGATCTTTGGCAGTGGGAAAAGATTGATATGTTTTGTGATCCCAACAAGCTTTGATTGGAAAAAACTATATTTAAATAAACTTTATAAAATCATCTTATTCGCTTAGCAATTAAGTTGCCATCTCAGGATACATGTTCTTTTTTCTATTTTTAAGAAAGATTTTAAGTGCTCTACTGAAAACTTCTATTAGCACCCACCATGCAACCAAATGGTCTGGCCTGATATGCCTTTCTGTCATTTTGCTGTTATAAAGGACTGAAGACGAAAGAATCTATCACATGAAAATAACACTTGTAAGCTTTAGCTCCTTGTTGCTGGTACATAGTAATAATTTGTTGGGGCCTCACTTAAGTGGAGAAATTGTATTTTATTTTTTAAAAACTTCAAACTTTTGTTTTTCTTTTCAGCGGAAGAATATCTATCATTTGCATTTGAGCACTGCCACAGATCTAGCCAGAAAAACAAACGAATGATTTTGATCTACCTCCTGCCTGTGAAGATGCTTCTTGTACGTAAGCTGTATCATATCAATTGACTATAGGCGAACTAGTCTTTCCCTTCCATCCACCCCACCTATACACAAATGACTGCCTGGAATAGCAATTAAACTTGTCTTGATTCACACTTGCCTGAAAAAAATCACATATAGAGTTTACAGGAATAGGCAGAAAATGCTTTGAATTCCATTTCTTTGGCTCTTCAGAATAGCTGCGTTGGACACGTAAGCAGTATGAACCTGCCCCCACGTAACATGATTTTCGACAATCACAATATAATTTTCTTACATTGGATATAAATTCACAACACAGAACTATCCTTGTGATTGGATCAAATCACAAGTGTACAGTAAATGTACTAATCCAATGCCGGATTGTCTGGACTATTTCAATGCGCTCCTCCCTGGTCTCCCCAGCACCACCATACACAAATTTAAATTAATCCCAAACTCTACTGCCCGGATACTCACCCGCACAAAACTCTGTACCCCCATCACACCAGTCTTTGCCAGGTTGCACTGGATCCCAGTTATCGAACCGATCAACTTGAAGATCGTCTTACTTGTTTTCAAATCCCTTCATGTCCTGGCACCTCTCCAACCTGCTTACCCCACACTCCACCACCCAGTGGCTCCGACCTTCTGTTTGTCCCTTGTTCCCTCTGCTCCATCATCAATGGCTGTGCCTTCAGCCACTATGCCCCGAATCTCTGGAACTCTCTCCCTCAATCCCTCCCACATGCCCCCTCCCTCCCCACTTTCAAATCCTGTGTAAAAACTTTCCTTTTTGATCGTGCTTACGGTCAACTCCCCCTCCCTCTTCCCGTGGCTAAGTGTCAGACTCCGCCACTGTCAAGCTCTCTGGGACACTAACCCACATAATGCGTGCTATGTAAATGCAATTTGTTGTTGTTGTGAATGCTGAGTGGATGTCTCACTCGGATAGGTTTATAATTTCCCTTACATTTATCAGTATTTCCAGATACTTCAAGGAAAAGCACAGATCCAAAGTTATGAAAGTCAATTTTAGGACTGAACGCAAGAATCTTTTCTTGTGATCAATAGCTGGAATGGGTTGTCAGGTTGGGTGGTAGAGGCAGCTGAATGTGTTATCAGGATGACTACTAAAAGCTAGGACATTGGACCATTTATGAAACTGCCTGATTTCGCAATAGAAAAAAGTACAGTGGACTTTCTTGAAGGATGAGATCAAATGGATCAAAGGGTTTTTTCATAACATAACATAAAGGGGCAGGAGTAGGCCATTCGGCCCTTCGAACCTTCCCCGCCATTCACTCATGGCTGATCTTCTAATCTAACTTCAGCTAATACCATAACCCTGCCTTATCCCCATATCCCTTAATCTCTTTTGCAATAAGAAACATATCTATCTCAGTCTTGATCTGTACGGTTTCTTGTGAGACTCTTGGGACTATCTTCTTTATCCTTGTTTCTAATTGCTACAGAACTGTAGTGGTGATCCCACATTAAAACTAATGCCTTGTCGCCTTTCCCTTCCTTTTTATTTTACAGCTGTAGAGGGCACCTTTCTGTGACATAATTTCAATAATCTAACCCCTACTGAAGAAAAAAATGCTCTTAATATGTATCTTGCAAACTCCAATGGCCATCTTAAATTAATTCAGTCAGTGTTTCTCCAATGCCAAGAATAGTACATTGTTCTATTTATTTTTCTGGAGCTCTTTATGTCAAACAACTAAATACATATTTTTACCACTGTGGTGTCAACTCTTCTCATCCTCTCAGTATAGTCCCATTCTGGATTTTAATGCATTTGGTGATTTCAGACTGCCACACGAGCACATTTGAGTTTTATTGCTATTGCAGATTTCAAAATACTGTAATTAACCACTATTGGCTAGTAAAATCAGCTTCCCAATACATTTGTACTCAAAATGACTAGTATCTATAAATTCACTAAGTGTATATGTAGCAATAAGTATGTTCTTTAAAAAATTCAATGCCTTATTTTTAATGAAAATAAATCTACATATTTCTGAAACAGTATAAAAAAATAAATTTGTTTTCACAGGGTCAAATGCCAACAGTCCAGTTGCTAAGAAAATATGATCTTTTGCAGTTTTCTGATGTGACCAAGGCTGTAAGGTATAATGTTTCTGTTAAACGCCTTTTACTCATATTTATGCAATTTGTGTGGCACATATAGTAATTTGGTAGATTTCCCTCTTTCAGATAAAAATATAGTTGCAAACAAATCTTCGGTTCGTTTTTCTGCTCTTATGGCAACAAAGTCAAAGTATCTTCTTCCCAGAACATTGGGCCTCCACCTTCTTGCATTGTTTTCCCTTTTGCTGAACCTGATGCAAAAGTATTTATATGTATACAATAAAACATTACTATATCCATACATTACTTTATATTTCATTGTGCCCAAGTTGGTGCATTGAAAATAGTGTTTTTTCTCCTCTGCTCTACTATAGGAGTTATTTTGGGGCAACTAAGGTTTTCTCAGACAAGGTTGTGTCTTGGAGAGCCACACCATGCTGGCAAGCATTAAAAGACCTGATTTTATGTTTTTGAATGGAGAAAGAATAGTTTTAATGTACTTATTTTAATTTGTCTGCCTCTTTTTTTCCATGCACCATTTAGTGAAGGGAACCTTTTGCTATTGAATGAGGCTTTGACAAAACACGAGATCTTCTTCATTCGCTGTGGTATCTTTCTAATACTTGAAAAACTGAAAATTATCACTTACAGAAATCTGTTCAAAAAAGTGTAAGTTACGATTACATTTGAAGTTTATTTGTTGTATGTCTTATGCAAATCCTTAGGGCATTATTTTTCGCTGAACAGCCATGGTGTTTTTTGATGATTCAATAGCTTTATTTTAAATGTAATCTAAAATACTGATGAATTCCTGTTTCAGGTATTTACTGCTGAAAACACACCAGCTCCCACTGGATGCTTTCCTGGTTGCACTTAAATTCATGCAAGTAGAGGATGTTGACATTGATGAAGTCCAATGTATTTTAGCAAACCTCATCTACGTGGTATGTATTACATCTTTATATTCTTTGTCCTCAATTGTCAACTTATGTGGCATAATGTATTATTTTAAAATATCAGAAATCGGCTACTCCTTCCTGGTAAACAAAAGTATCCAAGAATAATTTCAGTGCTACTAACTGCTTTAGTATAGTGTAACTAACTGATGAAAGAGTTTGTCTCATTTACGTCATGTTGGAACATATGCTATTTTCATGGGATGGTGGAACATTTTGTGATTTCCAGAAGTCCAATTTCAATATGTTAAACCATATCATTGTTAAGAGATGTTATCACACTGATATTCACAATGTTGATGTCACTATGAATGTCTCATTTAAAACTTTTGATTTTCATATAATTAGCGAATATGCTCAAATTAATTGAAGCAAAATATGTTTTTGGATTACTTTAAAATTGTATTTTTTAAAAAAACAAATTATAGCATATGTTTCTATCTGCACAATATATATTTTAATAATGCTGATTCCTTGACTTTGATTGAGTATTCTGATTATCAGAAGATGGGAAAAGTTTATAGCGGAGTTTCATTGTACTCTCATGTACATTATTGCGTTTCTAGTCATAATCTTTCTTTTTTCTCTTTCAGGGACAAATCAAGGGTTATATCTCTCACCAGCATCAGAAGCTTGTCGTCAGTAAACAGAACCCATTTCCACCACTTTCCTCTGTTTGTTAAATTTGTAATTACCTGAGATTGACAACAAAGGAGGCAGTTCTGCTCTGTTCACTAAAATGTGCATCGTTTGATGAAACCTTAAAATGGATTTCCCCATAGTCCATGCATAGACTGTGTCTTATGGTGTGCTTGGGTAGTTGTATAACTGCATAAATTCTGGTGTTTAAGATATAAAATGGCCAGGTTCTTCTATCTACTATATTTGGTTTTGAAGCAATATTTTTCTTTGAGATAAAGAAACATGGCAGTTTTTCAAAGTTGCTTGAGCTAAGCTTATTACTTGTTTTTTAAAATAGAAAATTGGCTGATTTGCAGGATGAATTTATTTCTATTTTGAAGTTGTGTTTACTCAGATTTTGCTGGTGTTTTTGTTTGACATTTCTGTTTTTTCAAGCCACAACTTTCAGTATGATCTGTAATTTGTAATTGTCATTAAGATGGTAATACAGTACTTTTATTTTTGTACTATGCCTGCAATAATGTAATAAATACAAGCAATTCTTTTCACGAAGAAAACTTCTTTATGATTTTGTTCTTTGGAAATTAGTTTTTTTGTGTTATCGCTCCATTTCATCTCATTTCAATATAGTAATGCCTGTTCAGAATTTAATCAACTTTTGCAAGTAATTCTTCAGCAGACACTGTTTTTTGAAAATGTGGAATGTAAAGAACTTCATAAATGCTCACAAATATGTACTGTAAAGACAAATTTTGGACACTTTTGAAATGGTGTTCACAATGGGGTTAAGCAGTCTCCTTGGAGCTGAACGGCCTCCAAGGTGACGTGCTTGGCAACAGAATGTCAGAATCGAGCTAGGCCTCTGTGGTGGTCTTGATAGTCCGGTTCCTGAGCCAGTCGGGACAGTTGTATTCCAGGGCACTGCTAATGACAGGCAGCCAGTTTGGCTCATCGGCAGAACTTGAAAGGGCAGAGTCACTGGGAGCAGGGCCTCATCCCATTCAGCTGCTGTTAACCCTACAAGCCAAAGCCCTAAAGAGCAGGGTGGTCCTAGCCAGATAAGCAGGGGGCAAGCTTGCCGGACAGTGATCAACGGCAAGCTATGCGGTTTTAGCTGGTTAGATTCCAGCAGTACCCAATGCACATACCGGGTCTCCAAGCCTTTGCTCTTACCAACCTGGGCCTAATAATTTCCCGAATTAGGTAAGCAACTTCCCTCCAGGAAGAGAGTGCGCATTCCATTCCAAACAATCTATCTCTGGGATTTCCATGTGGGATGCATGGAATTCTCAGTTTGGTTTGGATACTTCAGCATGGTGACGGGTTTCCGCATGTGTCAGACACCGCCGGGCTGACCTCCACAAAATGTATTCACTACAGGAAATGATTAAGTGATTGAAGTTGGTCAGGATTAACCTGCTTGATGGCTGAGTGTACTTGTTGATGTTGAACTCTTATTATTGAAGTGTTTTACAACGATAAAAGCAATGTGTAAGGTAGCAGCCTTGTGTTATAATGTCATTCTCCAGGTCACAGAATAAACTGCTGGAAATGACTTGCATTTCAGACCATACACGTTCAGACCATTCAGACCATACATAAGTTAATGTTAATTACAAAATAACAAGGTCCCTGTAGTACATTAGTAATGTTAATTCTTTATTCTCAACGTTGCCATGTTTGTATAATAATGGCAGGTGAGAATACATTTAGAACCATAAGAGAAGGAAATGTAGATAAACAAGGGATATATGAGTCTTTAAATATGTAAGCCATTAAGAACTAGTTTACCGGTGGAGATCAAAAAGGCTATATCCCAAGAGATTTGGAACATAAAAGCCCCAAAATCTTGCTAAAATTGTATAGACCGCGAGTCAAGCCTGGAAGGGTTTTCAGCAATTGGCTCAACAGATTTAATCCTGTTCTTATATTCACATCCATCATAAAGGTGTGTCTTTAATATGATTGTCACATTCCATGTCTGGGCTGAACTGAAGTCAGGCATCAAAAGATGATGAAAATGCAAGGATGCTATGTAATATATTGTTTCGTCTTTCTCCAGAGCATTATTGCTTCACAGACTGAACTATATGAGTATCAGTGACTAAGAAAACAGGGTCACAGTCAATATTATGCAAACGTTTATTATGTTAATGGCTTTTATGTCTTTTTACATGAAATTGTTTTCACAATTTGTAAGTACAAACTGGTGTGAGTGAGAGAAACAGATGTGTATATTTTACACCCCATTCAATCACATCAAAATCATCCCTGGACCTCATATTTCACCTATTTTGGACATCAGTCTGTTTCCACACACACCAGGAGTATTTGCAACAATAGTAAACCTTGCATTTTATATAGCACTTGTAAAGCTAAAACATCAAAACAGTTCAAGAGTAATTGTCAGACTGTTCCAAAACATCTCACGCTTCTTTTCTCTAAATGCTCGAACCATGACAGAAATTAACAAACTCATGTTGAATAGTATCCCAGTGCCTTGGGACGTCCTCCCAACGTGAAAGGCGATTTACAAGTGTCATTTTGTGTTGTTGTTGTGTTCTGTGAGTTGGTAATAAAGTGACTTTTTTTGGTGTAAAAATTCTTTTCTGTTTTGGTGTATGATTATTTAAATGCGGGTAAGCACAGATGTTAATAAAAGTAGCTAAATACATCTTAGCATCACTTTTGCTTTAGAAGATGTTTATTATTCCACCGGCTGCCCGCAACCAGTTTGAAGACCTGAGAGGGACTCGGTCATTTCTTGGTCATTTTTTGAATCCATTTTACGTATCTTGATACTTTTGTGTAAATTGGTAAAGTGCATTCAAATTCCTCTGCTCCCAAGCTTAGTATGCCCGTCAAAAACCAGACACCCCTGTGCTTAGTTACAAATGGACTCCCTTTGGTTAAATAACACATTGGATCTGCAATTTCTTCGAAACCTGCACAAAACATTTTATGCACAACAGGAAAAGGTTGCTCTTTCTCACACTTGGCATATTCAGCAAAAGGAGCAAAAGGACACTAAGTAAAAAAGGCTGTTGGACATTCCTTTCTTTAACTTTCCATCCACTGGTTGCCCCATATTCAGAGTTCATTAGAAAAACATCAGCAAAGTCTTTCTCGGGCAGACAGATGGGAAGGGTGAAATTGTTGAAATTAATTGGTTCCTCCAACTTTATCAATGCTATGTCATTTTCAAAGGTTTCTGGGGAATATCTTGAATGTATGTGTGTTTTGCTAACATTAAATATTTGCTCAGATCCTTCGTCTATGTATAAATTATGCTCTCCTGTTGAAAAGGACAAATATGAAAATATATTTTCAGTACGTTAAATATACAGAATTTTTACTATTAGATGTAATAACTAAATTATCTTAACATTTATCCAATGATGTCATATCTTTGGTTAAAAACAGTCATTTAAATTTAAGATTGTGTTATTAAATATTCTGAGCAAGAAGCAACATTTGACAAATAGTACATTTATGAATACTATTAGTTGCAGAAATGTTGAAACAATTCAAATATACACCTTTAATGTCAATGTAATAATTGAATAACCTTAATATAATTGCAGCTCACAAGATACAGATTAAATACCACTCACCTACAATAACTTGGAATGAATTTAATTGGTTAACACAGTGAGCTGAGGTTAACACAAAATCTTCATTTAGAATAGCACCACCACAAAGTATGTTATCTTCACTTCTTAAAAGAACCTATAGTGGATACATAAAATATTGTTTCTAATTTGTTTAATATGGAGATTGACTGTTAAATGATTCCATAAATTTTCATTCCAAACTTTAAAATGTCAATGTAGTTCAAACATTCCCTTGTTTAACTTTCCATCCACAAGTTATCATTTATTCAGAGATAATTTTTTAAAACGTTGTCAAAATCTTTCTCAGCTGACAAATAGGAATGGTCCCACTGTTGAAACAATCTATCTCCCAAGAGTGCAAGCAACTGATATGACTGCAGATTTATAGTGCCTCCTTGGTAAGCTCTTATTTTGTTCCTTAATGGAATTGCACACAAAATATACAGTCAATTCACTTTACAGTGAAACGCTTTGAGATGTCTCAAAGATGTTATAAGGTGCTATATCAAATGCAAGGATTATAATAATATTATTAAGTCTATGCTTTCTCTGGGGAAATTACCATTTACAAATGGGGAGTAAGATGTTTCATTAATAAAATAGGTCCAACCAAAAGAAATATAGCCCAATCGATGCACAAAAGCATTTCATCAGGATGGACTGGTATTGATATAAATAATTCTGCATTTGCTCTGTGTTCTGAGAAAATATCATGTCATGGATGCTATATTTGTAGTATATCGTTACTTGCTAAAAAACAGCATTAAAAACAGTACATAAAAAGTGCTATCAGCACAAACGTTTTTTCCTGAAGAACAATTTTTAACTTTAATATGTAATATATTACACACTTGGTATATATATAAAATTCCTTCGTATCAGATATTTTAGAGTAAGTTTAGGAAAGCCCACTGTATAGTCTTTAGTTTTTCGCTGTAATCAAACATAGCTGCTGTGTAACATCACGTATAGCATGTCAGTACCTACCTGCCAAGGATATTCTCCCTTATTTGACTGTTGGTCTTCATCAATTGCTCTAAAGTCCAAATTTGAATGATTACGAGATGGAGGGACAAAAATGTTTCCACATGGATAAGGTTCTGTTTGTAAAATAATCAATAAAATTTGTTAGATTCCTCCCAACATGAAAGACACAATACAAATCCAGTTGTTGATGAGTGTTGAGAAGATACCTTTGACCGCACACAAAATACGCTATGTAAACAATATCCAAAATTGCAGAGAGAAACAAAGGCATATAAATTTAGTGATGAGGCCAAGCTACATTGGGCACCTGTGTTGTCCATCTTCAAATCACACCTGAAGATGTTCCTCTTTGATTGCCTACAGTCACCTACCGTTTCTCCCTGGCTCGGCATGAAACTATGCCATTCTTAAGTACTCCGAGACGCTACACCATGTGAGGGAAGTTATATAAATGCAGGTTGTTGTTGTTGTTGGGAATTGGTGGAGGCATCAGCAAATTTAAAGAGATTAGATTGCTATTTGGTAAAGAAATTGAATGAGGGTTCAAGATTTGGAGGCCTATACGATTTAATGTTATTTTAAGGTTTGCGGGTTAATCTTTTCCAGTCCGGTTAGTTACTGATGGAGAAAATTTAAAACGACGTATTGCACAAAAGCACAATTCAAATTTTTTTTGCAATTCTTTGCTCGTGTTCCCTCAAGCAAAGAGAAACACATCTAGATTCATGCTGTTCAGGAAAAATCTTCCAACTTATATTGACATGTCTAATTTGTTAACAAATTAAATAAGGGACGATGTGCACCAAAAACTTTAGTTTCATAATCATGTCATATTTACCTGCCGGAATACAACTTTTGGCATCTTTTCCCAGAATGTACCCTTTGGCGCAATAGCATATATAGGTGTCATATGTTGGTTTACAAAAATGATGGCAGATACCTAACGTACAGTCTTTAACACCTGAAATTCAAAGAGTTCATCATTGGTACAGAGACTGTGTATACATTGCTAACAAAAATAAATAGAACTGATAAGTCATAGCAAAGAAGCAGTCTTCAGGAAAGCAGCTGTTGTTTTATCTGTTATAGTGAGCCTTTGACATACCAAGGATTTGTGAAGTAGCCCTCAAAATTTAGGGTAAGAGAATAGTATGGAGGGGGTTCAGGAAAGAGTAAAAAAACCCGGCCATGTCTATTTGGTTACTGCAAGATTCCGGCTTATTGGGATATCAAATTAACTAAACAGTGATCACTAGGTCTGAAGTGTTCATCCCTAGTTCTGAAGAATTGCTAAATAGTAAATCTTATGTAACATCTTCTCTAGTGTTATATTTCATATGTTGTGTTAAAAAGCAGTCATTGATTTCCTAAATGGAATTGTACAACAACAACAACAAAATTACATTTATAGAGCGCCTTTCATGTCGGGAGGACGTCCCAAAGCGCTGGACAGTCAGGTGTCAGGGCCCGAGCATGGGGAAGGGTGGTGTAGGGGTGAGGGAAGGCAGAGAGGTCGGTGGGAGACCACAGGCGTGGTCGAAAAGAAGGGTTTTGAGACGAGCCTTAAAGGAGGCAAGGGAGAAAGCGAGGCGAAGGGACCGTGGGATGGAGATCCAGAGTGTGGGGGCAGAGAGGCTGAAAGCCCGGCTACCAATGGTAGGGCGGGTTGGGCGGGAGACATTGAACAGGCCGGAGCCTGCTGAACGGAGGGAGCAGGCATTTCATTTATAGAGCGCCTTTCACGTCGGGAGGACGTCCCAAGGCGCTGGACAGTTGGGTCAGGGGTGAAATGGTCAGGGTGAGGGAGCGAGGAGGGGGTAGAGAGTTGAGAGGAGAGCTGAAGGCACGGTCAAAGAGAAAGGTCTTGAGACCGGCCTTGAAGGAGGAAAGGGAGGAAGCAAGGCGAAGGCACTGGGGGTGGAGTTCCAGAGCTGCCAGTAGTCCTGGAGTTCAGGATGGAGGCAGAGAGGTAGAGTTGGGTGTCATCCGCATACATGTGAAAATTTATAGCAGGCATATGCTTAATACAAGAAAGTGGCACAAACTGATTAGACAGGAAATTTGAATACAGGGTAGATTATAGGAAGCTACTAGAGTAGACTAGTGTAGGAGCCACTTATAGCACTGGTGAAAGTATTCATGAGGAATTTCTTGTATAAATTGCACTTTAATTGTGAAACCTTGGATGTATTGTACTATAATAATTTATAATTTGTTATTTTTTTTAAATGTTACATTGCACTTTCAAATTTTATGAGTCTTCATGAGGTGTAATTGTCTCGAGAGGAAATATAAACTTGATTCTAGTCTGCGGTTCCTAGTGAGATCTTTGAAATAGAAAGATGCATTACCGTGTTCACAATTTGTGCCATGATAGCCATTCCTGCAGATACAACTGTATGCTTCAGTACTGTTGTAGCATGTTCCTCCATTTTGGCAAGGGTTTGGTGCACAATTATCGCCAACTGGTTGATGAATAATCATATTGTAAATCATGAATTTATGTAGCAAGATTTTATAAGTCCTCCAACTTTAAAAGAGTAAAATATGCATTTATTTAAAATGCAATTGAAAACACACATGTACATAATAGACTTTACCATGAAAGAACTAACTGTGCATTAAGAGAAGGAGGCTTGTTTTTTTTTCAGTGAGGATTATCCAATACAATTATTCTCCCTATCTAGAAGGATTTTCTTCAAGTATCCTGGCCAACAATCCTCCAATAAATTGGTGGTTTGGGAGAAAACTCATCAGCTACAATTTTACATTTTTAGTATTTCATTTATATTATATTTTCTCTTTATACGAGCTGGTATTAAAGGTTTGTTTGGATAAAAATGTTATACATGCTCCAATATGCAAAAGCCAATCTAAAACCCATAATATGAATGAAAATTGCTGCCTGCAATGTGTTAATTAGCTGATAAATTAATTATTGCTCATTGATAAATGCATTCAACAAGGTTAATCAATAACTAAAGACAATCAATTACTAAAGAAAGTCAATCATTTAAAAACTGTCAACAGGTGGCCCCCTCCCTTTCCTTCCCTCTCCCCAATTCTATCACCAATGTGTTGGGGTCAAAGCTTGCCCAGGCTTCCAGAGTGCATGTTCGCAGGATGGTAGAGCTCTGGGTCGCTACCCTGTGTGAGGGGCGCTATGTACATGTCATTGTTGTTCTTGGTAGTTTTAATTTGATTTATTTCCGTTGAGCGTAAGTCAGAATCCTCCTAACTGGCAGCTCAATTCTGTAATCCACAGGCCAGGAAGTTCAAAATTTCAAAGGAAGTGGAGGCTGGAATCGAATTCAATCACTTGTGATAGTCAGAGGCAGGAGCTCATCCATGGCCTGTGATAATTATCAGGTGACATAATTTGTCAATGTGATAATCATCACTGACAATAATTCACTCCACTGGTTGCTATTTTTACTTTCATGGGTGTATATATGAATACTAGATGTAACCAAAAGCATTTTCAGTATTACACTAAAACTTGAGAAAACATGACGTGTAACTATTCACTATTTTAAAAAAATGAAAATGCGTCAATTGGTTGATTACTATCAAAACATTCAAAATAAATTGAATTTTCTTCGAAGAGTCTTACCTTGTCCACAGTTCTTGCTTTGAAAGCCTTTTTGACAAGTACAGTTGTAGCCTCTATTGCGACACACATCTCCATTTTCACAAGGTGAGGTTATGCATTTATCTTTAGCTGTTCAAATAATAAATACCACATAATTCATAGATATATGGTTCCGACCTCCTCAACCTACCTGACCTGTCCTTAAAACTCTCTGAACCCGTGTGCAACTTAGGTTATCCTTCCTCCCCCACGCCTGGTCCCTGACCAGCACCGTTTTCTGCCACCTCTGCCACATTGCCCGTTTCCGACAATACCTCACCCCAAAAGCTGCCCATACCCTTGTCCATGCCTTTGTCATCTCTTGGCTGGCTATCCTAACGCCCTCCTCGCCGGTCTCCCCTCCTCCACTATTCACAAAATTCAGCTTATTCAAAACTCCACCACCTGCATTCTCTCCCGCACCAAACTTCGTACCCCGATTACTCCAGTCCTTGCTAAACTCCACTGGCTCCCTGTCATGATCCTAACTCTAGTGTTTAAATCCCTCCATTCCTTGGCACCCCCCCATCTCTCTAACCTCCTCTCCCCCCACAGCAGTAACCGCTGCCTCCACTCTACTGGGTCCGGCCTCCTCCGCGTACCCTGAATCCCCCGCTCCACCACCGGTGGCCGTGCCTTCAGCCCCGAAACGTTGGAATTCCCTCCCTCAACCCCTTTGCCTCATCCCCTCCTTCCCCATCTTCAGGTTGAGCCTGAAGTTCTTCCTTTTCGACCGCGCCTACAGTCACCTTCCCCTCCCTCTGGCTTGGCCTTGGGCTCCACCACTGTTAAGTGCTCTGAGACACCGCCCGGTGTGGAGGGCGCTATATAAGTGCAAGTTGTTGTTGTTGGTGTAGATATATGCTGTGTTATAAGTACAATACCATTTACATCAATACAGACATCTCCTTTACCAGATGCATAGTTTATTATCCTGATTGATTTTACACAAATGACCCTGCTCAAGGTCTTCACATACACACCATTGGGTTACCAGATTCCAATGATTTGCCTATCACTATAATAACAACAACAATGAATTACACTTGTATAGCGCCCTTTACTTCGGAAAGACATAATAATAATAAAAATCCTTGCATTTGATATAGCGCTTTTCACGTCGGGAGGACATCCCAAAGCGCTTCACAGAACACACTGTAAAGTGAATTGACTGTATATTTGTGGGTGAACGCGGCAGCCAATTGCGCACAGCAATGTCCCACAAACAGTCATGGATTGAAAATGCCCAATTTATTATTGTTTTGTTTTTTGGAGGGATTATTATTAGGCTCTGTGTGGAGTAAGGAAACTTGCCCAAGGTTTCGCCCTGACCTGCCTGGAATTGAACTCAGGTCTCTCACTTGCAAAGCGAGTGCTCTAACCACTGAGCTACAGGACTCCACACACTGGTGTTACTTTTATCTTTCCCTATATAAACACTATGATTATGAATATCTGGATCCAAACTTGTTTAATTCTTGTATTGAGCCTGATTCCAAATACCAGCATTCTTTACAAATACCAGCACATGATATTCAATAATAGTGATAATCTTTGCATTTGATGTAGCACCTTATCACATTGACAAAAAGCACTTCGCAGGAATTACTGAAAAAGGTAGTGACTGTATTCTATAGGCAAACACAGCAGCTGATGTGCACACAGCAATGTCCCACAAACAATTTGGAACTGAACAATTAATTTTATTTGGGAGATTGTAAGGCAGAAACTTATTTCTCTTTTCAAATAGTGTTGTGGGATTTTTATTATCCACTTGAAAAAGACAAGACCTCAGTTTATCTGAAGGATGACACCTCCAAAAATGCACACACCCTCAGCATCACATTGGAATGTCAGTGTAGACTGAATCTCCAATTCATGACATGGGGCCTGAAGCCATATCCTGCTGATTGACTGTGAAAGTGCTACCAACTCAGCCAAACTAACACTTTGATAAGAGTGATATGCCAATGAATCAGGCCTTACATGGTATCATTTATAATAAAAGGCTGCATTATGTATAAATTAAATTATAAAAATTGATTGAATTAAATAAGTACTTTGCTGGTGTGCAATTTGGCACAAAATACACAGCAACTCCACCTTACAGTATATCCTGTGAAGCACTTTAAGATATCTTCCCAATGTGTAAAGGACCTATATCAAATGTAAGAATATTATGTATAATTATTATGTTAATATTATAAATTAAGGACTTACCATTGTAACAGTCCATGAATTTTTTCTGGAAAAATAAAGCAGAAAATTACAATGTGTAAGAAAGGAATATGTTAGTGATGATTTTCAGCATGATCTAGATCTTCATTACATTTTAATAATCTTTGCATTTGGTATAGGGCCTTTTAAAGAGAGCAGGGTTTAAAATGGTTGGAGGTTCATGTGGGTTATAAACACCTACATGAGTTAGTTGGACTGAATAGCTTGTCTTTGTACTGTAGATTTTCTGTAATTCTCTATATATTTGCTGATGTTCAGTGTCAAAAGCTTCACATTCTTTTTTAACCTTTTCATCTCGGTGATTTGTATTGGATACTTAACCAAAAAGATAGAATCTTTTACAGGATCGTTTTAGGTGCATTTAAATACTGGGAATTTATTTTTAATATTTTAGTATTCAAACAATAAATTAACATTTCAAAAACAAACTAAGAGCAACATTTTAAAAGTCAAGCAATATTTTCTCCCTCTTTTCTCCCAAGAGGATCAATTAATGCTGGAGAACAGCTCCACAGGCACCAGGAAGGTGAAAGTCATTCACAAAGACTTTGTGAAGGGGATTTTTCCTGGTGTTCTTGCCAACAATCGCCCACATAAGGTTGGCCATTCACCTTATGGCTGTTTGTGAGACACTGTTCTGTGCGGGGAAGCTGCCTGTTTGTCTACAAATACGGAGTCACAACAGTATATCCCGCAAGCTGCTTTAAAAAGTCCCCTTGACTTGAAAGGTGAGACACCTGGGTTCAATTCCAGGCAGGGCGAAACCTTGGGCAAGTTTCCTTACTCCACACGCCTAATAATAATCCCTCCAAAAAAACCCAATAATAAATGGATCATTGCTGTGCGCAATTGGCTGCCATGTTTCGCCCACAAATATATGGTCAATTCACTTTACAGCATATTCTGTGAAGTACTTTGAGACGTCTAGAAGATGTGAAAAGCGCTATGTCAAAATGCAAGGATTATTATTATTAAGGCACAAAGGATTATTAAAATGACCAGGTTAGATAAGCATGAAGGACATCATTTATTTATTCTTGCATTAACATAACATTACAGCAGGGGTCACTAGATAGCAATCAAGATCAGGAACACTGATCTCCATCATGCGTTTGATGAAAAATTAAATCAAATAATTCAAACCAGATGAGGGATTGGAGTTGCCATCTCCCTAGCCTATATGGCTCAATTCCATGTGGGTTGTACTGTTGCCACCTGAGTTACTAGACAAACTCAATAGTAAAATGTTTTTTTTAAATCAGTTTATAAATCATTGTACATGTAAAACTTTGAACTTGTGTTGCTGAGTCATTAAAATCAAAAGTAAAACAGTAATAATAATATTCTTACATCTGGTGTAGTGCCTTTCACTGCACCAAATGTCCTAAAATGTTTCACAGGATATATTGTAAAATGCAGTGTCTGAGTTTTGTGTTCAAACGTTATGTAACAAAAGTGAAGCAGGATGCTTGTAAAATGGATTTCAGACAAAGGTTTATAATGATAGTTCTTTGTTTTCTTATCGGTTTGAACATTAATCTTAAATGTTTCTAAATATCAACTTTGATTTGACATAAGAGCTTACTTACGGTCTCCACTGTATCTTCAAAAAATTCTCTTGCCTCTTCATAAACGCAGGTTTCCTCATAACACTCTCGTTTCAGATTACCAAACCTTAGCTCTTCAAATAAAAAATTATCACGTTTCTGCCTTTCTAACACTGCATGAGCACTGTTACTGGTGAGAAAGACTAAAAGAAAATTCATATAGTTAAATTTTTATTACATTGTTTAGGTTGCATTTTGTTCCCTAAAGTAAATTACAAATAGCATAATCTATATTGTATAGGGTACCATTACTAATTTACAATACAATCTATAAGATTCATCGGTATTAATATTGCTTCAATGTACATGAGTGTAAACAACTGCTAAACATACCTTGTGGTTTTGATTTAGTATGATTCACTGACAAAAGAATAAGCCACAGTATCCCTATTGTCCACGTCATGCTTTCTGTTGCTGCAAACCACCTCTCTCAATCTCAGCTAAAACAAGAGCATACAGAAAGGTTTAAAGTTCAATGACTTCTGAATTTACTTGTTTTGTTTATTCTTTTGACGCTAGCAACAATTTCATGTAGTTGACTCATGTTAAGCACATGATGCTTTTTACTATTATGCTTTGTGCTTATCATTATGTTTTTTTAACTTTTGTATGAAGTATTTAACTAGAAGGAATTAAAATTAAATATTATTAATCTCACCTGAATCTGGTAAGGAAGGGGAGGGGGAAAGGAGGCTGAGGGGAGATGGGAGGTGAGGAGAAAAGAAAAAAGACAGCTTATTTTGTTTTCATTTGACTTTCTTGGGTGAACTTTTATATTTGGTTTATTTTTCGAAATAACTTTGCATGAAAAATGTCTCCAGAAAAGTAGTCATAGTTTTGTCTTTTTTTTGAAAAAAAAGGGAACTGGATAAGCTGCATTTATAGGCCACGTTCTAGACTTTGATCTGACGAGGGAAAGATTTGCAATCGGTTGTGAAGAAATAACTGATATTAATGAACACTCTGAAACCTAGAAAGGTGCAAACCAAAATTATTTGACATTACTTATTATGTTGCTTAATGTGTATTTAATGATGAAATATGAGTTTATACAGCTGTGGAGATTTAAATTTCGTACAGAGAAATAGCTCAAAGAAAAGGTGGTTCAATGATAGATGCAGTTATCATCAAAAGTAGAATGATGTTTGGCACAGGAGCCAATACCACCACAGAGCCAATCCATTACCCAATGTCTTGTTTGATTCTAATTGTCCTTTAAACACACCGACAACAACTTGTATTTATATAGCACCCTACATGTGGGGTAGTGTCCTGGAGAGCTTTAAACCACATATCCATTCAGCTTCCCCCCACTTGCCTGCACATTTCCTCCTTCAAGGTCCATCTCAAGACCTTCCTCTTTGCCAGCACTTTTGTCATCTTCCCACCCCCACCCCTCTTGATCACCACCCCTCTTGTATCCAACCCCCAGCTTGGGTGCATTCTCTTGATTGTCCAGTGTCTTGGGACATCCTCCTGACATGAAAGGTACAAAAATATAAATGCAATTTGTTTTCTCTAAGAGCCTGGCAAGAGGTGACAAACCCCATAAATGTAGTAGAGTGGATGAGACAAACATAGGAGGAGATGCGATGCAGAAGGTGGTCAGTTTTCTCCTGTTAAAAATGAACATTTTGTCATATGTCTGTAATAGGATTTTTCTGACAGGGAAGAATAAGCCATGGTTTATATTATATAGTGTAGACAACATTTGTTTTTACTGTTGCGAGCAGCAGTACATTGAGAATTCTGCCAGTACACAGTAGATGGTGGAGTTAGTGTTTATTAAGCTGTGAGCATTGTGTGTGCCTTTGACTTTCTCTCTTGCTCCACAAGCAAACTGAAAAGGCTTTCGAAAATATAAATTTGATTCTATTTTGTTTATTTTGCAGTATTTTCCCCCCATTCTTTGGAAATCTGTTTGAGCCAAAGCCCCAGATGTAGTGCAGTGATGAGAAAGGAGGATCCTGTGTCAGGTGACTGGTGGTGGAAAGCTCTTCCAATCAATTTGGCTCCAAAGAGATCCCTCTTACCTCTCCCAAGGAGGATATTCGCTAGTTGGTCAAAATTGAAGTCTCCTCAAAAGGACCTAAAAAAAAGCCTCAGGCCTAAAAATTAAAAAATGGTGGCTACAGTTTGTAAACTGTTGCAAAATGATCAATCTCAATGTGAGTAAACAATCAACAAGGCAAACAGGATGCTGGGCTATGCTACTAAATCAATTGAGTCTGGATCCGCAGATGTCATTCTCAGGTTGTACAGTGCTCTGGTCAAACTGCACATTGAATACTGCATACATTTCTGGTCACCACAAATGTTCTTAGAGGGATGCCCAGGCCGTAGAGGTAGTGCAGAGATGAGTAACAAAGATGATTACCCAGTATTAGAAGAATGAGATATGATCCCCAAGCTAGGGCTCTTCAGTCTTGAGAGAAAATGACTCAGAAGGAACCTCAGAGAGAGGTGTATAAAATTCTAAATGGGATTGAAAAAGTAAACCCAAATCAATACTTTAGGACGCATCAACAACAACAACAACAAGATTCCATTTATAGAGCGCCTTTCACGTCAGGAGGACGTCCCAAGGCGCTGTACAGTTGGGTCGGGACCCGAGCAGTGGGGAAATGGTCAGGGTGAGGGGGGGGGGAGGGAGCGAGGAGGGGGAAATGGTCAGGGTGAGGGGAGGGAAGGGAGGGAGCGAGGAGTGGGTAGAGAGTCGAGAGGGGAGCCGAAGGCTCGGTCAAAGAGAAAGGTCTTAAGACCGGCCTTGAAGGAGGAAAGGGAGGAGGCGGCGAAGGCACTGGGGGATAGAGTTCCAAAGCCTAGGGACTGAGTGGCTGAAGGCCCGACCACCGATGGTAGGGCGGTTGGGGCGGGGGATATGGAGCAGACCGGAGCCAGAGGAACGGAGAGTACGGGCAGGTAGGTAGGGGGATAGTAGGTCAGAGAGGTAGGAGGGAGCAAGGCCGTGAATGGCCTTGTAGGTGAGGATGAGGATCTTGAATTCGATCCTCTGGGGGATGGGGAGCCAGTGGAGGCGAGCGAGGGTGGGAGTGATGTGGTCCCGAAGCCTGGTGCGGGACAATACACGAGCTTCAGAGTTCTGAACGACCTGCAGCTTGTGGAGGGCGGTGCTGGAAGGCCGGTGAGGAGAGAGTTCCCATAGTCCAGCCTTGAGGTGATAAAGGCGTGGACCAGAATTTCAGCAGCGTGAGGGGTGAGGTAGTACCGTAGTCTGGCGATATTCTGGAGGTGATGGAAGGCGGTGCCAGTTGTGGCGCGGATTTGAGGGAGAAAGGACAGCTCAGGGTCGAACAGAACGCCGAGGTTCCTGACTGCTTTGAGAGGTGGAGAGTGCAGCCTTGGATGCTGATGCTGTCAGCGCCTGAGGTGCGGAGACCCTGACGTGAGCCAATCAGGAGGGTCTCAGTTTTATGCACGTTGAGCTGGAGAAAGTTGTCTCTCGTCCAGGACTCGATGTTGGACAGGCTGTCAGGACATCGGTGGTCGTGGAGTTGAGGGTAGAGGAGGAAAGGTAGAGTTGGGTGTCATCCGCATACATGTGGAAGTTAACCCCATGTCTGCGGATGATGTCACCAAGGGGGAGCATGTAGAAGGGGACCGAGGACAGAGCCCTGAGGGACACCACACGAGACAGTGCGGGGGCCAGAGGAAAAGCCATTTGTGGAAACATAGTGAAGACGGTCGGAGAGGTATGACCTAAACCACTCAAGGACAGTGCCTTGAAGGTTGAGGTGGGAGGACAAGCGGTGGAGGAGGATAGCATGGTCGACCGTATCAAGACAGCAGAACAAGAGGATATAGGATTAGAGTTGTGAAGGGCAATTTCAAGACGGATACCAGAAAGTCTTTCTTTACGCAGAGAGTAATGAACGACTGGAACAGTTTGCCAGGAAAGGTGATAGAGGCCAGACCACAATAATCATTTAAAGAGCAGCTTGATACATGCTGGGGGGACGGTGGGGTGGGTGTTCTTGAGGGATGAGATCGAATGAGCCAAAGGTTCTTCTTAATCCAGGTCAATTTTGAAATCTTGTGAATTTGTGATTAAATTGGAGGCCAGGGTTTACTGAGACTGCCAATAATTAACACATCAAACTCACTGTAGAATGGTGCTAATTTACCCTTTATGTTTCTGATGTGAAAGCCTGCTCCTCCTCTCTACTGTTTGGTAACTGATAGCTTGTCAGGTTATTTTGCAATATTTGACTTGATTTCATGAGCTTGGTGAGTTTATCTGTTTATTTGAGACTAAAGGTTAATCAAAGTATGCAGAACTTTCTGCACAAAGTAGACCTTGAAAGATAAAAAAATTGTGAAATTCCCCTAACAGTTTTGAGAATAAATGTTACTGAAATGTCCATTTTGTTGAATGTATTGGCTAATTCTCAAGGTCATTTTGTTCCACATCATGTAGAGTTTAACCAGATAGCCAGGGCACACATCAAGAGAGATGAGATGGAATTTTTCACAAAACAACCTCAAATTGCAGCTTGAATCATAAGAACATAAGAATTTATGTTGAGACACATCTTGTATCCCAAACTAAATACGACAATAACTTGCATTTATATAGCACCCTTCACACGGGATAGCATCCTGGAGCACTTATATATTGTATCCCGAGATACTATTTCCTAACAGAAATCTATCTAATTTGTTTTTGAAAGACTTGACACTTACTGCTTCTACTGTCTCTCCAGGGAGCTGTTCCATACGTTTACTACTCGCTCACTGAAACAATAACAACTTGCACTTATATAGCGCCCTCCACTCAAGGTACCACCTCAGAGATCTTAACAGTGGGGGAGCTTGGGGGTTGGGGAAGTGACCGTAAGCATGGTTGAAAAGGAAGGTTTTCAGATGAAAAAGGGGAGAGAGGGAGCAAAGCGGAGGGATTGAGGGAGAATCTTCCAAACTTTCGGGGCGTAGTGGCTGAAAGTGCGACCTCCAATGGCGGAGCGAGTGTGTGAGGGAAGAGCAGGAGGCCGATGCCAGTCAAGCGGAGGCGCCCGGTGGTGGATGGGGAGTGAGGAGGTCGGAGAGGTAGGGAGGTGCCAGGGAGTGAATGGATTTGAACACGAGTGTGAGGATATTGAAGTCGACCTGATCAGTGATGGGGAGCCAGTGGAGCCTGGCCAGAACTGGTGAGATGTGGGTACGGAATTTGGTCTGGATCAGTATGTGAGCAGCAGAGTTCTGAATGATCAGGATTTTTTGAATAGTGGAGCTGGGGAGACCGGCGAGGAGTGTGTTTGAATAATCCAGGCAGGAGGTGACAAACGTATGCACGAGGGTTTCAGCTGCATTTGGGGTAAGGTACGGTCGGAGGCAGGCAATATGGCGGATGTGGAAGAAGGTGGTCCTGAAGATACTGGAACACACTGAAGTAGTGTTTCTGCAGATTTGTACTGAATTTACCCCCTGACTCATTTTGCTTGGTTCATACTGAACAGAAAAAACATTGCATTCCAAAGATTTTTTTTCTCATGAAAGTAATTTTACTACACTATGCACCACAAATTATTTTGATTGAGAAGATAGTTAAACAGATTATTGGTATAGTGGAAGAAAATTTATGACTTTTTAAGCATCCGTTGTAATAATAAACACCACATGATCACTATCACTGACATTAAATAACAAAATGACAGAATTGATGGTCTTTTAGTGTTTAACACTATGTGGCAACTCTCCTCTCCTAGAAATGGTTTCTTACTTTCGCAGATTTAGCCACATTTTCAATTTTGAATGGTCCTGTAAAGTGTAACTACAATTTATGTTTGAGTGTTGATCTGCCAAAGAGAGACAAAATCCCAATTCTTCTCCAGCCTGAAAAAAATAATGTTTTACCAATTGGCCCAAGGTTTCAGATATAGGTCTCGCAGCCAATCAGTAAAAATGAGGAGAGGACAACTTTCACACTCTTTTGATAGATCAACCGCATGTAAACAAAACTCCCCTATGACTACCCCCTTCTTCCATTATTTTAGCCAATTACTAATTTAAGTCCATGTCCCACCCTTGATACTCTTGATTTTTTCCATTTAAAAAAAACCTCGCCCACAAAATATACAGTCAATTCCCCTTACAGTATATTCTGTGAAGCACTTTGAGACGTCTTGAAGACATCTGATAAAGCGCTGTATCAAATGCAAGGATTATTATTATTACTCACTTCAAGTTTATAAAGAAGTGTCAAATGGGCTGAGGGATTCTTCCATTAAAGCAGCTTTCCATTCCAGACAAATGGGTCAACTATTGCCCCAAAACAATTTTCAAGGGGTCATTGCATAGAGAGAACACCACCAAGATGATCAAGTAAGTACTCAGTTTTCCAAAGAAACTTCTCTATCAATCTAAAATACCTTCTTCTGTGCTATAATTTTCTATGGTTCTATGCTTTGGGCTAATCGATTATGGAAATCCAGCGGGGCGAGGGCATTTGGAAAAAGAGAGAGTGAGAGTAAAGGAGTAAAGGCTTGTTCTAATTTGTTATTATTCATGGTTTATTTGAAATCTTCCACTGCTAGACATTCTGTACTTTTTCGTCTATCAAAAGCACAAATTTGGACAAAATGCCATTGAATTCACTATTTATTATATAGTGTACTACAACAATTTATAGCCCAGTATATTGCATAATCGTATTGTAAATAATAGATAATTTATTATCTATCTATTATTTTCAGTATACTTCTGAGCTATTGAAGAAGCAAAATTTATTAACACTTATCTGTGAACAAACTTCATGCACTTGTGGAAATCTGGTAGTATTCCATTATATTGTAATATTATCTCAGTTATGAAATTGTATCATTTAAATTATTGAGCTCATTTATTGAGTTTTTAATCCACTGTAAGTAATTTGATGTTTTTGTGTAAATGCCATATTTCCCTTTCATTGCGCATCCTTCTCCCCAACTCACAATGCCAGTTAAGAACCAGGTATCCCTGTACTTTGTGACATGAGGGCCACCACTATCTCCTTGACATGCATCTTTATTTTCTTTATCATAACCAGCACAAAACATGTTTTTTGAAACCGGGAACTTGCTTGATTCCACACACTTGAGTCGATCAACATATGGAACACTAAGTTGCTGAAGTTTGGATGCTGTTGCCCCATGTTCATATATCCGACCCCATCCACTAACTAATGCATTAGGCATATTCATCAAAACCTGTTCTGCAAATCTTTTCTCAGGCAGGCAAACTGGGATAACATAATTGTTAAACACTAATGGTTTTGATAACTTTAATAATGCTATGTCATTATTGTACGATTTTTTCTGAAACTTTAGATGAGAAGCAATCCTGTGAACTTGTCGGTATTGCTCATGTCCCTCTTCCAAAGTTACGTCAAACTCTCCTGTTGGATAATAAGAGATAAGCGTAAATATAAAACAGGAAAATAAAAGCAGAGGTATGCATTTTTTCTGTGTGATGAAGTTCGTACTTGGTTTACTGAAAACATTAAATATCTACAAGAATCATATTCTTCAACTAAGAATTTTTTAAACTGCAAAGTCTTAAATAAAATCTCTGTTTGTGAATGGATTAAAATTGTGATTTGCTAATTAATGCAGCGATGAAAAAAATGATCTTATGATCATTAATGCATTGACTGGACCTCAGGTGTTCTAATAGCAGACCCACTACCACTTTGCCCAACAGATTTCCTGATGTATCCACTAGCTCCAATGTGCAACGTAACTGGCTCAATATTGAAATCAGTATTCCGTACATCTGTGCAGCTGGTTTTAAAAATTAGCAGAGATTCTGACAGGCAGTGCCTATAATTTTTGGTGCCTGTGATCTACAAATATGGTGTCTTTGTAAACTGTAAACATGGTGCAGGCTGGTTCTTTAAGGTTTTAACTCTCTAAGTTGCAGTTGTGGATTTTAGATAGTTGGCCTTCAAAGTTGTTTTACATTATCACATGGCTTAGTTGAAGAGAATGGACATTGGAGAAACTATTGCAGAAGAACTATTAAAACATAGTTTAACTTTATGCCTTTTTTTAAGGAATGGATTCCATTTAATAATAACAATAATAATAATAATAATCCTTGCATTTGATATCGCGCTTTTCACGTCGGGAGGGATTATTATTAGGTGTGTGGAGTAAGGAAACTTGCCCAAGGTTTCGCTCTGCCTGGAATTGAACTCAGGTCTCTCGCTTGCAAAGCGAGTGCTCTAACCACTGAGCTACAGGACTCCACAATTTAGAATTACTGGAACCCCTTATGTGTTAAACATTTATGTCATGGTAAATCTAATGGCAATTTCAAACAACAAAATTAATGTATGTGTCAATGACAGAACTATTCAGCAAAATAGGGGACTACTTACCTGCAACAATTGTAAATGTTGGTGTTTGGTTGAGGCAATGAGCTGCAGTCAGCACAATTTGATCTGTAAGAATGGTGCCACCACAAAATCCTTCATTATTTTGATTCAATAAAAGGACCTATAGGAAGATTACAAAGAATGTACAGCATAAAAATGTGTCCAGTCCATGCCGGTGTTTACCTCCACACCAGTCTTTACTCATTCTTACACCCTCCCATACCCTTCTATTCCTCTCTCCCTCATGTGAAGTTCTAGCTTCCTCTTGAATATATCTACACTCTCTGATTGAACCACTGCCTCAGGCAGCAAGTTCTATAATCTGACTACCCTTTGCGTGAAGTGGTTCCTCCTAAAGTCTCTTTCAGATTCCTAGTAGCTTTTGTATATTTGTGTCCCTAAAGTAACAGACTCCCAAAACTGTGGATACAGTCTATCAATGTTAACCTTATCAAACTCTTTCATAATTTTAAATACTTCTATTAGTTCCCTCTTAAACATCTCTTCTCTAATAAAAAAGGCCAAGGAAAACTTAAGACAATGTTTGACTTTGAGACATTGGAATGTGGAGGCCTGGAAAAGGCTATTTGGGTAGTCCTAATGAAAATGATTTTGGACTACATTGCTTTCTTCACCAATTAGCTACCTAAGTTTCTCTTAAAATTACAGGCGTAATATGCCTCCACTATCTCCCTTACTAGTCTATTCCACATATTCACTGCAAATTGTGTAAAGTAATTACATCTGAATATTATTGAAATAATCAGTCACATTGAACACTACATTGAACATGAGAGGAATTTGGGCAACTGCATTAGCAGTGACACACGAGAGTAAAACTGAAGATTAACTAAGATAAGAGACCAAAAACTAAATTTAAGAATTTTCTACAAGTCTACTCTGTTTTACATTTTAAGATAAAATGGCCTTGCAAATTAAAGTAGAATTTTAGGCCTCTTGTTCAGAATGAAGGATTGGCAGAGTTGCTTCATAAATACTATTTTTACAGAGGAAGAAAGGGGACTGCAGCAAGAACAGCTATAAAAGGGCACATTTTACAGCTAATTTTTTTTCTAAAAAAAGGTTAAAAATTATTTAAAAGTAGAGAAGTCACTAGACTTTGATGATATCAATCGCAGAAAATTGAAGGAAGCTGAAGTGATGCATGGGTCACAAACTTTGTGTATTTTTCGGAGGCCTGGAAGGTAGTAAATGGTATACCTCATCTACATGGTACATCTCATACAGTATTTCTTGTGATTGTACAATGTACGGAAGAAACAATAATCTCACTTTAGTATGAACAGATTAATATAACTAGTGAGACTGCGGCAGAAGATTGACTGGATTCATATATCCCACAGGCTCATCACCTTGGAGCCAGCTTAGCCCCAAAGTGGGGCTTATTTTCCCCAAAAGAGGATAGAAGGAGAACAACAACAAAATGACACTTGTAAAGCATTTTTTCAAGTTGAGAGGACATCCCAAGGTGCTCAACGGTCAGGGATCAGGACCCGAGTGTGGAGGGGCAGGGTTGGGATGAGGGAGAGCAGAGAGGTAGGAAGGCGGCTGAAGACACGGTCAAAAAGGGGGGTCTTGAGTCATGCCTTGAAGGAGGCAAGAGAGGGAGCAAGCAGAGGGACTGTGAGATTGAGTTCCAAAGGATGGGGGCAGAGAGGCTGAAAGCCCGGCTGCCAATGGTAGGGCGAATTGGGCGGGAGACATAGAGAAGGCCAGAGCCTGCTGAACAGGGGGAGCGGACAGGTTGATAGGGGGTTAGCAGGTCAGAGAGGACAAGGGCATGGAGGGCCTTGAAAGTGAGGACGAGAATTTTGAATTCTATCCTCTGAGGGATGGGAAGCCAGTGGAGTCGTCCCATGCTTAAAAAGATAGATTACTAGTTAAATTAAAATGTTACCACCCTTGATTTTCAGTGCAGCGAATTGTAAAATGGATCAGATGATCTTCTCTGGATCAGAAGTTAAATGAATACATACCTGCCATGGGCAGTTTCCAGGAAGACAATCAAGTCCGCCAACTATCCTCCTGTCAGGTGTTTGAGGACCACTTTGAATTATTTTTGTGATGTTGGATGCAGAATTATTGCTTTCAGTAGGAAGGCTTTGAGGAGAAGGAATACTGGTAATGTCAGTATCATTATTTAAAACTGGACTGGTCTCCAGGCTCCTTACTGAATGGATCAAGCGGGTTTCAATTCTTCCACAGGGATAAGGTACTGTTGATAGAAATAAATACTATGTCTGTATCTGTTAAAATGTAGATGCTGCATTTTTATTTGAATCAGCTGGGTGTCTGATAAATGAAGAAACCCATCCCATGCCTAAGAGTATCCAAACTAAACTGAGATTTACATGTATCCCACCTACACTAGGAAATTCCAGAGATAGATTGTTGGAATGTAATGCACAGTCTCTCCCTGGAGGGAGGCATCCTGCTTACCAAATTTCGGAAAGTATTAGGCGCAAGTTGGGAAGAAAAAGTAGATTCTTATATTTAAGGAAACTATATTTCTTGGACAAGCAGGGCTTAATTTGTAGCATTTTCATAATGTTTTCCATGTTTTAGCTAACATGTCAGAGGTTATATGCTTTTCCCCTTTCTGACAGAAAGTGAAAAATTTGATGAACCTTTCACCAGCATCGTGGGACAGCTCGGCGTCCTGGATTCTTACACCTGAAGTTTTTAGAACATGTTCAAACCTTTGACTGTTTCTTACATCACACAGTCTGAGAACCAAACTGAGAAATGCTGATATACTTGTGCTGTTGTTTCTCCTTTTCTTTTGTGTTAATTTCATCGGGAACACAAAGAAAGTTTCTAAAAATTTTCCTTATATTTCCATTAGTTCCTTTTCTTTTTTAATTTCTGAAACTCAGTTCCTGCAACTGATCTCTGATCCGTATCCTACTCATGAATGCTGTGAATACAGGATTCTCAACGTACTTTCATTCACAACAAAGCAATTAGTTTGAGCATTAGGTTCAGTACACTATCAGATAAACAACACAATCTCTCTGCTCATACACACAGCACACATTTTGTTCAATACATTACCAAACAAACAACACAACAACAAATTGCATTTATACACTGCCTTTCATATTGGGAAGATGTCCCAAGCATGTAGCAAAGGTAATACAGTAATAGTGGGTGATTTCAATCTTCAGATAGATTGGGAAAGCCAAATCAGCAAAAGTAGGGCAGAGGAGGAGTTTATAGAGTGTATGAGAGATAGCTTTCTGGAGCAATATGCTGAGGAACCAACTAGGGGACAGGCCATACTAGACCTTGTTTTGTTTAACGAAACAGGGCTAGTCGGTAATATAGATATTAAGGCTCCTCTAGGGCAGAGTGATCATAACATGATAGAATTTAGTACTAAGTTGGAGAGTGATGTAGTCAAATCCGAAGCAAGGGTCTTAAATTTAAATAAAGCTAACTTTGCAGGTATGAGGGAGGAATTAGCTAAAATAGACTGGGGAATTAGATTAATTGATATGACAATAGACTAACAGTGGCAAGCGTTTAAAGATGTAATGCAAAATTCTCAGCGGTCACATATTCCCTTGAGGAATAAAGAGTACCACAGGGAAAGCAGTTCATCCGTTCCTAACTAGAGCAGTTAGAGAAAGTATAAAATTAAAAGAAAGGGCCTATAAAACTGCCAAAAAGAGTAGCAAACCTGAGGACTGGGAGTGTTTTAGGGAGCAACAAAGGAAAACCAAAAAGCTCATTAAGAGTGAGAAAATGGATTATGAGGGCAAGCTGGCCAATTTTGGCCTTCTATGATTCTGGACCTGATGGTTTGCATCCTAGGGTCTTAAAAGAGGTAGCTCATAAGATAGTGGAGGCCTTGTGACTGATCTTCCAAAATTCCTTGGATTCTGGAACAGTTCCCATTGATTGGAAGATCGCAAACCTCACACCACTATTTAAGAAGGGTGGGAGAGAAAAGATGGGGAACTATAGACCAGTAAGTCTGACATCGGTGGTAGGAAAAATTCTAGAATCCTTAATTAAGGATGTTGTAGTGGGATACTTAGAGGATCACAATATGATTAGACAGAGTCAACATGGCTTTACAAAAGGGAAGTCACGCTTAACAAATCTTTTAGAGGATATATCAAGAAGATTAGATAGGGGGGAAACAGTGGATGTAGTGTATTTAGATTTCCAAAAGGCATTCGATAAGGTGCCACATAAAAGGTTGATCCGCAAGATTAGGGCCCATGGAATTAAGGGGAATATATTAGCATGGATTGAAGAGTGGCTAACGGGAAGAAATAGAAGAGTAGGGATAACCGGGTCCTTCTCAGATTGGCGGGATGTGACTAGTGGAGTGCCACAAGGATCAGTGCTTGGGTCTCAACTATTTACAATCTACAACAACGATATAGATGAGGACATCGAACTTAATGTATCCAAATTTGCGGATGACACTAAACTAGGAGGGAGAGTAAAAACCGAGGATGACATTAAAAAAATGCAACGAGATATAGATAGGCTAGGTGAGTGGGCAAATAGGTGGCAGATGAAGTATAATGTAGGGAAGTGTGAGGTCATCCACCTTGGTGGCAAAAATAGTAGAGCAGCTTATTTTTTAGAAGGGGAGAAACTAGATAGTGTTAGCATTCAGAGGGACTTGGATGTCCTTGTACACCGGTCACAAAAAGTTAATTTGCAGGTACAGCAAGCAATTAGGAAGGCTAACGGTATGTTGGCATTTGTACAAAAGGGTTAGAATATAAGAATAGGGAAGTCTTGCTGCAACTGTATAGGGCTCTGGTGAGAATGCACCCAGAGTATTGTGTGCAGTTTTGGTCTCCTTATTTAAGAAAGGATGTACTCGCCTTGGAGGGGGTACAACGTAGATTCACTAGGTTGGTACCAGGGATGAGGGGGATGAGTTATGAGGATAGGTTGAGCAATTTAGGCCTATATTCTCTAGAATATAGAAGAACGAGAGGTGATCTTATAGAAACCTATAAGATTATTAAGATGCATGACAGAATAGATAGTAGGAGACTTTTTCCCCTGGTTGGAGAAACTATAACCAGGGGTCACAGTCTTAAAATTAGGGGTAAGCCCTTTCGCACTGAGTTGAGGAAAAACTTATTCACTCAGAGGGTAGTGAATTTATGGAATTCTCTACCCCAAAGGGCTGTAGATACTCAGTCCTTGAACATATTCAAGACTGAGATTGATAGATTTCTTGTTGATAAAGGGATTAAGGGATATGGGGATAAGGTGGGTAGGTGGAATTAGAATAGATCAGCCATGATCTTATTGAATGGTGGGGCAGGCTAGAGGGGCCGAATGGCCTACTCCTACTCCTAATTCTTATGTTCTTATGAAGCATTTTGAGACTTCCTCTGGATATGAACAACAACAACAAGATTACATTTGTATACATCGGGAGGACGTCCCAAGGCACTGGACAGTGTACAGCATTTCAGACACGAGCTGGGGTCAGGGGGGGAGAAGGGAGGGGAGGGGAAGGGGGGTGGCCAATGGCATGGTTGAGGAGGAGGGTCTTGAGGCGGGACTTGAAGGAGGCTAAGGAGGGAGCGAGACAGAGTAATTGGTGGATGGAATTCTAGAGGTTGGGGGCAGAGTGGCTGAAGGCTCTCACACCAATGGTGGGGCGGGTGGGTCGGGGGAATTGGAGCAGGCCGGAGCCGGCTAAGTGGAGGGAGCGGGCGGATTGGTAGGGGGTTAGGAGATCACAGAGGTAGGGTGGGGCGAGGCTACCTCTGAAAGATGGTATATCAAATTTAAGGATTATTAATATTATTATTAATAATTTGTTTCATTTATTAATTATCCTCTGGGTAAAGAAATACTTCCTGGTACCCATCCTGAAATTTCCCTTTGCAACTCCAAACCTGTGTCATCTTGTTCTGCTATCACAGTGTATCTGAACATACTATGATGGGTATACTTTTACTTTCTAAATCCCATTAAACCCATACCTCTATGAGATCCCTTCTGAGATGTCTCTTTTCAAGATTGAAGAATCTTAGCTCATCACAGCTCATTCCTCTAAAACTGGGGATAACCTTTGTTGCTCTCTGCCGCACTTGGGCAGCTCCTTAAGTTGTGGTGACTAAAACTGCTTGTAGTTCTCCAGGTGTGATCTGACAATGCTTGAACAAAACCAAATTACCCAAAGCAGCACAATGCAAAATACAACCTCATAATTAGTTTCTACCAACTAGTTGTGGGGCATCTGCAGTTTATTTACAATAGTTACTTTGCAACTGATGAGAAGTGGAGTAAATATCAAATATTTAAGAAAAGATTTCAAATAAAATATTTCCACATCTACCTTGAGGAATGCAATACTTTCCCCTTGACTCATAATCTTTTGCACAGGAACAGTCAACACTTTCTCTGTGGACTTTGCAGAAGTGAACACAGCCTCCATTGTTCAGGCCACACAGCTTCGGGGTCTCTTTAAAACATCAAATACAGCATCAAAACAACCACATCCATTTTCCAAAGAAAAGGATCTTTTGATGAATAGCAAAACAAACACTGTTTCTATGAAAAGAATCTCATTGATTTATCAATGCGGCCAATATCATAATATCATTTTTGCTTTGCCATCTTTTAGTACATGTAAAAATGTAGTAATATTTCCATGAAATTTTGTAACAGAATAACAAAAACATACATTTATATATGCTGCCTGACCTGATGAGTGTTCCCATTGATTTCTGTTTTTATTTCAGATTTCCAGCATCTGCAGTATTTTGCCTTTTATACATCTATATACATTTGCCTTTCGCATAAAATGAACATCTCAAAGCTCGTCAGAGAAATAGGTAAATTAACAATAACGTGAATTGCATGGTATGGAATATTATCGTTCAGGGTTTAACAAATATTTGAAATTTAAATTACTATTTGAATGAAAGGCAAGCCAAGAAATGCCAAGTATGGTCTCCCCCACCATGTGGTTACAGGTAGTGGAGAGCAGTGATAACACTGCAGTCACCTCCAACATTGAAAGGCTTGTGTAGACTTTGAAAATATTGACATCTGTGAGCATTGTGCATGAGCATAAAATCCAAAGATATTAACAATTTTACAAAAAATAATCCATGAAGCTGAATGGAGGAATAACATAACAGTTTGTAGAGTAGATAGATATGTAAGAGCTGAAAGTGAGACTTTCATTAACTATGTCTTTCCTGGATCTTACCAATTTCACAGTTCTTGCCATGATAGCCCTTTAAGCAGTTGCACGTGTACAGACCAATACCGTCCTGACATCTGCCCCTGTTCCTGCAGGGGTTGGATTCACATTGATTACCATCTGCAAAGGTAGAAAGCCACATATTCATATTGAGGAATTGAAATAATTAAATTAAATAGTGAAAGTGTTGCAGAGTAAAACTCACATCTATCATAAGCAGTGATAATACATCTAATTAAGCTTTATTGATAAACATAATAATAATAAATAATAATAAATAATCTTAATCCTTATTTGATACAGCTCCTTTCAAATCAGGAGAAGGTCTCAAAGCACTACACCGGATGTATTGTGAAGTGCAGTGACTGTGCATTTTATGCAGGCACTTTACTCGGGGTTCAGGGGGTTCTGAAGTCCGGGGGGAGGGGGAAGTTACAGTATAGTTTATCCAACTTTTAATTGATTTTTTCAGTATTTTCCCCCACTCTGTTTGTCTCTGCTGCATGTTTAACAGCTCGTACAGGAGTAACAAGGCATTATCATAAAGAGGCAAAATTAGAACCTTTGATCTGAGCCCTTTCAAAGATGGAACTTGCAGCTATAAAACAAAGGTGATGAACTGATGTGAGACGGGTTCCAATGTGTGAAAGCAATATTACATTGAGGCAAGCTGCTTACCTACATACTGATTCCAGAACGCACTCTGAAACAAGGAAAGAGAGATCCCACATCACCACATGAATCATTCAACCAGATGCAACAGATGCAACTGCTTAGTGTTCATACATTATATTGAAGTTGCCCCATGACACATGGGTTAGGCAGGTCACAGTTGGAGAATTGTGTCCAGTTTGGGACACCACATTGTAGAAAGAAGATCACTAACATGGAGAGGGCATAGGGGAGATTCACTACAGTAAAAGGTTATAGTTCTGTAGAGAGAGGGTTGTTAAAATGTAGAATGCTTTACCACTGGCACCCAGGCATACCCTGGTTAAAACAAACTGCAGGAAATCAACTTTATATCACAGTACGCAATTTTGGACTTCAAAATCATGATTGTAACTCTAAAGGGAGACTTTAAAATTGAGATTTCCCTTGGACATTACCACAGATTTCAGAATTTTGATTTAAAAGATATTTGTTTTTGATTGCTCTTAAAGTGTCTTGCGTCTTTTTGCACTTACAGTTTTCTCAGTATCTTCAAAGATTTCCCTGGCCTCTTCAAATGAACATCCTTCTTCATTGCATTCTCTCTCCATATTACCTTCTCTGAACTCTTCAAATGGACCATTGGCACGTTTTTGTCGTGTTAGCACCCGGTTAGCCTTTTCACTGTTCAGAAAAACTAAAAGAAAACATAATATTAATAAAATGGTGTCTCAGCTCTTACCAAACGATTGTATATGTTTCTAAGTTATCTAAGATTGCCTCTTTGTATTGGTTGTGGAACATGTTAAATTATGTGATGCAATTCCGATTAAATTGTGCTCACAGATAAAAACAATGCCTTGCAAGCATAGTTTAATACATTCTGCGAGCATTACCTTGGGATCAACCCATTAGCAGGGGTAGATTGTGCAACAGGAAGATCTTTGGCTCTGTTAAGAATATCTAACCAGAATGAGATCCATATACATGGACATTTCCCTTTGTCTGGAATGGAATGAGTACTCTGGCTCCCGTTGGACACACCCTGTTTACCTAATCCCAGAAAGTATAAGGCACAGGCTGACAAGAGCCAAGGCTTGGGGACCCTAGAGTGCATGTTGGGGCTACTGCTAGAGTTAAAACTGCATAGTTTGCCATTGTCTGCCAAGGTTCCTACCAGAGAGAACAATAGACTTTAGTTGATCATTAGACATTTGAGAAGTTCAGGTACGAGGAACTCCCTGAAAGATTCTTAGTGAGCACCACAACTGCTGGGGATGATGCACATTGTCACTATCCTCTTGTCCACAGCCCAAATGCCCTCTCACCCTACCCATTGAACGGTGGTTGCATTAACTTCAGCAGCAGTTGCTTAACTCTCTGCATACCAATCAAGGTGGATGTATGAACACATGTTCATGAACCTGAGATCCAGGCAATGCAGTTTAGAAGCTGTTGTCCCTAGAGTCTTCTCATCAGCTATTCAATCTAGCTTCAGTATGTTGGAATGATCTATACAGAACAGCTTGTGACAGGCCAGCCACCTTGATGTTCCAGAGGCCCCAGTCCAATGCTGTATACCAGGTATATTCAAATGTGATTTAGTTATATATGTGGCAAAAAATACCAATCAATCGCGTTCATTGCTTAGTGATCTGAGGAAACAATCATCACCACTTTAATAATAATAATGAAATAATATTATAAAATCAGGAAATGTTTTGATCTACAAATTGAATGTGGGCGTATGTGGCAATGTTAATCCATGTCCTTACATGACAATGGAAGGAGGGTTGAGTGTAATATGTTCCCTATGGGTGCTTGGATCAGTATTTTTTGTGCTGTAAGAAATTATGAGGTCAATATTGTAGTATTTCTAAATGCACACCATTCCTTCATTATCATCGACAATAATAATAAAGAAACTGTGCAAAAAATGGGGTTGAAAATGTCTTCTTAAAATATATAAATTTCTAGTTACTAGAACTAAGTTTTAACCTTTAATATTTACTTTTAAAATTGGTTTTAGTGAAATGGCATGAAATCTACACTCTTTGCTCCCTGATTAAAGATTTTCCCGATCCCAAGTGATAATTATCACATTGAATCTGTTAAGAAATGGCAGAGTTATTGTGTTAATCCTGTAGAAGTAATTTCTTAATGGTTTTCAATGATGAATCATCCAATAACATTGCGACTTTGCATATGAATGGCTATTAACATTTTCTTAATATATTTGAGATTCCAAAAATAGCTACTTTTTGCATATTTTGTTCACCAGGTATTTTGACAAACTATTTTTGAATTGCTTTATTAATTGTCCCAGTTGCACCGATGATTAGGAACTATGTTTGTTTTACATTGCCACATACGCCCACATTCAATTTGTAGATCAAAACATTTCCTGATTTTATAATATTATTTCATTATTATTATTATTAAAGTGGTGATGATTGTTTCCTCAGATCACTAAGCAAAGAAAGAGATTGATTGGTATTTTTTGCCACATATATAACTAAATCACATTTGAGGTTGGAAGTTTTTACGCAAGGTTAAATTAAATAAAATCGTGTCTTTAATAGACAAGTACTATCTTTAATGGTTCGATGAAAATATAGAGCTGTGAACTAAGAATTGGGCCCATTGTGTGAGAGAAAGCAAGCTCCAAAATAACAGTGTTATACTATATTGCATAAATTACCTTTATAAATTATTGTAACCAAACAATTTAGTGCTGAATCAAACAACATAGCAACACATTAAAAGTATAAAACGATCATTATTCCGCTTGTACATTGTAAAATCAACCAGAATTTTAGATTTCTTGTTCTAAAACCTTTAGATAAAATACATAGTATCATTATGAAATCTACTTTCCACTAGTAGGTTTTCCCCCTGACTCGTTCTCAGACTCCGCTACATTCAAGTGCTCGTGAAGGTGCCATAAAGATGCAGGTTGTACTTGTAACAATAATTAATGTCCAACTGACAGAAAATCACTTAATTCTTCAGTTTTATAAAAAATAATCATACGCACTTAATTATACTTTATCTGCAATCCACAATCCAATATCCTCTTTCTCCATCAAAAAGGGTGGTTAAATTACAGATAAGAACACAAATAATGGGAAATTCTTAAAAAATATTTTTGTCAGATCATACCTTGTATATCAACTTTTGCGAGAGTAAGAACAAGAAGAAAAAGATATATTATCCCAAATATTCGCAACATCATGTCTTTCCTGTAAAATCTTTCACCATGAATCTCTGTGAACTGACAGAACAAACAATAACTGAAAGTTCAAGGACCACCTAAAAGAGACAACACAGCTTTCCTGTTTTTCATCCAGTTCTGCGCACACAAGGGCACCAAGTTCCTGTTTTTGTGAAACTTAGCATTTTACGACCATCAGCAGATTATTATCCATTGCATTTCTCTGGAGGTTAATGACCGGCAACAGTTGTTCATTGAAAACAATGGGATTGATCTTGCTGTATTTCTTAATGGATTCCTTAATTACGAAATCCAGAAATCCACGTCGTTAGATTGTGGGAATGCCACTCCAATTCAATCCTTTTTCAAATCAGGATTTCTTTGAATTGAAGTTGTGTGTGACATACTTCCAATTACTGAAAGAGTCTCCAATTGGATTTCTTAATTAAGAACTTTCTTCAAATTCTCTTCTAGTTTGCGAGTCTTATGACTTGGAAGGTAGCCCATCTTAAGAATTGTAGTAAAAACCTTGACTAGCACAGGCATCATCTCATCAGAGGGTTTGCACAGGGTTGTTAGCATTTGTTTGTAATACCATCTTGTGGATCTTTCCCACACATGCACTTTAATCTAAACTAGCATTCAACAGTAGTGCAATATCTGATATGTTGCTTGATTAAGCTGTGAGTACTGGCTGAAAAGTTCTGAGTGGGTTTCAATGTAATTGTCAACTTCCCTTTCCCAGGAACTGTCATATTATTTATGACTAGGTTTAGCCTTGATAGTGCAGAGGTGTTATAATAATGAAAATACTACTACTCCTAATAATAATCATTGCATTTGATATAGTACCTTGTCACATTGTTGAGAAATCTCAAAGCGCATCACAGAATATATTGTAAAGTGGATTGACTGTGTATTTTGTGGGCAAACATATGGACAAATGTTCTTTGAAGATCTCAACTTTGTCAGTGTCCATCACAGCACTGGTCCATGAATATGTAGGGACAGGGTAACTTTGTTCTGATTCTGACCCATGCCTTGCCAAAGTTTTAAGCTTCTTTTCCCACTTGGCATTTTGGCAGGGCACCCACTGATTTTCAGTGTCAGCAATTAGCAGGAGACAGTTACTATCAGTTTATGGCTCCTTGAGTTGTGTTTTAATTCTAGTCTAACCTGAATTTATTTTTAACTGAAGCACACTTTATAAGTGTTGCAGTATTTCGGCTATCCTCCTACTTAATGCATTTTGCATTGGTACTACTGCCTTTTCTGCATCCATTATTGCTTTTTTAATTTGTTTGCTTTAAGTTGTCTGGAATTTTACAAGTGACAGGAACACGATGTGATCGGAATGCAGTTGGCTGTTTTTATTCTAACCCCAGCCAAGTTTCCTTGGTGGTTGAAGCTGGGCAGAAAGATATAACATGAGTATGACTGGCAGATGATCACTCATACATACTTCTTGACCTTTAGGTTTGAGCGCTTAGAGGCAATTGTTGGTGTTCCAATTCCTAAACCAAGCACATCATCAAAGTTATAGCATCTGATACAGGCTATGCACACAATTTTTATCAGCAGTACATTGTGAACTGTAACTCTTTAGTAATATGTACCTTTTTCATGGGGTGTGGTCTAGTTCAGTATTTAACTCACCCCTTAATTATATGTTCCATTAACCATTTGCACATTTTACATACTTTACATTTCTTTACGTAAAAGGTAAGTAACAGCAGCAGTAAGTTACTAGGAAGGGTGGTTAAGGTCAGGACCTTAGACTCATTTAAGAAATAACTTGATGCTGTAACTGGAAGTTGTTATGATAATAATTTAAAAAGATGAGATCAAACAGATTTCATGTTTTTTTCATTAAAGCTCTTTTGCTATTGTCACTGGAAATCATCTATTTAGTTATATAGTTATAGTCCCCTGAATGGTTAACTAGTCCAGTTGGAAGCTAATTTTTCCTTTGGACTCAGGAACCCAGGAGTTCTGCATGTTTTGCAAGACATCTGTGACGTTTGAAAAGGAATAACCAAAGCCCATGTGATTAAAATGACAGTTGTGATTGCTGGCAATGACCATCTGTCTATATCTGGCAGCAGTGCAAGAACTTGGCTGTTTGGGTGAAGGTTTGATTATAATATTGATGTTAAATTGAAAAAACTGAACTAACCTCCTCTCCTAACTCAACAGCTGAAGGTTTTGATTGTCTCTACGCTTACTGCTTCGTTAACACACCTAATTGGGTTAAAAACACTCGAAATGGCAGCCAGGGAACTTGAACCCTTGTGATGAGCCTGGCTCAATTAAGCTGCAACTATCCCAAGAGATTAATATGAGAGCTGTTGAAAGATGGGCACCTGCTGAGAGCTAAAAAAGTTTATGACTTAACTAATGCTCCCGAAACTGTGCTAAGTGGAATTATAGAGTTGCTTGAAGTAACAAATGAGAATGGGCTAGTCGTGAGCAACACTGCTGCACGATGCTGAAGATGTCCATTATTGTGAGCTTGTTGATCAGATGTCAATACAAGGCCAGCTATTTTTGGTGCGGGGGTAGCAATTATGGGATTAAACATGATTTGTGGAAGGATTGTTTTTGATTCCTTTTATTTTCTTTTTAAAAAATTACTAATTTTCAGAAACATCCAACTTATAAACAGCGCACAAGATGCACCTGAAGCTGCCATACTCTTAACCTCAAGGCTATTGACTGAAAATGTAAGATCTTGCAGAAGTTAGGTTAATTCTTCATTTGAGCCTTAATTTGGAAATCAGTTTCTGGAATTCTTAAAAAATGCATTATGTCCATGTGTTGAAAGAAGTTCTTGAACTGGCTAAAGGAAACCCCATGTGTATAATGTGAAGTAGAACACGATAGCTTGACAATATCTTGTCAATGCCATCAAATAGTCTTAAATGTGCACATATTAGCTACTACATTCACCCACAAAATACACAGTCACCACACTTCACAGTATATCCTGTGAAACATTTTGGGATGTCCTACTGATGTGAACGGAGCTATACCAAATGTAAGATTATCATTATGCTGTAAGTAGAAATGCCTTTATTGTGTGAATGTTTGATAGTGAGACGCCGTGGGCGTGGAGGGTGCTATATAAATCCAAGTTATTGTTGTTGAATGTTTGATATTGTATGAACAGATTATTTTTGGAAAAAAAATAAAGATAAGAAAAACATGAATGGGGCAGTGCTATAAAAAAGAATGAATGCTATGATATGAATGAGACCTTTCTATATATCCCTTAACATTATACTTACCAAGTAATGTCCTTACTTACCAAGCAGACAGATGTCATTGCAAGGCATGCCCAGCTAGTTTATCACAGACCATTTATACAGTTTTCTGATCACTGGTCTCTTGCTCAAGGCATCAGAGAAAGTGCAGGAGCCAAAACATGCAGTCACAAGTTTACTTTTTAAAACACTTTACCTTCAATGTAATTTTTTTAGTAAAAAGGTCAAAAGCTTACTCATTGTTTTATGATTATTTTGAATGTGAATGTAGAAGAGCACCTTGGTCACCTGGTGCACTTTACAACTGTAAAACTAATGCGGTGACAAGCTAGTATCACACTGAGGTCATCACACTCCATTGTAGAATTAATTCTGTTTCAGAAAAATTACCGATTGCAGAGTCAAAAGTGTCTGCAGTCAGGTGCTGCTGAGCTGAATTATCCTTTTGGTAATGCAGTGAGATTGGGTTGGTGCAGCATTCTATTCCTGACATGACAACACAAAGTTCTGAAAGGCATCCTGTTGTCAGCTGTATATCCACAAAGTTTTCCAACACAAAACTTTCTGTTGTGAATTAAACTAAACTGGCAAGCATCACATTGCTGTGGCGCCGAATTACATATACAGATTTTTTTTCCTTCACAAAATAATTTTTTCTCCCTTTCTTTTACCCTGTTGCCGGTAAGCGCGTATGATAAAGAGCCAGGGTAAATTCCACTCTACTGCATGTAGAGTTATACAGCATGTAGATTGGGCTCACGATTGGGAGCTGAATGACCTGAGTCTGTGAGTGCTCCCAAGGTTTTCTTGCTTACAGCTGCCTTAGTTAAGCTCAAGCACTGCTTGGTAATAAATTCCCTGCCCAACATGTGCTCTCCCACTGTGAAACAGACGATCGCAATCGTGTGTGTACAACAGCCTGATGCAAATCTGAGGCCTGAATTTCCGCCTTGTGGCACTCAGTTAGACCATTCTGTCTAAAAATGGAAGATCACTGAAAATTTGCTAAATCTATCTTACTATAATAATAAACAAACAAACAAACAAATAAATAATTTGGTCACTCAATCCACGACTGTTTGTGGGACACTGCTGTGCACAATTGGCTGCTGCGTTTCGCCCAAAGAATATACCATCAATTCACTTTACAGTATATTTTGTGAGGCGCTGTGGGATGTCTCGAAAGGCAAGGATTACTATTATTGGAAAGTCTCTGTAAGATTGAAAAACTGAACATGGAAAACGTATACAGACTATTAGACTCACAATTGTGAACTGTAGACACTGGAATTCTAGTTATCTGTGGGACAATGAAATGTTAGATTCCCTTCCACAAGGAACAGAGCACTCCTGAAAGTGCAGAGTATTTACTTCAAGATAATTTACAATGTTGGCGTAATAACATTACTATTGTGATCTCATTCTCTCACGCCAGGCAAGGGGGCCTCCGCTTGTCTGCTGTCAGTTTTTTATCCAGACTACATAATACCAAAGAATCCCAAGAAAAAGCAATAAAGGCAGAATCTTAGGTTGCGGGCAATGCTTTAAAGAAGATCTATAATATGCCTCTTACCTGTTTCGTGTTCCTATAGATACAATACCTGCAAGCAGAAGAGATCTGCAAACCTATAAATCACTTTGGTAGGTGTATTCAAATAGTAATATTTATTGAAAGTATGAGGTTCACTCCAAGATGCATTCCTGTGAAATTGTACACAATAATTGTTCTTAATATTCATCTAGAAGATTATAGCTGTACAGTGAGGTGGAATAGCGTTTGACCTTAGCTGATGGTTTTCCACAAGGTAAGAAAAGTAAATCATCAGTATTGAACTATTTTCTTAATCTTTGTTTTGAAATAACAGAGTATAGCAAAGTTGCAACCTAACCATCTGTCTGACTAATATGGCCTAGTTCATGTAGCATGTCAGATTCATGAGGAGATAGGTAAAAGGGCAGAACATTAGTCTTCAGCTACTGCTAAAATTCTAAAATTTAGATTGTACCTTAGCCTGGGTTATTCAGTGTTTTTTTTCACTGAATAGACCCTAAAACTATAAGGATGGTGGAGTCCTGTAGCTCAGTGGTTAGAGCACTCGCTTTGCAAGTGAGAGACCTGAGTTCAATTCCAGGCAGCTCAGGGCGAAACCTTGGGCAAGTTTCCTTACTCCACACAGAGCCTAATAATAATCCCTCCAAAACCAAAAACAATAATAAATTGGTCATTTTCAATCTACGACTGTTTGTGGGACATTGCTATGCGCAATTGGCTGCCGCGTTCGCCCACAAATATACCGTCAATTCACTTTACAGTGTGTTCTGTGAAGCGCTTTGGGATGTCCTCCCGACGTGAAAAACGCTATATCAAATGCAAGGATTATTATTATTATTATAAATCATTTTGAAGCGAGATCACACTAGGAACCCTGCCTAAAACCATCTCAAGAAAGACGGTTGCACCAGAAAACTAATTTATACTTCTGTAGTATATTTTTAAGACCTATCTTTTTTACCTCGATTTTCCTCTCTATCCTCCTCAGATCCTTTTATGAAAAAGCCAACCCTTTAGTAAAATTAAAAACTAACAAGTGTTCAGCAGTGGTTAACAAATTCTGGGCACGCATTTATTTGTTTGCCAATGACAGCCTTAGGAAACAGAATTATGAAATAGGAAATATGAAGGCTGTTTCCTCCTACATATCACTTCCAGAAATATAATGCCAAAGTTCATAAACTCACCTAATTGAAAATGCAATATTAAAGGTGTACTCTTTCCATTTAAGAAACATTTAATTCATAAGAGTGCAAAGGCTTAGAAAGAGGATGGGTGCAAACATGAAATTCAAATTCCTAGTGGAATACAAATTCCCTGCATAAGGAAGAGACAAAGGGACATTCTTCCCCAAGAAACTTTTCTTTAAGGGTTCACAAGAGAGGTTGAGGTGAAGAAGACTCTTCAGCCCATTTGACCTCATTCTTCCTGAGTGCCCCACCCTCACATCTCATTCTACAACATCAAATGAGAGTGTGGGAGAGGGAGAAAGTGGCTGTCAATGTGGATTGTTTGTATACGTTCTGAGTCTTGGTGGTTTAACAAGCTTTTTTCTTTTCCAGGCCAATTGAAGGTATGTAAGAATTCTGATACTGTATTTTCAGTAAGGGATTGCCATAATCAATATTGGACCCTGCATCTTTACATTTGGAGAAATTGGGAATATCAGAATAAATGAAAAGAGAGCACAGAAAATGAGTTCTGTTTATCAGGGAGCCGACAGTAAAATTGTTTATCCAAATACAAACCAAAGACCATGCCTCCATGATCTTGTATGTTTCCCTTACCCAACTATTACTATTCAGAGGTAATTGCAACCTGAAGCTGTTAAATCATTAAGGCCTTGGGCCACCATCTCTGAACCAAGACAGAAGTTTGTTCCATTCACACAAAGTTAGACATTAAGGATTTGTTTGGAAACTATCTCGCAAGTTTCTTGTAGATGTGTAATTAAGAGGTTTGCGAGTATGACTTAAAAATGGTTACTAGTACTCAAACCCCAAATAAGTAGTTTTTGTGGATATCCTTAGCCCTTGTAAGGACAGTCTCTCTGGAACCATGAGAAACCAATATGTGGGAGGAAGATAATTCGAACTGACTGCAATGGAAAGTTATGAATAAGAGAATCTCCAATGTCTCCAACTGAGATTTCTTAAAGTAAACAAGAAACCTGAGGACATGAAACGCAATCCTCAGGAGTTACGCCTATGAGACAATCTTTCAAATAAAGATGAGTGTGCAAGTGTAGCAGCCATAGATAGAACTACAGAAAAACATTTCTTGAACACTGAAGGCACAAGCACAGATGAAAGGGATATATAGTATTGGCAGTCCTTTCCCTTTCCCTATATCCTTCAGCCTGGCTCAGTTTGCAGCACTCTTGTCTCGGACTCAGAAGGTTGGGGGTTCAGACATGGGATAAACTTCCACATGTATGTGCATGACACACAAATCTACTTCTCCTTCAGCTGCGACTCCAGGTCCACCGATGTTCTCACAGCTTGTCTGGCGGACATTAGGGCCAGGGTGAGCGAAACCTTCCTACAACTCAATGTTGACAAGACAGAAATCATACTCATTGGCTCCCATCAACGTCTTCTATCCTGCGGCTCTGACCTCCTCAACCTCCCTGGCTTATCCGCAGACTTACCGAATCAGTGCGTAACCTTGGTATCAAGTTCAACCCACAGTTGTCCTTCCTTCCCCACTTCCGGTCCCTGACCAGGACCGCCTTCTTCCACCTCTGCCACATTGTCTGCTTCCAACTGTATGTTACCCCAGATGCACCCAAAACACTCGTCCATGTGTTCAGCACTCCCGAATCGACTTCTCAAATGCCCTCTTTGCTGGTCTCCCCAGCTCCACCATGCACAGGATCCGGCTGATCCAAAACTCCACCACCCGCACACTTACATGCACTAAACTTCGTACCTCCATCACACCGGTTCTAGCCAAGCTACACTGGTCCCCTATCGCCAAGCAGATTGCTTTCAAGATGCTCACACTCGTTTTCAAATCCTTTCATGCCCTGGCACCTCCCTACCTCTCCAACATGCTCACCCCCAACCAACATCCCGCTGCCTCCGCTCGACTGGCTCCAGCATTCTGCATGTCCCTTGTGCTCTCCGTTCTAGCATTGGTGGCTATGCACCAAAACTCTGGAACACTCTTCTTCTATCCCTCTGCATTGGCCCTTCATTCCCCATCTTCAGGTCGCGCCTGAAGACCTTCTTATTCAACCATGCCTATGGTCACCTCCACCCTGCTCGGTGTTGTGCTCGAGCACTGTTAAACACTCTGGGACGCTATCCTGCTTGAGGGGCGCTAAATAAATGTAAGTAGTTGTTGTTTTCGAGACATCTCAAAGCGCTTCACAGAATTTACTGTAATGTGAATTGTACATGTACTGACATGACTGTACATTTTGTGGGTGAAACTCGGCAGCCAATTGTGGCCAGCAGTGTCTCACAAACAGTCCTGGATTAAGTGACAAATTATTGTTTTTTAAAAAAAATTTAAGGGATTATAACCTCTGGAAAAGTGATCCGCCAATCGATTAACAATGGGTTCCTACTTACTGCAAGGTAAACAGAGGCATGTGGACTAAGGAAACTAAGGTTTTGCCCCCCTGGGAATTGAACCCAGGTCCTCTTGCTTGCGAGGTGAGTGTTTTAACCACTGAGCCAGAGGACTCCAACTTGACTCCAAATTCTTTTATGCACTGCGTGAGTTTTAAATATAAAATATTTTATTTGCTAAAGTACTGCCAAAACGCCGAACACTCATATTAAATATTTGTACTTTTCTAACATTGATTTATAACCCAAAAAAAGGTATTTGGATTCAAAGATTTGCAAGAATGGTATAAACTCTTGCAACAAACTATTAATACTGTAACTAAATTATTTCAAGTATTGAAATGTACCATACTATAGTGTTTCAAAAGCAGGCAGTAATTTGTCGATGCAGCCGGTAGATGCAGTTGTGATGATGCAAGTTAGGAGATGATTTCCTTTAGGATTTACATTATTTGGAAATCTTCATGACCTAGCCATTTATCTGACTTGTAAAATCTGACTAGTGCAAAGAAATCAAAGTAATTTTAGCAGAAAAATTAACGGGACTTGGGCGCATGTACGACTTATGTGAGTTCACCTGTAATATCAATAAATAGGATAAACATGATCTTTAGGAAGTTTTTGGATGATACCACATGAGAATATGCAACTTCATTGTAAAACAGGAACGCAAGAGGGCAGGAAAGCTGCATTTTACTCAAGGCAGATGGATTTCAGGAGCACACCCACACTCTCATTATTCAGTGGCAAAATAGAGCTCTAACATAAGCCCTCAGCAACAAACAATCCAAATTGTCAGGTTTGATTTCATGGGGAGTATATCAAGTAAATATAAACGTATTTGCATCCTTCCTCAAAGTCAATGAAATGTACAATAACGTTTCAGGCAAATCAATACACCTCTTAATAACTCTCAATTCTCTATCAACACTCAACTCCATCCAAATCTTGACTACTCTGATACCAAGATGTGAGGGATGCGGGGAACTCATAAACACTAATGCACAGGCTATAAGTAAAATCTTCTCAATTTACAGGTAACTCTCCTCAAGACTCCAGACTTTCTTCTTTCTTCCTCCCTCATTCACACACTATTTTATTAATATGATGGCTATTCTTCCTCTTGTGAGCTTTCATTGGTCGTTGCTCTTACATTTCAAGTATACCGTCCCACATGTTCATCAGTGTTCTTGCATCTTCACTGTTTTGGTGAACCTGGGTGATCTTCCATTGCATCAGTGAGGCAATGTATCCAAAAAGAATGTCATCTATGATATTTCTATATTAATAGTTTAAGACACATAGGAATGGAGAACATTTATAATTTTTAGTAGCTATTAACGAATATCTTAAAATTAATTTATCTATTATTTTAATTGCATAGCAGTGTTTGACACATGTTTGATAATTCATGCTGAGCTGTGTTGCACACCAGGGAGTTCCTGGTACCTGCCATCCACCTCGTGAGGGCTCAAACCCTCACTGGTCGGATATCAAATTACCAACTTGTGACTATCCTCCTTGTGGGGGGAGATAAGTGGGGTCTCCTTAGAGCTGAACTGGCTCCAAGGTGACATGTTTGACCATTTCACAATGTCAGAATTGAGCCAGCCCTCTGTTGTGGTCTTGCTAGTCCAGTTCCTGAGCCAGGCAGGTCCCCATTACTCCAGGGCACAGCTGATGACAGCACAGCCAGCCTGAGTCATTGGTAGGATCTGAAGGGCAGACCAGTCACTGAGATGAGGGACTCTTCCCACTCAGCTTCTGTTAACCCTGCAAGCTGCAGCACTAATGAACACGGTGCTCCTAGCTGGACATGTATGTATTATCAATCCTTGGATAATACATGTGGTGAACATTTTCCTTCCTTCACAATTCATCATAGTATAATATAGATTAATAATGAGCCAAAAATTGCACAGCTCCCATTATCATCTGTAAAATTGACATATGAAAGAGACACCATAAGCAAAATAAAAACAACAATAACGGTCCTGGAACACCACAAAATGTTTGGAAATAATGGGCTAAAAATGTGTTGGAATTAATTTTTTAAAATAACGTTTAACAAAAAAAATCACACTTGTTACTCTTTGAATTATTCTTTTCAGACAATTCCAGACACCATGGAAACCAGGCAAGAGTTTCCATAGTTACACACAGAGGAGGAATAATGCTGCTCATCTGGATTCTCTTTTAACATGTTCTACGCTTTCAATGTATGTGTATCTATAACATCTTCAAGCAATACATCATTTTTTGCTTAGTGGGAACCACAAATTCAAACAAGCAAACACCAGCTATGTAATCAGTAGGTAATACACATGTATTACATGTTGCATAGATGGTGCCGTGAAACCATATTATTGTATAACCAGTTACTGAGAAGCCATCACACAAGGTTAATTTGCCAATAAACACAAATTCATTCTTCAGCCACTTAACAAATATCTAACATGACAAATAACTGGGTGACTACCTTAGTTGACAACACCACATTAACATCCTCTTTGCAAATTTTGTCTTCAGATCATAAAAAGTAAACATCAACTACTGCAAAGGGATAAAATAGTCTTCCCCTCAGCAAACAAGAAATACTTGATAGCTAACATACCCTTGATTGTTAAACACAGCATTAAGTTGAAATCATTCATTTAGAATATAGCACCTTATGATGCACCATTTCTAACATCCTAAAGGTCTGCCAGAGAACAAGTGACATGATGGAATAGCATAGTGTGATTGAAAACCAGATGGCATGTTATCAGAAACAGATGCTGTAGAGGAAGTACCATTCTACAAAGATAGACATTTTGGAAGTTTATAATGAGAAATGAGGAGCTTTGCGTCAAATTTAGGCCTATTATACTGTGATGGTATGCAGCCTTCAGGAAGATGTAACACACAAAATATGTTTATGGTGAATGTACATTTCATATGTCATATTTTGCAATAAATTTTTGTTTCTAAAATACTTATGGTGTCAGTTTGACTTAATTGAGGGCATGCTCACCTCAGGGTCAGAGGATTTTAGAGTTTCACCTCACATCCTGGCTTGATCTCATAGTCTAAGGTCACAAACCAGTGCAGTACTGGGGGAGTACTGCATTGTCAGAGGGATAATATAACAGGCTCCTATTTGCTTATTTTCAAGTGAATGTTAAAGATCCATGTTAAAATGTTAAACAGAAAAGGATGTTTCTTCAGGGTTCCTGATCAACAATCCTCCAGGTGAAATAATTGTTTATCGGTTATTTGCCTGCAAACAGAGGCACTGCCCTTGACAGGAATCACTTATGAAGTTTTAAAATATTTATTTGTGATAAGTTGCTATAAAATCTAACTTTCTTCTCTCTTTGTGAATGCAAAATTTAATTTTCCCTGTCTCATCATTAGTTTTTGCACCATAGTGGGAGGTTAGCAAATGAGATAACTGATAGATAAAGTTTTTTAAAAAGTTTCCTTTGTTACCAAGAAGTCAGACTGGAAATATCTGATGATTGCTGGACTAGTGGCATAATACATGCTTGTCAGTATAGTGAATTACTAGTAGTAATTATACATCCAATCCTGGCTGTTCAGTGATATATATATGTATGGAATTCCTGACAATCTAGTAACAGGTATGCGTTCATACTATTTAGCCATCTTGAAGAATCTGGGATAATGCAGACAGTATGTTTCTGTTTGATCCCTGGAACGTTTGTGTAATAGCTTGGAATGTCTGGCTCATTCATTTGCTTTAGTGCCTTCGCCTTGCTTCCTCCCTTTCCTCCTTCAAGGCCGGTCTCAAAACCTTTCTCTTTGACCGAGCCTTCAGCTCCCCTCTCGACTCTCTTCCTCCTCCTCGCTCCTTCCCTTCCTCCCTCACCCTGACCATTTCCCCCTCCTCTCTCCCTCCCTTCCCTCCCCTCACCCTGACCATTTCCCCCCTGCTCGGGTCATGACCCAACTGTGCAGCGCCTTGGGACGTCCTCCTGACGTGAAAGGCGCTCTATAAATGGAATCTTGTTGTTGTTGTTGTTGTTGTTTATGAATACATTTGTGACCATTGAAATCGGAAATCTAAAGCAAGCCTCACCGATCCCAAGATGCTTGTATGTAGACATGGTTGGCAATGTACATAATAACCTCCATTTTCTGTTACTTGTTATTCATATTAAACTACATTTCAATATTATTACATTTCTCGGGTGAAAGTATTTTGATATAACCGTATAGTAACTTTGACAACATGACCAATCATTGCAGTTAATATCACCTATAATATGTAGAAATTACAGTGGTAAAATAACATGAGCATTGAAGTCAATGGTGATATTGGGTGTCTGCCAAGACATGAAAGCTCTGATTCATTCTGAAACATGCATTGTAGATCTCACCCTAGGTTTGTGAATCCAAAATGGTTGTCTGAATTTAGATGAGCTGTGGCATTCAAAAGGATTATGTAGGATTATTAGTAATGCCTTTATCATTCCAAGCCTGTGAACATTTACTAGAATCTTGTTATAATCAATACCTTGGAATGCAAAAGGTGATTTTTAATACAAACAGATCTACATAAAGCAGGAACAGAATAAACACTGTCAGCACTGTACTGAATAAACATTCAGCTGCAGGACTGTATTAGCTGCAGTGCACAAATAAAATAAACTACTGGAAAATATTACTGCCAGTAATGAAGCATATCCTCAGACTGTTGGTTGTTAAGAATATGGAGCAACTTTACCAGAAATGGCTATTGAAGTTAAATCCATCACAGAGTTTCATCAAACGTTTATAGCACAGGAGTGCTGGTGCTAACTTCCCCTCTAGATCTAACTACTCTAACTTAACTTTACTGTTCTTTCGCCATACACTTTAATATTATTGTCCTCAATATTTATCTAATTTAAATCATGTGAATTTAGTTTTGACATAATGCATTGAACATCCCAACAGTTCTTTGAGTACAAACAATCTTACTTTCTTTTTCTTCAGGTGATAATTCTGATTTAATGCCATCTTATTACTCAATAGAGTCAATTTACTTCACAGTATATTCTATAAAGTGCTTTCAGACATCTCAATGACGTGATAAGGCGCTATATCAAATGCAAGGATTATTATTAAAATTGCATTTGCTATATTCCTTCAATTTTTAAAAAAAATAATTATTTGGTCACTCAATCCCCAACTGTTTGTGGCACACTGCTGTATGCAATTGGCTGCCTCGTTTTGCCCGCAAAATATACAGTCAATTCACTTTACAAAATATTCTGGGAAGCGCTTGGAGATATGATAAGGCTCTATATCAAATGCAAGGATTATTATTATTATAGAGTTGAGGTTAGCTCCAGGACAGATATAATGAGTAAAATATTTCCTACTGTACTCTAAACAAGCATTTTGAGATGTCCTCCCAAAGTGAAAGCTGCTATATAAGTATAGATTGTAATCAAATTTTATGATTGTATGACTTTCTATTATTTTCTATAACTTTTACAGCCCATCATTGTTTTAGTGTTATACTAAAAATGGTATCAGAAGATTATCGATGTGTCTGGGTGTTTTCAAATCAAAAGTAACAAAGATTTGTATTTAGAAAAGTTGGGGGTTAAATTGTTCTGATATAATTGTATCATTCCTCATTGCACAAGAACAATAGAATCAATTGTTTGCAAAATAGTTTCAATTTTATATGTAAAGATTTCAGGCATGAACAATTACTGGGATGTGTATTTTGCTAACACGAAGTCAATTTTCATATACAGAATTACCACTTACATACAATCAGCTACAAAGCTAGGAAAAGTAGTAAATGGTGAAGAGGATAATATAGTAGACTGCAAGAGGACATAGACAGACTGATGAAATGGGCAGACATATGGCAGATGAAATGTAATGCAAAGTGATGCATTTTGGGTGGAAGAATGAGAAGAAATATAAGCTTAAATTGCTCTGAGAACAATACAAGTACAATCTTAAAGGGGGTACAGAAACAGAGAGATCTGGGGGTCCACATAAGCCAATCTTTGAAGGTGGCAAGACAGATAGATAAAGCTGTTAAAAAAAAGCACACGGGATACTCGTCTTTATAAATAGGAGCATAGAATATAAAAGGAGGTTATGATGAACTTTTATAAAACATTGGTTAGACCTCAGTTAGAGTACTGTGTTCAATTCTGGGTACCACATTTTAGGAAGGATGTCAAGGCATTAGATAGGGTGCAAAGGAGGTTTACCAGGATGATACCAGGAATGAGGGACTTCAGTTATGAGGAGAGGCTAAAGAAGCTAGGATTATTCTCCTTGGAGAAGAAAAGGTTAAGGGGAGATTTAATAGAGGTCTTCAGAATTATGAGAGGATTCACTAGGGTGAACAGGGAGAAACTGTTTCCACTGGTGGGTGAGTTGGTAACCAAAGGGCACAGATTTAAAATAGTTGTCAAAAGAACCAGAGGGGAGGTGAGGAGAAATTTTTTCACGCAGCGAGTTTTGGGGATCTGGAATGCATTGCCTGAAAGGGTGGTGGAAGCCGATTCAATAACAACTTTAAAGAGAGAAGTAAATAGATATTTGGGGAGGACAAATTTGCAGGGCTATGGGCAGTGGGACTAATTTGGACAGTTCTTTCAAAGAACTGGCATGGACATGATGGGCTGAATGGCCTCCTTTAGTGCTGTATAATCCTATGAAAAAAAAGTGAGGCAGATTTCACATAGCACGTAAAGCACTTTGAAACATCCTGAAGTGAAAGGCATTATATAAATGTAAATTATATTGCATTGTATAAAGTGTAAATTAGTTTACAAAAAATCAAATTGTACAACTTGCAAAATAGTCTTTAATAGAGAAATTAGATTAATAGCAGTTTATTTGCACAAAAGTGCTGTACTTTTAGTCTTGAGGCATTTCAGTATAAGATTATCCGGTTACATCATTCTTAATTATAGTGTGTTAGAACAGCACAGATTGAAGCTAAAATTGGAATCTAGAGGTGATGCGAATTTTCACACGAGCACTAGTAATTATCCTTGAATGGTGATGCCAATATACACATAGGCAAATATAGAAGAACACCCTCAAATTCACACTATTTATTTTAAATCAAGAAATGTTCACAACTTTCACGACATTACTAAGAATAATGTTAATCTTATTTTTTTAAGGGGGAGTAAAATGTATAAACAATTTCATCCAATCTCTAGTCTCGGGTTTTCAAATTGAAGTCTACACTTTGAGTCAATTAACTTGCTTAGATCCATTTCTTTGGCCACACTTTTGGTCAACTTTCCCTTCCGCACCGCCTCAGCTCCCATGCATGCCAAACTAATATTGTTAAACACCTTGGGATGTCTTCCCAATGCTTAAAGCATCAAATAATAATAATAATAATAATAATGATAATACTAAGTGAAAATTTGTATTGCATTGTATCTCATCTATGCATCTCCGTGTTTCAAACAACCTGGATCGAGTCCCGCTCAATCATATAATAGCCACTTTCCATGAGATTTCATGTTGGTTCCTTTTGCTTTTCAACATAGTGTAGCAGTAAATTCTGTGTCTTTCTGAGGCAAAAAGGGAAACTTGTCCTGCATTTTTGTCAGTAAATCTATTCACATGCTTCTTATAAAACATCCAATTCCTTATTTTCACAATTCACTTCCACACGTTTTTTTTTAGTATGCAAATTTGCATTTGAGTCATTTACATTTGGGTCTCCACATCACTGGTACTTCATCCCCCCCACCCCTTACTCTGATGACAGTACTATCTTAACAGTCAACACATAAGAGCTAGAAAAATATAAAATCTGGAGTTCCCAGCTATATTTAAAAGGTATCTTAAATACCTCAACTAAACTGAAGGTTGGCAAAGTGAAGTTGTTTTGCTGATAATATAATACTTACTTGAAACTGTTAAATTTGGTTTGCAACCAAGACTATTCACACAGGTTGTTACAAACATTTCAGAAAGGATCACTTTAAAAGTCTGTCCTTATTTATGCCAGATGTACCCAGGCTAGCCAGAATCCAATGCAACAAATGAATCTAATTCACTGATCTCTGGTGCCACTGGCTGCTCCATTATCATTTTAAAAATTGCTTGGAAGCCCTAATGGGAGGACAGCATGATGTGTGTGCCAGAAGGATGAGATCATAGGAGCCAAAGAGCCTTGTTCAACCAAACCAATCTTGTGACTTATTCCACTTTCAGCAAATGCTGTGCACCTAGACGCAGTGGAAAAATCCTTCCGCAGATGATTATTCTAGAAAAACAGGACTGACCATTGAAAATTGAAAAAGCCATGAGAAGAAATTGTTGATATGAGTTCTTCAATTTATGTTCTATCATCAGGACAGAAAAAGACGCCTTCCTCCCCTTTGCCTTAAATACTTTCCAATTAGGATTTATAATATAATTTTTTTAACCTGAAATTGAAGGCAATTTTTTCTTGATCATTGTGTGTATATACATATATACATACACAGGAAACCGATTACATAATGTAGTTATCTTTACATGCTAAGGCATCATTGGCAGCTTTCTGCCACCAGATGGGGATGCTGCAAAATCTACAAGCAGTGAGACATGAGAAAACCAAAATCGTAAATGTAGGAAAGCTGATTTTATTATCAGAAAATCTTATTGCAACAAAACTTTTGCTGATATTGAAACAGAAAAGATTATTTTTGTTCATTTACAGGAATGCCACACTTGATCCATCTAAAAACAATTTCAAAATCTATAATACCTACATTGTTAAAATTAAATTTGTCAAAGTTCACTTGCTCTTATTTTTATGTCTTGTATTTTAGCAGCAGTAGTGAGATCTGTATCATTTAATTAAAAAAAACTAAAATAACATTATCACAGCAGTCTGCTGGTAACTAGAATAAATAAAGTACTTTGAAACCAAGTTTCATTGCTCAGAAAAATGAATTCGAAATTAATCAGTGCTGGAACTAAATCTACGTGCAAAATATTATGTTGGTGTTCTCTTTTATGGGCTAAAGATAAGATCCAGAGCATGGTGAGTGAAACTGAATCATGTGCCGCAGCATTTGATTAACCTGTGATAAAAATCAACTTTTAACGTTATTACTACAAATTCATATTTAATAGTGTGACTCAACGATATCCACTCAGGTGTCAGGCTGGGTCAGTTGGTAGCATTCTCACCTGTGTCGGAAGGTTGTGGCGTCAAGCCTTACATTGGAGCTTTGAATTCAAGTCTGGACTGCAATGGGGGAATGCTGCATTGTAGGGTGCTGTCCTAAGGATGATAAACTGAGGTCTCACCTGCATCTCTGGTGGACACAAAAAGATCCCATGACACTATTCAAAAAGAGAAGGAACTTTCTTCCCGGTGTCAAGGCCAATGATCCCCCAGATAAAATCGGTAATACGCTGCATGGTTGTTTCTGTGGCATTGCAGTGTGCAAATTGGCTGCCTCATCTGCCTACAAATGGAGCCCTCTAGAGTAATAGTTTGCGTGCTCGCCTCACAGGCTAGAGGACCTGGGTTCGATTTCCAGGCAGGGCAAAACCTTAGGCAAGTTTCCTTACTCTACATGCCTCTGTTTACCTAGCAGTAAGTAGGAACCCGGTTGTTAGTCGATTAGCAGATTGCTTTCCAGGGGTACTAATTCTTCCAATTGTCTCAAAATTGAAAAGCTTGCATTGTTTTGGAAAACTCTACAATTCAGTCTTAATTGGAAGCTGTTTTTCCACAGCTCCTTTGAGATTTACATCAGGTTGGCGTGCATTTTTTTGGTCAGTTGGGTGTCTAATGCATACCGAAACCCATCACCATGCTTAAGAGTATCCAAACCAAACTGAGAATTCTATGCATCCCACCTACTCATGGAAATCCCAGAGATAGATTGTTGGAATGGAATGTGCATTCTCTCCCTGGAGGGACACATCCTGCTTACCTAATTCTGGAAAGTATTAGGCGCAGGTTGGCAAGAGCCAAGGCTTGGCAACCCCAGAGTGTGCATTGGGGTATTGCTGGAGTCCAACCAGCTAAAAGAGCATTGCTTGCCATTGATCACTGTCTGGCAAGCTTTCCTGCTGCTTGTCCAGCTAGGACCACTCTACCCATTAGGGTTAGTATGACGTATTTTAAAAGTACCAGGAAATAGGTTAACTTGTCCAAAGTACCTATAATTTGATCATTCTTGGACAAAATAACTTCTCTGGCGATATCTCTAGGTCGAGACACATATAGAAATGTTCAAAAGAAACTAAACAGAAATATCAAGGGAGATTAACAAGTAAATGGCATGAAAGGAAAACAGAAAGATAAGTTGTCAAAAACAGCATAGAATATTATTGCAAATATTTTTTAGTCACAATATTTTAGTTAAATATTTTTTAGAATATAAAAACCCAAATAGAAGCAAATCAGAACAATATGTTTTAAATTGTCCAAACAAAATGTGCCTTTCTAAATTTTAAAAAAGTGCAAACCATGACCAATATATAAATATCCTATTGACAAATAAAAGAATTGTTATTTTAAATGTTCTTCCCATTATTCTCAATTAGTGACATAAGGTCATGCTTCTCTTTGCGCTAGAATTAAAATAACTGAGGAAGAACATTTATAAACCTATGATTAAAGATAGTTTTAAACAGTGCAATTCAACAGGAGGCAATTTCATAGGTCAAACATTCATTGTCATGGTAACCAAAGAAACATAATCTTTCCACAGCCAAGTGCATCAATGTTAATACTATAGTTGAGGCTATAGTACCACTTGTGGAGTAGCACATTTCATGCTTCATCGACCTTGCACAAGTTAATAATTTGAAATTTGGCTACCAAAAATAGAAGACTGTATATGTCAAGCTGTGAAACACGTATTTATAAAGGCACACACATCCACAAGAGCTCAACAAATGGAAGCATAATAATCATCCTAGCATTTGGTGTGGGGCACACAGGTGCTGAAATGTCTTAAAAGCAACTTCATAGGTAATTGCTGTCAGGTGTAGCAATTGCCTATGTGTAGCATAGCCATTAGACAAGAAGCAACCCCCCCAAAAGCCACTCGAATCTAGGCAAGTCCATGTTCAGTCAGTTGTGTATTTTAATTTTTTCTTGATTGATGGCATACATCGATAAATATTACAATACAAAATTACATTTACAAAATGTCTTTCACGTTGAGAGGATGTCCCAAGCTGCTGGACAGTCAGGGATTTGGACCCGAGCGGGAAGGGAAATCAGGGAGGGTGGAACATTCAATACATTCAATCAAGAAAATGTATTTTGTTAGCCGACCATAAGCGTTGGCCATCATTGCATTCGACTCTGGCATAATATATAAAGGAATAAGAAGATTCATTCAGACAATTGATCCTGTCCCTTCTGTGCAATATGTTCTCTCCACCCAAACTATTTAAGAAAAGATTATTTTCGTTCCTCAAGGCTAAATGATGGTGTAATGGGTTTTCAAAGATTACAACACTGCACATCAACACAGGAACAAAATGAATTGAAGTTAAGTAACAGTAAGAACCAGACCCATTTCCAAAGCAGAACGATTTATTGTCCGAAAAATAATCAAAATATTACAAAATTACAGTATTACAAAATAATAAATTATAATGATGCACTTAAAAATAACATGGTCAAAGTTGAAGAATATTTTAATGTCAAAAGGGTCTGCACTGAGTGAATACAGTCAAGCCAGTATTCATTTCTCTGGATTCCTGATGGTAGACTCTTGGATAAGTATGTTCATATTCCATCTGATTTTCCAAGAGATCACAATGAAAATAAATCATGCTTTATTTTTCTGAAGGTTTCCAGTTACATGAGCTATGAAGCACCTCAGAAGATGAATCCCAGAATAATTCAAAGAACTGTAAGAACAAATAATGCACCAAAATTAAATATTTATATATTTCCTGTAATTTTGTATTGTCATTTGTGATCTGCTCTTTGCAGAATGTTTCCGAACAGAATAATACTGCCCAAAGCAGTTGTGTAGAGCTGACCTGTTGCAATGCATACACACTGAATAGGATCTACATCCAATTTGTTATAAATGAACCAGCGCTATAAGAAAGCGCATTATAATGGGGTTGCACTGTATATCAACAGCACTGAGTAGGACATTCACCTTCTCACTTCCTGAGGCAGAAAATAAATGAGACACTCCGACGAATGTGAACTTTACCCTCCGACAGATGAAACATCATATTTATTTCTATATATATTTCTACTTTGAATTATTTTCCGTAAAGTAGCAAGTACAAGATTTACAGTCAATCCAATGAAGCTTGAAGAAACATTTTTTTACATACCTAACAAGGAAGGGCTGAGGGAAGCATCCTTTAGTTTGTTTTTCTATTATCTGCTGTATGTCTAGAATGTTCTTCAGCAGGTTACCCCGCTGAGGCCTGTCAATCTTCGTTACTACAAGCTGCAGTGAACAGAGTCGGAGGCAATTGCTCATTACACAAAAGCTATAATTTTACCAGTACAACCATTATCATTTCATATAATTTGTGCAAGTTTATTGTTCTTAAAATTAAATTGCCAATCAGTCTAATGAGCAGTCTACCTTTTTGCAAAGACCTCTTGCAAAAGAAACAAGCATACACTTACAATACAAGAAAAACAAATTCCATATTTTGTGGTTCATCACATCCAGGTAGTGTCAAAATTCTAACACATATTTGACAGCTGGTCTTACATATTTGGATAGTATTGGCAAATATGGTCATTGGACACTTGTGTGACCAACTTATATCTAAAATGGACCTTAGTAATATTAAAGCTTTCAATTAAAACACAATACAATATGAAATTTCATTTGTAAAGCACCTATCACGTTGGGAGGACATCCCAAGGTGCTGGACAGTCAGGGGTTTGGACCCGAACTGGGGGTCGGGATCGGGGAGAGTGGAGGGCAGGAGGCTTGCAGTCGGTCGAAGAGGAGGATTTTGAGACACATCTTGAAGGAGGCAAGGGAGGGAGCGAGGTGAGGAAAATGTAGGATGGAGTTCCATAGGGTGGAGGTAGAAAGGTTGAAGGCCCGACCACCGATGGTGGGGTGGGCCAGGCGGGAGACATGGAACAGGCCACAGCCTGCTGAGAGGAGGGAGTGGGCAGGATGATATGGGGTCAGCAGCTCGCAGAAGTAGGGAAGGGCAAGGCCATGGAGAGCCTTGAAGTGAGGATGAGGATTTTTAACTCTATTCTCTGGGGGATGGGGAGCCAGTGGTCGGGTGAGGGTGGGTGTGATGGGGTCATGGAGTCAAGTGCGGGAGAGGACACGAGCTGCAGAGTTCTAGATGATCTGCAGCTTGTGGAGCGAAGAGTTGGGAAGGCCGACAAGCAGGGAGTTGGCGTAGTTGAGCCTGGATGTGATGAATGAATGGATGAGTGTTTTGGTGGCCTGAGAGGTGAAGCAGTGGCGGAGCCGGGCGATGTTGCGGAGATGGGGCATGGCAGAACGGTTCATGGTACGGATGTGGGGTAGAAAGGATAGTTGAGGGTCAAACAAGACGCCAAGGTTCCAGACTAGCTCAAGAGAGATGGAGGGTTCATCCATGGATGGTGATGCTGTCAGTGCCTGAAGTGTGGAAGCGCTGATGGGAGCCAATCAGGAGAGCTCGGTCTTGCTGACATTCAACTCATCCAGAACTTGATATCCTGCACTGTTTATGGGACACCGTGGGACAATCAGGAGGGCCTTGGTTTTTTTGATGTTCAATTGAAGAAAGTTAGCTCTCATCCAGGACTCGATGTCTGACAGACATTCTGTCGGGACAGCAGTGGTCCTGGAGTTGAGGGTGGAGGCAGAGAGACAGAGTTGGGTGTCATCCGCATACATATGGAAGTTGACCCCATGTCTGTGGATGATGTCACCAAGTGGGAGCATATAGATATTGAAGAGGAGGGGACCAAGGACAGATTCCTGAGGAACACCACATGAGATGGTGTGGGGGCTAGAGGAGAAGCCGTTTGTGAAGATGAAGAGGAGACCATGTGAGAGGTATGATCTGAACTACTCAAGAACAAAGCCATGAAGGTTGAGGTGAGAGGAGAGGCGTGGTGGAGGATAATGGTATCAAAGCAGCAGAGGTCAAGGAGGAAGAGGAGGCAGAGGGAGCCCTGGTCACAGATGGACAAAATGTCATTGCTTGTGGAACAATACTGTCTGAGAAAGGCAGCTGGTTGGAGCTGAAGAATGGAGATGTTAGGATGTAAAATATTCTGGCATTTTGCAGGATCACATTTGGAACTCAGAAACTTTACGCAGGAACAGCTGAATAATAGATGGGATTCAACGATAAGAGAGACTGGAATGAGTGGGCTTCATGGGCCAAATAGCCTTTTCACATTCAAAACACTTTTATGTTCTAGATCTGGCATCTCACTAGATGGGATTAAAATTTATTTGCATAGTGAATCCCACCTCACCCAGATCTTCTATCAAATATGAGAAAGAACTTTGAGGAGGAACAAATAGTAGCAGGGGAAAAATCAATGTGTACCCTTCAATTTTACCAGCTAAATGCCAACTCAGGTACATTGTGGTCAAATGACTGAGAACATGTCAACTTGGGACAAAGTCTGAGGAAATGCCTGGGAGGGGCAAAATGAATAAGAAAATCTCTGCAACACATTACTTACAACATATGGAATTCCAAATTCCTCACACATATCAATAGCTATTTGATCTGCTTTTTGGATTCCTATTGAACCATCCAACAGCAAAAATGTTCTCTTTAAACTAAAGGGAAAAAAGCAAAAAAAATTTCACTGATCAGAAATGTTAACTTATCAAAGTTATTTTTAAGAATTGTAATTAATTGTATGCTTCTGGGTTTGAGTTTCTCGGCTCCCATTCAGATATTTAAGTAATACTCAGTTCAAAGTACAAAACTGATTGGCCATATTAAATATAGAAAATGTGTTCCCCAAAAAACAGAGTCACTTCACTTACAGTATACCCTGTGAAGCTCTTTGAGACACCTTCACATCTTAAGAGGAGCTGTACCAAATGTAATGATTATTTAATTAAATAAGAGATCACCAAATTTCATAATGTAATTAGGCCATGGGGTACAGTTTACAGCTTATAATTCCAATGGAAGTCGATGCCGACCGTTTTGTCCAGCTTAAACAGCATCCAAGGCTAACCGAAGTTCTCTTACCTCTTCCCGCCCAGCAGAGGAGCTGCGGTTAACCCTAACCCTACCTTCCATTGCTGTTCCCATTGGACAGGAAGGGGACCAAATAGCGGTGGCTCCGAGGTGACTGACAGCCTTAGAGCCACTTGTGAATGGATGGGAACTCCAGCGCCAGCTCCAGCTGTCAATCAATTGTGACTTGACTATTCCCATTCCCTCTATTGTTTCTTCCCCGTTCCTCCACCCCCTCAGTGATTGACAAGAGTGCAGCCTCTTGTCAATGGCTGGCGTCCACTGTCTTATCAATCGCAATTTGATTCCTCCCATCTCCAACCCAGAGCCGCTCGCTGCTGAATGAAGCCGCTCGAGACATAGAAGGCAAGGCGAGAGTGAGTACATTCAGCAGCGACCAACCCAGCATTTTTTTCCAGATCAACTGGAGTGTTGTACGAATTAAACAGCATTTTTAAAACAGGTAAGAATCCAAATGAATCAGGATCACACGTTTTGTCCAATTTACCCGGCATCCGAGGTAGTTAATCAGCACTGTAGTAAATATTTAACAAACAGAATACAAAACGTAGAGGAATGAAAAACAGGTAAACGAAGGATACTGCAGCACTCACTTGTGTCTTGTTTTGAGGTAGTCCTCCACCATTTCCACAAAATCAGTAGGTGCTTTGTATCCATAACCAGGCAGGTCCACCAAAGTAAAAGTTTTCCCTGCTTTAAAGAAATTAATCTTTTTTGTGTGCCCCTAAAAGGAAGTCAACAACATGAGAACTTACATTTTCAGCTATTCAAAGAATTGATGAAGCATTGCTGCATAGGTTTCATGACCTTCTTGAAAAAATTCCGAGAAATAGCCTGATTCATTTACAAATCTGTTTAAAATTGTTGTTCTGGAAAGCAGTTTTATAGTTCAGTATTGCTTTTCTAATGAAATAGAACATTGGGAAAAGTGATTTCACTGGAAGATACAATGTACACAAGAAAAACAGGCACTTTGGTAAATAGGGTGCAGTATTTGGAACTCTAAGTGACAGATCACCTGAGCCAATAGAAAAGTGCAGAAATATTTGCCAAAAATTGTGGGGAAATTTGGCAAATCCTGTGGGAAATTACAGGGGTTTGGTTGGTGCTATTGAGATATATTTTACTGCCAACCCAATGGGGGGGGTGAAATGACACCCGTGTAGAGATCCACCAAAAAACAGGCTCTCAGGACCAGTGTGCTGACTGGGGACTACTGGAGCTCACCACTTCCTGCTTCTCAGGGCCTAGCACCTAGCATACAGAGAACCAGAGAGAGCGTGAGAGAGACACACGTAAACAGAGAAACACACACTCACAGACACAACACAGACAGAGGAAAGCCCCAAATACGCATTCATACAGAGACACTCGCAAACACACATACAGAAAAAGAGACACAAAGACATACTCACACAGACGCTCACAACCATACTCAGAGGAGAGAGTTACACTCATAAACACGTATAAAGAGAGACACACCCAGACAATCTCAACGTAGAGCCTCCAGATCAAGCGAAGCCCATTTCCCGCTTGCATGCACATCCGGAGCTGCTTTGCCTATAGTTGTGTCAGATCAACAGCTGAGAGGCCCGGGTGCCAGAAATGTCATTGTTTAGCAGATTTATAACGGAGGGTACTGTTTATAGCGGAATCCGTGGCTAAATCGCGGCCGCTCTTTTCTATTGGCCCAGCAGATCACTCAGAACTTCCTAAGGTTTGCAGAAACCATGGAGACACAAAAGATGACACTAAATGTATTTACATATATAATTTAATTGTATGCAGTCAAACTAAATGGGGATACATGGTAAGTCTGTATGCGACTCAGAGATGTTACCATACTTGAATGCAATTTATTAAATGGATAAAAGCATATCCACCCTAAATACTGTAAAATGCAATGTATTTTGTTAGCTATTTTCTATGACCATACCTCTGCCATGCCAAAGAGCTATTAAACAGTAAATACTTACGGGATTTTTGGATACTCTAACTTCTAGACCAGGAACCAGAGAAAACAAGGCTTTTATCAATGAAGACTTTCCCACATTGCTTCTACCTATAAAACACACCTAGAAAGGCAAAACAAATATGGGTATTCAACAAATACATTTGCTTCTATATTACATATGTATAAGTTCACTCCTTCACATCATTAAGGTTATATATGTGATCGGGCATATTTGAACACATTGCTCTAATTTTATCCAATGCAAGAAAACTCTATAAACCCACTTGTAAGGCAAATCACCTATTGGTAAATTGGTAAATTCAGGTGATGAACAGGGCTACAAGTTGGTGAAAAGTATAATGTTTAATTTAATAGAGTATTTTAGACTATGGTAGTAAAATACAGAGATTTAAGTTTACAATATTTATGAATACTTATTTATTCAAAAAAGATCTTATTTATAGGACTGATGAAATATGAAAAAAGACACGCGTAACAATCATTGTGGGAGGCAATATGATTCACATCAAAAAATAATCTGATTTCAAGGAGCAGGAAAATTAGCTGATAAAGTGCATTGGAATATTAATAATAATAATCCTTGCATTTGATATAGTGCCTTCTCATGTCATTGAGACGTCTCAAAGCGCTCAAAGAATATACTGCAAAGTGGAGTAAAGTGCCCATTGAAAGATGAGTTTTAATCTCCCCAAATTTGTGGAGTGAATCACTCATCTAAAATCAATCTAGTTTTTAGTGAACATCAGTCCATAGCATAAAATTACCTTAAACAATGGTAGAGATACCACTCACTGAAACATACAATAGCATGTTCTACCACTTAGCTGTGATAAATGCAAGTTGAAAAGACTCATAATAAATATTAACATAAAACTGAGATAATAGTTCTCAGACATTCAGGTTTAATTTCAACAACCAATCTGATCATTTTTAATTTAATTTTCTTCCTAACCTTCTTCTCTTATGGCCACTATTACATTGCTTTCACATCTAACTACTAAACCTTTCAACTGAATTAATATTCAATGTCTTAAGTGGTCATTTATCATATACTGACTACTTCAAGATGAAGATGTTGCTTGACATCTTCAGGTTTACTTTGAAATACCATCGTTTTCAAGATGTCACTGTTTTGGATTGAGTTCTATGGTGTACACAATGTAGACTACGGCAGAACCTCATCCCTCACGCTGCTGAAACTGGTCCATGCCTTTATCACCTCAAGGCTGGACTATGGGAACTCTCTCCTCGCCGGCACCTCCCTCCACAAGCTGCAGGTCATTCAGAACTCTGCAGCTCGTGTACTGTCCCGCACCAGGCTTCGCGACCACATCACTTCCACCCTCGCTCACCTCCACTGGCTCCCCATCCCCCAGAGGATCGAATTCAAGATCCTCATCCTCACCTACAAGCCATTCAGGACCTTGCTCCCTCCTACCTCTCTGACCTACTATCCCCCTACCTACCTGCCCGTACCCTCCGTTCCTCTGGCACCGGTCTGCTCCACATCCCCCGCCCAACCGCCCTACCATCGGTGGCCGGGCCTTCAGCCTCTCAGCCCCCAGGCTCTGGAACTCTATCCCCCAGTGCCTTCGCCGCCTCCTCCCTTTCCTCCTTCAAGGCTGGTCTCAAAACCTTTCTCTTTGACCGTGCCTTCACCTCCTCTTTCGACTCTCTACCCCCTCCTCGCTCCCTCCCTTCCCTCCCCTCACCCTGACCATTTCCCCCCTGCTCGGGTCCTGACCCAACTGTACAGCGCCTTGGGACGTCCTCCCGACGTGAAAGGCGCTCTATGAATGGAATCTTGTTGTTGTTGTTGTAGAAGAAAGACAGGAGGTCCTATTTCGGATTCAATGGCTCTTACATTCATGTGCAAAAGTGCAAAAGAACCCATAGGGATTGTACTTCAGATGTATTTTCTGCCACAGGGGGGAAAAAAAAGTTTACTGTTAAGCGCGTTGCGTGAAACTGAAATTTGTAACCAAGAAGTTCAATGAAAATTGAGATGGAAATAATCTCTTTTCGCTCTCACGTCAACCACCTCAATTTTTGGAACTCTTTCCTAGGTTGCCTATCAGCACCTTGGGACGTCCTCCCGATGTGAAAGGCGCTATACAAATGTAATTGTGTTGTTGTTGTATTTCCACAGCTTGTATACACTCTCTTGTCACTTCACTGCATGCTCCCACCATGTCTAGCTTCCATTAATTCTCCATATTTGACTGATTTTGTCATGGCAAATCCAAACAAAATGAATAAATTGCAGTTTGCAGAAATGGAGACAAGATTCAAGGATAGTGACTCATTCTTGGTTTCATTTGGCAGTGCAGAATCACTGAATACTAAAATTGCCTAAAATGGAGAATATAATTTATAGTCATATAGCACCTTCATGATGGGAAGATGTCTTAAAGACCCTTCACAGTGCCACAAAGCTAAGATTGGGTGATAGCCAACTATTGCAGTTACAAGAATTAGTTAATATTGGATTTGTGGTATATATACACGTTTGATGGTTTAATGGATTTTGTTTCCAATTAAATTAATTAAAGAATTAGATCTGACAAGTTAGTTGATGTTTTCATGTAAAGCACATCATTTACTGTGTAGAGAAAGCTTTTCAGTCCATGTGTGGCCTCAAGACCCTTCTCTTCAACCATGCCATCGGCCACCCACCTTCCCCTTCCCTCCCTTACCCCCCCCCCAACAACAACTTGGATTTATATAGCGGCCTCCAGGGTGGACAGCGTCTCAGAGCGCTTTACAGTAACCAACCCCAGCTCGGGTCTGAAATGATGTACTCTGTCCAGCGCCTTGGGACGTCCTCCCGACGTGAAAAGCGCTATACAAATGTAATCTTGTTGTTGTTGTGGATAAGACCCAATATAAAAGTACTAGGTGTTTAAAAAAAACTTTCATCTCTCATCTCAATCTACACAAATACACTTATAAACTACTTTTAAGGAAAAATGACAATTCTACAGAAATTTATCATATAACAACTTACCCCTCACACAGGATAGCATCTCAGAACACTTGACAGTGGCGGAGCACAACCCCAACCCAGGGGAGGTGACTGTAAGCACGATCAAAGAGGAAGGTCTTCAGGCATGACCTGAAGATGGGGAAGGAGGTGACAATGCGGAGGGTGTTCCAGAGTTTCAGGGCGTAGTGGCTGAAAGTGTGTGCTCTTCGACCATGCTTACGGTCACCTCCCCCCTCCCCTAAATAATAATACTAATCACTGTAAACACTTCAATTGTGCGGCTTCAAAATTTCTATTGAGAAATCTGCGAAATTAAAATATACCAGGCAAGGAATAGATAGGTACACTCAGGCTGATCTCTCTGTACTTATAACTTAACTAAGTTGTTGTTAAGTCGAATCCAGCATTATTTTTATCAGGGATTTCTGTCCTATTACAGACAAAAATGTAAATGCTACTGACCTCTGGTTTAGCTACTGACGGTGCATGTTCCATCCTGACAGCAGAAGTGTAATAGTGTATAAAGTGATTGCTTGAAGGTGTGAAAAATTGTTCTGCAAAACTAATATCGTCAAAACTTGGGTCAAATATTCGAAAATTAGTTTTGCTCACATTGCTATCCAAGTACCTTTCCATGTCTATGAGAGGGAAAGTGATGCTGTTCAGCCTTTTCTGAGGCAGTTTGGAGACTGTCTGGAAGGTGTTGAATCTGTGAGTGTTTCTGTGCATTAAACAGAATGAAATCATTCTTTCTTGTGCCAAGTTTGCTTTGAAAACTCTTTCCACGCACAGTAGACTTCTTTGAGTGTGAACATTATTCCAGTCTTCTTGCAGTGTTTAACTGCTACCAACACTGTACACCTAAAATAGAAACATACACAGTTTTATAACATGTTAATGTTATCCCGGGGGGGAGCCCGGGGGGAGCCCGGGGGGGTGGGGGAGCCGGGGCCGGCGGTGGGTGGGGGGGAGCCTGGGGGTGTGGGGGGGAGCCTGGGGGGGGAGCCTGGGGGGTGTGGGGGGAGCCTGGGGGGGGGTGCCTGGGGGGGGTGGGGGGGAGCCTGCGGGGGTGGGGGGGAGCCTGGGGGGGTGGGGGGGGAGCCTGGGGGGGCGGGGGGGGGGGGGGGGGGAGCCTGGGGGGGGGGGAGCTGGGGGGGGGAGCCTGGGGGGGGGGGGGGGAGCCTGGGTGGGGGAGCCTGGTGGGGTGGGGGGGGGGAGAGCCTGGGGGGGTGGGGGAGCCTGGGGGGGTGGGGGGCACGGGGGGAGCCTGGGTGGGGGAGGGGGGGAGCCTGTGGGGGGGGGAGTGGGGGGGGGGAGTCTGGGGGGGGGGGGGGGGAGTCTGGTGGGGGGGGCGGGTGGGGGGGGAGCCTGTGGGGGGGGGGGGGGGGGGGGGGAGCCTGGTGGGGGGGGGAGCCTGGGGGGGCGGGAGCCTGTGGCGGGGGGGAGTCTGTTGGGGGGGGGGGGATCCTGTGGGGGGGGGGGGAGTCTGTTGGGGGGGGGGGAGCCTGTGGGGGGGGGGAAGTCTGTTGGGGGGGGGGATCCTGTGGGGGGGGGAAGTCTGTTGGGGGGGGGGATCCTGTGGGGGGAAGTCTGTGGGGGGGGGGGATCCTGGGGGGGGGAAGTCTGTTGGGGGGGGGGATCCTGTGGGGGGGGGAGTCTGTTGGGGGGGGGATCCTGTGGGGGGGGGAAGTCTGTTGGGGGGGGGGGATCCTGTGGGGGGGGGTGTCTGTTGGGGGGGGATCCTGTGGGGGGGGAGTCTGTTATCCTGTGGGGGGGGGGTCTGTTGGGGGGGGATCCTGTGGGGGGGGGAGTCTGTTGGGGGGGGGGGGGGGGGGGGGGTCTGGGGGGTTGGGGGGGGGGGGAGCCTGGGGGGAGCCGGGGCCGGCGGTGGGTGGGGGGGAGCCTGGGGGGGGGTGTGGGGTGAGCCGGGGCCGGCGGTGGGTGGGGGGGGAGCCGGGGCCGGCGGTGGGTGGGGGGAGAGCCTCCCTCCCTCCCTCCCTCCCCATGTTGACCGTGTAGCTGACCTGACCTTCGCTGATCAGCGGCCTCCCCTCCGCCTCCTGCACCGGAAGCCGAGCCGCCTGAGGCCTCGGCCTCTCGCCTGTGCCCGGCCCCGGAGATCCGCCCCGAGCCGCGGGGGGGGGGAGAGGGAGAGGGAGAGAGGGAGAGGGTTTGCTGCAGTCACGGCCATGGGCTGCAGTTCAGCTCCTCGTGTCTCGGCCTCCAGTGTGTCATCATTATAATAACTGCTGTATGTGGTATTTTATAGTCAGAGCTTTTCAGGTTTGGAGAACGTCCTAAAGCTCTTCACAGGATATACTGTCACCTGCAGTGAGTGCATTTAGTCGGGAAAGTGTCCATCACAAGCAGATGTACATTAGCGCTGCATTCACAACCTTACCCTGAGCCAGGTTTATTATCATAAGGCATTTATTCTCTCTATTTCCCCATCCCATGCAGTATTCCTGACTAAAGCGCTCGCGCCCATTTGGGGCTTTCTCAATGGCGAGGCGAAGGGAACAGTACAACAGTAACCAGTTGAGTTTCCCGCTGATATCCCGAGCCCAGTAGCTTTCAGACGCTATGGTTGCTCCCCATCTGGATGCATGTAGCCGAGAACTTGCATCCTATAGACGAGAATGATGATTTGTATATAGGGTTCAGTGTGGGAGGTTTGAGCACCCACCTGAACAGGCAGATGGGACCTTGGTTTAAGGTTTCATCCAAAGTTCGCATCTCTGACAATGCAGCACAGCCATAGTATTGGACACGAATGTCTATAGACGTGGCTGTCACATCACCAGTTGTCATGTATAGGTCATTTCACCACCCTGATGTCTGTTGAATAGCTGATGAGGAACTCTGAAGTTTGAGACAACAGCATTTAGAAGGAGCTATCTGGAGTCTAAGTTCATGAACTTACATATTTAGGGCTTGGTATGTACCTTGATTGGTGTGGATATAGATATACAGCTGGTGCTGAAGCTTAATGGCAATGCTGTAATGCATTTTATCCTGAATTGTGCTCACATGAAATTCCTGGTATCAGCTATTCTGTACTTGTTAGTGAGGGCTCAAAGCTGTGCTTGTTGTAAGTCAAATGACCAACGAGTGACTATCTTTGGGAGGAGGGAAGTGCAGGCCTTTAGCTTCTCTGCCCCCACCCTCTGGAATTCCATTCCACAGTCCTTCCACTTCGTCCCCTCGCTTGCCTCCTTCAAGATCCGCCTTAAGACCCTCCTCTTCGACCGTGCCTTCGGTCACCTTCCTACCCTACCTTCACCAATCGTCTACCCCTCCTGAACCCCACCACCAGTTCGGGTGCTGATCCCTGACTATCCAGTGCCTTGGGTGTTCTCCTGACGTGAAAGGCGCGATACAAATGTAATTGTTGTTGTCTGGGTCAGTCTCAGTAATCTAGTTGCTGAGCCCGGGCGTTTCTCAGTAATCCAAGGCACTGTTGAAGAAAGACCAGCCAGTCTGGATCATTGGCATGACTATGTCCATGTATGGACTTAAGTCCACAACCTTGTAATCATAAAACAATAATGCTGCCAACTGAGCCAAGCTGATAGATGATAATTCTAGTCACACTTCAGTTCATATGGTAATTTTGTTTTTGTATAATTATTAACTAACAATTCTGTAAAATAAGGAAAAGTTGTATTAGATGAAAAACAATGTTCTTAGTTACCTTAGTTAATCTTGAGTTTATTAGACACAGTTGAGTTGGCAGAATCATTTATGGCACATAGATTTAATCAACTTGGTAACAGCTGAAATCTAAAGCCAATTTGCATTTATCTGAGGAATTTCACTTGGCACAAAATGCTTCCAAGTTTGACTCTTCATATAAACAAGTTGAAATATTGAAATAACATGTATCTGAGGATCCTGCTAAATCTTTCAGACCATTTATTAATTAACGCACAAATACATATACCTTATTAACATTTCACCAACAAATGGTATGTTCAATACAAGGGCATTGAGGCTAATCTGGAAGAGGGATTAAGGCACAGTTATTAAGGCCCTGCAGTGAGATTTTAATTGTCTTGGAATTACACAAATATCCTCACCTATATCCTCTGTTCACTGACCACTAGCAGTAGGCTAATTCATCAACAGTCAACGTAGGTCAGTTGGAGCACTCGCCTCTGAAAGAGAAGGTTGTGGGTTCAAGTCACATCAGGATTTGGAACTCATAGTTTACACTAACACTGCAGTCATGCTGGGGGATGCTGTATTGTCAGAGGTGCTATGCTTCAGAGGAGATGTTAAACTGAGGTCATGTCTGCCTGTGTAGGGGATATTAAAGATTCTATGTTGTGAGTATAAAATCAATATTAGTGTTTAGAGGGGTTTGGATCAATTCAGCACAAGGCCTAAAGAATGGCTAATGGATTTTAATATGGATAAATTAATTGCAGTATTTTATGTCAGACCAATAAATTGTGGGATTGAGTGAAGCTCCAGAGGGGCAATTATTATTATATATTATTATTATTATCAAGTGCCTTCCTTTACAGGAAGGACAGTATTAGTATTAAAGTTTAACTTCCACTGGTACATGTAAATTTTTAGGGGTAACTAAATAAATCAGTCCAAAGGGTACATATTCTTTCTTCCTCTCTTTTCTCTTTTTGGAGAATATTAAGTGTTTTTGATGAATAGAATTCAAGATACAAATCTGCATGTTCACTGATTGGTGATGACAGAAGTTTTTAAACTGCAATCCTAAATCATTGAATATGTGGAGTCACATTTTGTATTATATTCATCAAAATAAATTACTTTTCCTGACCAAATGCTAATTTTCAGAGATAACAAATAGCAATCAGATTTGTTTATTCATTTAGGTTTGGAATGAAGTGCTAGTCATTTATATTCCACAGTATTTGCATGAGGTGGGGTGAGGGGGACTGTAAATTGCAGGGAGGGTCAAATATGATTAGAGTTAATAGATTTCTGAGTTTTAAGTTCAAAAACTTAGCTAGAATGTTAGAATGTTAAATGTTAAAATTATGTACTATAGTTCCTCAGTTGTTAAAGGATTAGTGTGATCTGGACCCTATGTTATACAGATCAAGAAGATTCTAGACTCAGTTCCTTGGGATATCTGATCCCTGGTAGAGTCATAATTGACACCATCCCTGTGGAACACCACCTCCTACAGTGCTACATTGTATACTGGAGGAGCCCTTTTATTGTTGTTTTGGTGTCAGACACATGCAGAAACCCATCACCATTTTAAAGATTTGATACACTACACTCCTGAGAGGTATACATATGTATGGTTTCTGTTTGGAGTGTGTGCTCTCTTCCCAGAGAAATGAGCACCGTACACACAGATTAACATAGATACACACGATGTTGATCACTTACATCATTTGATATGGCACAATTTATTGCATTGTAACATGTTTTGCCAGCTGTAAGTCTAACACACATAAAAACTCCTTGCTCTACAGGTGTCGCATTTCACTTTGGCTTTCAGGTGGCATTACTGGTTAGCGGGATCATATTTTACTGAACAAAATTATGAGCAAAGCTGGCTCTGGGAATAGAAAGCTGTGATCTTCAACATGTGACTTGGCTTCATGTACATTGGAAATGGTGTGGGATGGAGGGATCGATCCCCAGCGTATCCAGATACAACAATGCAATAATTCGTAATCAACACTCAGGGATGTCACAATTTAAATTGCAAGTTATACGGTAAAAGCAAGAAATATGGGGCATGAAAACTAGCAAATTAGCAATATACTTCATTGAATCTGACCTGTTCATATATACGATTTTACTATAAATATGCATTGTCTCACTAAGGTTGATCCTTGCCTATGGGGGAGCCAGACTTCACATATTGTACATGATGGGCACACGTATTTTGGCTAGTTGTTTCTATCTGAATATGCACAGATTGGATTGCCTTCTGTTGACAGGTTTAGGGATAGTCTTGGGTGCTTAAACAATTAAGCAAAGTTCAGAGAACTACTGAAGTCTTCTCAAATTGCATTTGTTTGCAGGGATCTAGGGATCTGGAAAGTTCCACAATGGTGCCTTGTTATCCTTAGAGCAAACCTGGAATGAGACAATAAACTGGAAAAAAAGATTTATTACAGAGGAATAAAATCAATGTTTGGTCTGAGTTACAGTTGCATAACTGCACAGCGATATATACATCTTATCCCAGCCTCACATGACTCAATAGGCTGAGTTATTTGTCCACTTTCACATAAAAGTAAACTGAGACTACTTGAAATAAACTGCAGGTTTGAAAAGATTAAAGGTTAAGCAGACAAAGCCATAATATTAAGAAAAAAACATTCCTATCATCCTACACATGCCCCTTGCTCTGCACAAAAAACAATGTTCTCAATATGTCTTTAAAATTGGGATTAAATGAAAACAATGCTGGAGTTGCCATCTGAAAACTTGCCAAAGTTTAATTGGGAAGTAGTGGCTTGTCATGTTGACCCGATGTCTGCAGATGATGTCATTAAGAAGGAGCATGAAGGAGAAGGAGCATATTGAGAAGGAATCCCTAACTATCCAGCGCCTTGGGATGTCTACCCGACATGAAAGGCGTGATTCAAATGTAATTTCTTGTTGTTTTGTGTAGGCAAATGACATAGCAGCCATTTTGCACAAGCAATTTCCCACTAATAGACATCACAAGATAACAAGATCGGCTTGGATGAAGAAGGCCCTTTGGCCCATCTGATCTCAGGTGAATAACCAGTTAAACTAGAGTATTGTTGACCAAGACACCCTGAAAACCTCTTTCAAATAAAACACCTTTCATACATTACAGCTGATCAATGAGAGCATTAGGAAGATCAGGGCTGGCTAACCTAAATTAAATCTTTGACTGAGTTGGGTTCAATTGAAAGAGGGAGGGAGAACCGGAAAAGAGTTGGATATTTGGGCTGGGCCTTCTGCCACTCTGCCCGCACCCTCTGGAATTCCATCCCGCAATCCCTAAAATTGAGATGTGTGTCATTGGAGATTCCTCTGGCTTAAATGTAATTAGCTGGATGGTTGAAGTCAAAGAGTTGGTGTGCAGGGGACATCCTTGGACTGACATTCAGTGAAGCATTGAGTTCCTAAAGGGTCAATGCTAAATCCACAGCTGCTCTCCATTTATATTAATGATCTTAGTTTGAGTATTGAAGGGAGTACATCCAGTTTTGCAGATGACATTAAGCTCAGAAGCGTGCTGAACTATGGAAAAACAATGCAGTAATTTACAATCTGACATTGACAAATTAGATGTGTGGCAGATGCAGTTCAATGTCCAAATGTGAGGTAATGCATTTTGGCCATAAAAATAGGGGTTGGAAAGATGTATTAAATGGAGAAGTTCTCGGGGGAATCAATGAACAATGAACTGTGATGGTAAATAAATCACTAAAAGATCATTCACAAGTGCCAAGAGCAAAAAAGCAACATTGGGTTGTATAGAAATATAGAATATAAAAGCAGGGAACTACTGTTCAAGGCATGAGTGAGACCACATTTGGAGTATTCAATTTGTGCATCTCAACACGTACACTGGCTTTGGATGGAGTAAATGCTGGATTCATAAGGATGGGGTCAAGGATCAGGGTTGCAGAGAGTTAAATTATACTAAAGGCCAGAGGCATAGCAGTTCAAGGTTCGGTGACAGATGGTGAGGCAGAAAGAATGAGCAAACGGTAGGTCAGAATCAGAAGAGTGAAGATATGGTGAAGAAAATATGATTTACTTACCATTGCAACAATCTATCTCTGGGATTTCCATGTGTAGGTGGGATGCATGGAATGCATTGCATTGGGATGCATGGAATGCATTGCATTGGGATGCATGGAATGCATGCATTGGGATGCAAGTGTGAGATTGAAGGGATTAAAAATTAAGGACAAGGATCTTAAATTCAATACACATATGTACTGGAAGCCAGTAGAGCTTAGAAAGGATGGGAATAATTGGTGTGAGATCCTAGTTAGGCAAATAACAAGAGTTTTGGGTGAATTGGAGCTTATAGAGGGGTCCCTTGAAAAGGTCTATCCTTGAGGTGATGTTGACGTGAAAGATTTCAGCAGAAGTGGAGTGAGGTAAAAATGGATGTGGGAAATTTTCCAGTGATGAATAAACAGTTTTAGCAATGGAATGTACGTGGAGTTTCAAGCTCACCTGAGGGTCAAGCAGAAATGCCAAGATTGGGCACAAAATTAATACAATAAAAAAGTTTCATATCAAATAGGTAAAATGAAACGTGATCTCAAAGTTGGTTCAATGTTTCAAATGTGGATTGGTGCATAGTGGTGATATTGCTGCAGCTGCTTGCTTTCCCTTTCCTGGCTCCACCGCCATCTTGAACATGATGCCTCAAAGCATTGCAAAAATGACAACAATGTAACAGCAAGACCGAGGCCCTCCTGATTGGCTCGCACCAGAGCCCCCGCACCTCAGGCGCTGGCAGCGTTTGACCCTGAACTGTTCTTTCTCACCCACATCCGCACCATGAAGGACACTGCTTACCACCACCTCCGCAACATTGCCAGACTCCACCACTGCCTCACCTCTCAGGCTGCCGAAACCCTCACCCATACATTTGTCACATCAAGGCTTGATTACAGGAACTCCCTCCTCATCGGCCTTCCCAACTCTTCCCCTTCACAAGCAGCAGTTCATCTAAAACTCTGCAGCTCGTGTACTCTCACGCACCAGGCTTCATGACCCCATCACTCCCACCTTCGCCCGACTCCACTGGCTCCCCATCCCCCAGAGGATCAAGTTGAAGATCCTCGTCCTCACCTTTAAGGTCATCCATGGCCTTACCCCCTCCTACCTCTCTGACCTGCTGACTCCCTACCAACCCGCCCGCTCCCTCTGTTCAGCGGGCTCCGACCTGCTCAATGTCTCCCGCATGACCTGCCCTACCATTGGTGGCCGGGCTTTCAGCCTCTCTGCCCCCACACTCTGGAATTCCATCCCATGGTCCCTTCGCCTCACTTCCTCCCTTGCCTCCTTCAAGGTCAGTCTCAAGACCCTTCTCTTCGACCATAATAATAATAATAATAACCATGCCTTTGGTCTCCCTCCCACCTCTCTGCCTTCCCTCACCCCTACACCACCATCCCTCCCACATGCTCGGGCCCTGACACCTGACTGTTCAGCGCTTTAGGACATCCTCCCAACGTGAAAGGCGCTGTAATTTTGTTGTTTTTTTGGTCAGCTGGGACACATGAGGAAATCCATCACCATGCTTAAGAGTATCCAAACCAAGCTGAAATTTCCATGCATCCCACCTACACATGGAAATCCCAGAGATTGTTTGTTGCAATGGTATACATACACTCTCCATGGAGGGATGCATACTGCATAACTAAGTCCGGAAAGTATTAACAGCAGGTTGGCAAGAGCACACTCTTGGGACCCCAGAGTGTGCGTTGGGGTACTGCTGGAGTCTAACCAGCTAAAACCGCACAGCTTGGCATTTATATTGCTGTCCGGCAAACTTTACCTCTGCTTGTCCAGCTAAGACCAAGCTACCCATTGGGGCTTTGGCTTGCAGGGTTAACAGGAGATGAATGGAATGACTCCCTGTCCCCCAATATCTAGTCTGTCCTCCATGTCCTGCTGATGAGCCAGGCTGGCTGTGCTGTCATCAACAGTGCCCTGGAATACTGCGGACCCGTCTGGCTCAGGAACCAGACCACTGAGACCACCACAGCGGGTTGGCTTCATTCCGACATTCCATTGCCAAGCATGTCACCTTGGAGCCAATTCAGCTCCAAGGAAACCCCGCTTGCCTCCCCCTAAGGAAGATAACCACATACATATCACAATCTCAAAGCTCAGTTCTTGCACATACAAAAATCATTGACTTCATTCACAATTCAGTAGGAGAAGAAGATATAAGTATACAAACAGAGAGAGCTGGGAAAACTCAGCAGGTCAGGCAGCATCTATGGAGAAAGGAAAGTGAGTCTACGTTTCGGGTCCACAACCCTTCATCAGAAGTTCTGGCAAAGGGTCGTGGACCCAAAAAGTTGACTCACTTTCCTTTCTCCATAGCTGCTGCCTGACCTCTGCTGAGTGATCCCAGCTCTCACTGTTTTTGTTTCATATTTCCAGCATCTGCAGTATTTTGTGTTCTGAAGATATATAAGTACTTCTGTTTTTCTCCATTCTTAATTTTTCTGCATCATGATATGGTGATAAAAGAAATCGATGCTTTTGATGTGGTCCAGCTCTGGAAAGTTTGCATCATCCATGCACATTCGACCCTCCCAGTTAAAAGGGCAAACGCTAACTTGGAAAAAAGAGGCTTCTGGTTATATCAGGCGCTATTTTTAGATAGAACAACTGTGAGCTTTGCCAGGAATCTTTTCACAAGCTGCCTCTAAACTAAACTCATGCCCCAGCCCACCGTCCTTCCCATCGAGTGCCCAGTCCCCAAAGCCCTCCAGCTATTTCCCCCGCAGCGCCGCGATCACCCGCAAATACTCCCAATATTCAAACTGGTGGGAAAACCACGCACCAGTTTTTACAGGGGGTCAAAGCAACGAAGACGAGCGGAAAGGTGAGTCTCTCCTGCGAGTTTTGGAAAGTTGGGAGTACCTTCTCTGCTCGGATTTATCGGTGCGGCTGAGGATTAGGATGGAATTAAAGAGCCGTCGAAGCTCTTGGTCTGTGATTCCCGTTCAAAGTTGGGTATATAAATAGCCGCCGGAGAAAGTCTGGGGGAATGGATCACTGAGTGTCAGTAACTGCCCACAAATGACTGCGAAACGTCAGGAAACGTGACTTTTTTTTTCTCTCTGCGGGTGGTGGACTGACTCTGATCCTGGCACAGGATTTGCAAACTGGAGGTTTGATGTAAAGATCCTGTCCCCCCGGGGGTGGGGGGGGGAGAGGGAGGTTGGGATCAAGGAACCCACCAACTTCCAACAGGCGCATCCCCTGGGGACGAGTTTCAAAAATGCGGCTGTGGGTGAACTCTGTTACTTCTTCTCATGACATATGAGTCTTGTAGTTATTATTGTGGAAATGCACCGCAGCCACCGATTAACTGGGACGATGACTGCTCGTCTATTTTAGGCAGTGCATTTCAAAATGAGGGTATTTTTAGCAATAGGCGAATATTCTGATCAATTTTTCAACTGTTCTCTGGGTGAGAGTGCTTCATGCTCATTTACACAGTGTAATGGAAGTTGCCCATGGAATCATTTTGTTGCATGCCAGACCTATGAGAAATTTGCCATACATGTACTTTCTATGTCCCCGCGTTTTTTTTTGTTTTCAAAAGAATAACTTGACGCTATTGGAAAAGAAAGGAAAGTTGTTTCCCCCCCACTGTCCTGGCCTGCAATCTTCCAGACAAATTGTCCATAGGTCTCATGACTATCTGTGGGATCATGGCGCAAAATTCCTCCACTTGCCTACAAAAACAGCCCCTAAACTTTCCTGTGATTAATTGTGAATTATTTAGGTGCTATAATATAGATGTTCTCTCAATATGCCACTGCTGATTGTGTATGTGTGAAATGTTTACCTATTTGGTGCATTATTTTGATGGTAAATTTGAAAACGAATTTATAAAAGAACCCCTTTTCCTTAGGGGTGTTGCAATAATTGTCATCCAAGACCAAGAAGATACCTCACATAGTATAGTATTCATCTTCAAGCAGCTCTGGCTACCCTTGTGCAAATACATTTGTCGAAACAGATAAAGGCAGCTGTCAGCAGTTTGTATTATTTTTTAGGAACCCACTCTGCAATTTAGAACAGCCTTTAGCACCCAAATTGCTTTAAATTAGAAGAGGTGTGGTGTGCATGAGTGTTTTGCTTGTTGGTGTTTAACAAGAAAGATACCGTTTCTTTAAAGTGTTTTCAGATCTGGAGCCAACCGTCGCTGTTTGTGTTGTGGGATAACCAGACAGTGGGATAATCATGTCCGTATCTTTATTAAAGATTCACTCCACTCTGAGGGAAGAGAGACTCAGGTGTTTATTTTCTGGCTCCTGGAAAAGGTATCTAAGCAACTGTGAAATGGACACTGAAATTTGATCTGTTTCAGAGGCACCAATAATGTTAAAGAACTGAGTTAGGTCCGACTTCCACTGCATCGTTTATATCTTCTGAATGTTTGGATTTAACTGTCTTTTTCCATTCCTGGCAGCACAACAAATTCCCCTTCACACAATGTCTAAGCGAAGCTCCAACGTTAGGTCCCTTCAGGTGAGAGAAAGTTTTGCTACTGACCGATTAAAAGCGTGTGACAATTGTGATCGGTGTATTAAAGTTGGCTTATGGTTATGATGGCTTAATCCTTAGTGGATTTTGTTTCTGATGCAATTTGCAGGCCAATTTAAACATCCCAATGGGTGCCTTTCTCCCTGGAGCAGGACATCCCAGCAAGAGAAAAGAATGTACTTCAGAGGTCGAAGAGGTGAGAGAAAGTCATTGATGGTGGAACTGTACAAAAGTCTAGAGAGGTAGAGCAAGTAGTTGATGATTTGACACCAACAATAATATAATGGAAACCAATCCCGCTCTAATAAATTATGAATTGAAATTCACCTTGTTCTTTTAGTTACCTTGATTAACATTGTGGACTCCCCTCCCAGAGTTGAATCACAGTGGGTTTAGGCTAATCATAGGAACCTGAATCTGTGAGGGTTGTCTCTTTGCTGAATAGTATTCAGTACATACTCAATTGGTTTGGGAAAGCCAGATTTCCAGACGAAAAATGACAACAAATTGCAGCTTTATTGGGAGGATGTTCCAAGGTTCTGGACAATAACGGGTTTGACCCCAAGTTGCGGGTTGGGATCAGGGATGGGTGGAGGAGGGAAGATGATCACAGGCATGGTCAAAAAGAAAGGTTTTGAGACAGGGCTTGAAGCTGACAAGAGAGTGGGCGAAGCTGAATACCTGACTGCCCATAGGGGAGCCGGCAGGGTTAGTGCCTGCAGAGCAGAGAGAGTAGATAGGTTGGTGAAGTTTTGGTAGGTAGCAGACGGAGGGAGGAGCAAGACCGTAGAGGACTTTAAAGGTGAGGACAAGGATCTTGAACCTGATCTTCTGGAGGATGGGGAGCCAGTGAAGCCGCTTAAGGACTAACCATTTCTTTCAATATCAACTTTCTTCATCTCAAAGTGATCAGCATTAATAGATACAGTAGTTGAGTTGGGCTTCTATCTAAAAGTATAGATTTCCTTTGACATAGGAGGCATTCAGAAAATCGGAGGATAAGAAGGAGCTGCCTGGAGCAGTGAAGCTGCCTGGCCCAGCGGTGAACCTCAAACAGATCCAGGATGCCAAGAGTGACCTCAGATATGTGTCCAAAACCGAGTAAGGGTGCAAGCATCACATCCTGTTGACTTTTCTACTAACCAGTTTCTGCTCGAGAAAATGCCAACGTGCAACAGCCTATGTATTTCATACGGCCAACAATTTTTACAGCACTACGAGCTTTAAAGCATTAAACTATTTATAATGATTATAATTTACTTTGATTACCTCTAATATTGCAGCAATTTGCAACCCAGTGGTGCTCTCGATGCTGTCCATTTTTCTTATAAATATAGTAAAATAATATATTTACCAAATCAGGACATTTCTTGTTAAATCTAAAATGTGGTAATCACATTTTATTTAGTAAAATACAAAGATGAGAGTGTGAATTTGGGATATTTAACCATTACCATGTTACCTTTATGTCATGCACTGTTGTATGCAGTTATAAATCTGTGTTATAAATCCCTTCTGGCTACTGATGGAATGAGCATTCTCTTATTCATTACTTTGATGCATAGTTTTTGAAAGAAACCTCAGCAATAAACCCATATTGAAAACAGCAGTACTTGTGCAAATGTGTTATGCTACCTTCTGGCAAAAACTGTTCACCTTACAAAATACAAATCGGACTAAATCTCAACTGCTCAAACATTAGCAAAAAACATTGGAAATGATTGTATTACACAGAATTCTTATAAAGGTTGTTAATTGTAGAATTACTGCACATGTTACATCCAGATCCATAGGACATTACCTTTTTAGCCTGATCAAAAACTATTCAGAGATTCAGGGATTCATAGAATCGTAGAATTATACAGCACCGAAGGAGACCAATCGGCATATCGTGCCTGTGCTGGCTGTTTGAAGAGAGCTGTCCAATTTAATCCCACTCCCCTGCTCTCTCCCCATAACCCTGCAAACTTGTCCTCCCCAAATAATTATCTACTCTCTCGAAAGTTGTTATCGAATCGGCTTCCACTACCCTTTTAGGCAATGCATTCCAGATCCGAACAACCCGTACTTTGTTGAAAGAACATGCCAAGAGTAAAGTGAAAGCATCTTAGAGGCATTAGTTAACACTTCATTCATCACTTCAAATCGTATGAGTTTGAGATGTCTTAAAGCCGTGATAAGGCACTATCAAATACAGGGATTATAATTATTATTATTATTATAAGCAACAGTAAAGAAGGCAAAGAGGATCCTGGGTTTTATTACAAATCAGCTTAGATGGCTCTGGAACTCCATCCCCCAGTGCCTTCGCCTTGCTTCCTCCCTTTCCTCCTTCAAGGCCGGTCTCAAAACCTTTCTCTTTGACCGTGCCTTCAGCTCCCCTCTCGACTCTCTTCCCCCTCCTCGCTCCCTCCCTTCCCTCCCCTCACCCTGACCATTTCCCCCCTCCTCGCTCCCTCCCTTCCCTCTCCTCACCCTGACCATTTCCCCCCTGCTCGGGTCATGACCCAACTGTGCAGCGCCTTGGGACGTCCTCCTGACGTGAAAGGCGCTTTATAAATGGAATCTTGTTTTGTTGTTGTTGTAGTTCTGTTCCCCAAAGTTCCCCTGAAGTGTTACTGTTTGTTGATCAGGTAGCCACAAAGGCAGTGCACAAGAGAATAATGAAATTCATCCCGAGTGTTGGAGCCTTGAGAAGTAACTAAATAAGCTAAGGTTCTTGAAAATAGATAACTTAGAGGTGAGCTGGTAGGTTTCTAAGATGCTAAACAGAAAGGGAAAGCAAATCCAGAACAATATGTTAAGATGCAGTAGGACAAGAGGGTACATGTTCGTGGTTATAAAGAGAAATTTTAGATACCAAGAAGTATTTATTAACAGAAAATAATTGAAGGCTGGAATTAAGTTACAAAGAAGAGTGGAAGAGACCAGAATACTGGATTCAATTAAGATGCATGTTTTGCAAATATGGAAATCTTCATTGATTTCATCTACACAGCCACTTGCAATCCTTGGTAATAGAACAGACTTCTATCCTTATAAGACAAAGAGCAAAATATTGTTTGTGAATTGTATTGAATTATTGATATCCCAATCAATGCATGACTCTTACTTTGCATGTTTTTTTCCCCCCCTAACTGTTTCAAAGCAGAAAGTGAGCTTGAAGAACAGTTATGTGATGAGATAAAATGTACCATCATGGACACCTTTTAACAACCATAAAAGGGATGCCAAACGACATACAACCAATGCATGCAGCACTAAGGTTATTATGATTTTTGGTATTCCAAAACAGCACTGAGGAGTAATGGAACACTGAAAAATGGAAGCAACCTGGAAGCTCAGGCCTGATCTTATTAAACTAGTAATTTCCCTTAACAATATTCTTAGATATGGAATAGAGTTAGAAAGAGTATTTACAACTAAATCAACTATGTTCTATTGGCAAGTTGTTCCTCTTCCTTCTTCCCCTTCTAAAAACACTCGACTCCTTTTTCCTTCCACTGCAGTACAGGAGTCACTCACTGGTATTGATATAAGAAGCCATTTAGCCCATCATGGCTCTGATGGCTGTCTCTGAAAGAGCAACCTTTAGTGTCACTCCTCCCACTTTCTTTTATATTTTTCCATTTGAAATATTGTCAAATTCCCTTTCAAAAGCTATTCTGATTACGTTTCAACCTCTGCTATTGGCAGCACATTCCAGGTCCCAATAATCCACCGTGGAAAGCAAATTATCTTAACTTCACTGTTTTTTTTTTTAGTAATGATTTTAAATTCCTTACCGGTTCATCAACCGGTAGGAAATAGTTTACACCTATTTACCTCTTCAACAAGTCGATCAGATCTTCCTTAACCTTCTTTTCCTGAGTGAAATCAGCCCGTTTCTTAAACTTCCTTATAATGAAATCCTCTCATTTTGATACCCACATTGTGAATCTTCTTTGACATCTTTCCTAAAGCATGGTGTTCAAAACTGGATACAATGTCCCAACGATGGCCTATGATTTGTATGATACAACACTAACTCTTCGCTGTGTATATTAAATTGCACTGTGCAGACACTCAAGCTGGCGAAAAAAGAAACTACTTCGTTTCACATCAGAAAGACCGCAACAGACGGTAGGCTTCTAGCTTACAAAGAAGGAAGCGGCAGAAAAACATCCACAATTACAGAGTAAGGAGCCAAACTTGCTCACATCCTTTGCCACTCCTTTTAAGGTTTTTTTCTCCTTCATCGTTTTACTCAAGGCGTTGTCTGCCCAGCTTCCCTGATGCTTTACACTCTCGTTATGTGTTGGCAATGCTCCCAGGGGCTGTGGTAACTTGCACAGGGACCTGCCGAGCTTTGTAGCTCTGTCAGTCCTTCATGTAGGAAAGACGCCAGGCTGAGAGCTGGCAGCACCCGTTTGTTAAACGCTATGTTGTTTGAGGTAGTTTACATGTGTCCGTTTGCAAATAATAGTTCACTAACAGCTGGAATTTCGAGGCTAACGTTAAGCTCTGACCTTTTGCACCTGCACTGACAGCAAATGCCAACAACACCCACAAGATAGGTCTCTTGGCAATATCGCGGAGCGGTCGACACTGACCCTGTCGATACGTTCTCCTAGCTTTGTTTTTCGTATGTTGTATTTTAAGCAACCACTGAACCATTTTGATCGAGTACAAAGCTGTTCAGCAGTCAGCACTGTGTGATATTACAGCTGCTGCTGTACGTGTCTAATCGTGATCAAAATCACAGCCTCTTGTACAGTGGACGAGGCGCCGTGTTGTACAGCGATCAGTTTAATAAGAGGGAAAGTACCAATTTTGAGTTCGGACCCAGATTTGAGGCAGGAACTAAATGCAGTTAATAGCATAACTTGCTCGTGGAGTCCTGTGGCTCAGTGGTTAGAGCACTCGCTTTGCAAGCGAGAGACCTGAGTTCAATCCCAGGCAGGGCGAAACCTTGGGCAAGTTTCCTTACTCCACACGCCTAATAATAATCCCTCCAAAACCAGAAACAATAATAAATTGGTCATTTTCAATCTACGACTGTTTGTGGGACATTGCTGTGCGCAATTGGCTGCCGCGTTCGCCCACAAATATACAGTCAATTCACTTTACAGTGTGTTCTGTGAAGCGCTTTGGGACGTCCTCCCGACGTGAAAAGCGCTATATCAAATGCAAGGATTATTATAACTTCTCCCCAGAAACATGTAAGTGAAAATCACAATTCAGGATGTGATAATAATCACCAATGACTGTTTGCCTCTGTCTGCAACAAAAATGTCACCATGTCCCTAAAAGCAGTTTCCTGTTAAGTACTGCCAGAATATTGGATTTTTCTTTTGTATAGATATCTAATGCGTTAACCCCACCCCACCACCCCGCTCCCTCCCTCCCACCCAAAAAAAACCCACAGAAAATATATGTAATCTTACAATTTGTTCACAAAAATATTCAGTAAAATTACAATAACTTTGGGTGACGTGAAAGCAAAGTGAGGTAACATGGCTTCTCTCTCTTTCTCCTCTCAGTGCCAGTCTGTCCCCACTCTCTCTGCCTGTGCCACCAGCACAACCTGCCATGTGCCATATGTGCTTAAGGTTTGGGTGTTTGTTCCCCCCAAGTCCATTGTGCAATTACAATGCGCATCACTTAAGATTGTGGTGATGGAGCGAGCCTTGTAATATAATGTTCATCCCGATCATTTCCTGCTCAGAGGGGTAGAGTTATCTGTCTGTAGGTGGTGTATAACTTAGAGCAATGTTACACAATGTTGGGGGGGGGGGGGGGGGGGAGTCTAACATTGTGTTACATTGGTCAAAGAAAAAAATGGGAATCTGACTTAAAGATTTAAAGAACCAGAAATATATGAACATTAATATTTTTTAAAAAGGAAATGTACACTTTGGGGGAAAATGTCATTTGAATTGCATCTAGCCTGTTCAAAACAGTTTTAAGTTGCCATTCCTTGGGGTATTTAAGACTTGTTTCACAAAGATGTGTTCAGGGGGTTTTCTATGATAGGTAAACCCAATAACTGGATTGTAGGTGCATTCTAGGTACTTCGCTCCCACGTCATTTTACTCCCTCCCTCCAAGGAATGCACACCATCTTCAGAGAGAGAGTTTGCATTCCATTCAAACAATCTATCTCTGGGATTTCCAATGTGTTTGTGGTATGTATGGAAATCTCAGTTTGATTTGGATATTCTTAAGTATGTTGATGGGTTTCCGCATGTATCAGACACCTGGCTGACCAATAAAAAGAAGCATCTTGTAAACTCCGCCCATATGTGGTCTTCACATTGCATGGCCTGGTCAACATTACTTCTGAATTTTTTTTACAACACTCTCCACTTGTGGGCTTTTTTAGTTCTGACTCTGCCATCAATGGCTTGGCCTTTCAGCTATCATCTTGCTGCCGTGGGGACAACATTCTTCAAAAATATGTTCCCCTTGCTATTTCTTCCTGCCTTCAACGTATATCTAGACTTGCGAACAATGTTTAACAGAGTATCACATGGAAGATTCCTTCACAAACTAATCACTGAGTATTGAGTGTTGGATTCAAATTTAGCTGAAGGGGAGCTAGGTCAAAACAGGGAGTTGTTAAGTGTAGTGCCTTAGTGGTCTATATGGGACCACTTTAGTTCATTGTATGTTGATGACCTGGATTGGCAGATACAAAGTAATGTAGTTAAATATGCAGATGATGTCAAGTTGTGGTGGGGGGGGGTTGCTGTGGAGTTAGAGGGGTAGAAAGGCCTTACAAGGAACTTAGGGTATGCATGTGGGCTGATGAAATTTAATATGGATAAATGCAAGATATTGTATATAGAATTTAAGAATAGGAAATGCATGTACAGTGGAAGCTGCTTTAGCTGGACACCAGTTAACTCCGGGTAAGTCGAACAAAACACCTAATTCATTTGTATTCTTACCTGTTTTAAATATAGCGGTTAATCTGGACAAAATGCTATGCTAGTCGCTGCTGCGTCTACTCACTCTCTGCCTCTCCTCTCAGCTCCACCTTCACGGAGCTGCCCTTGCCTGGTTCAAATCCTATCTCTCCCACCGTCTCCACTTTGTCTCCACTACTGGCTTCTTCTCCAGCCCCCGCACAATCACTTGTGGCGTTCCTCAGGGCCCTTCCCTTGGTCCCCTCATTTTCAACATTTACATGCTCCCCTTTGGTGACATTATTCCATAGAGATGGGATCAAATTCCACACATATATGGATGACACCCATACCTCTCTGCCTCCACCCTCAATTCCAGGACCATTGCTGTCCTCACAGTCTGCCTGTCTGTTGGGCATCAAGTCCTGGATGAAGCTAACTTTCTCCAGTTGAATGTCAACAAGAATGAGGCCCTCCTGCTTGGCTCCCATGACGCCGCCATACCTCGGGCATTGACAGCATCACCGTTCATGGATGCACTCTACACCTCAGGGAGTCAATACAGAACCTCCATCCCACAGTCCCTCAGCCTTACCCCTCCCTTGCCTCCTTCAAGATCTTCCTCAAGACCCTGCTCTTCGACCGTGCCTTCAGTCACCATTCTACCCCTATGTCCTCCGCGCTCCCCCCCTCCTGATCCCAACCACCAGCTCGGGTGCGGATCCCTGACTGTCCAGCATCTTGGGACGTCCTCCTGACGTGAAAGGTGCTATACAAATGTAATTTGTTGTTGTTGTCTCAAGCATCTCCAGGATAGAGATGAGAGGAGTCAAATGGGGAGGAGATAGGCGACTCCAGCCATTCACATGCAGCTTCAAGATTTTAGCGATCAAGCTGTCTATCAGTGAGGGTGAGGTGGGGGTGGAGGAACGGGGAAGGAATGAGGGAATGGGAGGAGTCAAATGGTGATTAATTGACAGCTGGAGCTGTTTTTGAAAGGGTGCAGCCCAAACATTCACAAGCGTTTCCAGGCTCTTAGTCACTTTGGAGCCACCACTAATTGGTCCCCTACCCATCCAATGGGAATGGTAATGGGAGGAGGTGATGCCGCTTCTTCTCTGCTGGACGGGAAGAGGTAATGGAACTTCGGTTAGCCTTGGACTCCAATTAACAGACAAAACGGCCAGCCCCAGTGTATCCGGCTTAAGCAGTATCTACTGTATATGGATAGATGTTGCCAAGGGGAAGCTGAGGGCAATTTCAGGACAGATACCAAGATGTTTTTCTTTACCTAAAGGTTAATTAACAGCTGAAACAAATGTCTAGGAAGAGTAATTGAGGTCACGATATGACTCAGTTTAAAATAAAAGGCTTGATGCTGTGATGGGAGTATAGTATGGTGGATATTCTGGAAGGATGAGATCAGATGGGCTAAAGAACCTTCTTCATTCCAAATAATCTTGTGACCATTTGACTTACTATAATAAAATGTCTTTAAATGTTTCTCTATTTTATCCACCTCATTTGTTTAGGGTTTTGAGTTGTTTTATGTAAAAGTACTATTTAAATACAAGTTGGAGGAGCTGGTTGGTGGTGGAGAAGAGGAGCCTGGGGTTCTCATTGGCCTCCAAGATTATCTTGGGAGTAGAAGGATGATTTAGTGGAGGAGAGGGTGGAGTAGTAAGTTTTGATGTGGTCCAGCCAGATCTGCTAAGTTAGATTTGAGTCAGGTCTGTCAGCAGCACGCACACGTGCCTTGAGGGAGTGGAAGTGGCTGGTGACCAGGGTGACTTGCACTGCAGTGTCCCACAAATAGCCATGAATTGATTGACCCAAATTTTTTTTTATGGGGTTATTATCCCTGGAAAAGTGATCTGCCAATTGACTAACAACCGGGTTCCTACTTACTGCTAGAGGCGTGTGGAGTAAGGAACTTGACTGAGGTTTCACCCTGCCTGGGAATCGAACCTGAGTTCTCTCGCTTCATTTACTTGTGAGTTCAGAAAAATCTTGATCTTGCACATTAGGAATTATATGATACTCCCAGCAGGATAGTCAAAAGGACAGCAGTAACTCTGTACGACCCAGAGAACACGATCTATTGGTGACTAAATATCAACTGTAATGATTGTATTTAAATGATTGCAACTCTGCATCTTTTAAAAACATGTTCAAAGAATATCTTGTATGGTGTTTTTTTGTAAAGCTACAACTTCAGTTCTTAATATGCCTGTGACCATTTGGGATACATTTATTTCTGTGTATTTGTTCATTTTACTCTATTTACCAACATTGTTAAATTTGCAAATATCTTTCAAATTGATTTTTTAATTGATTGAAATACCATAAATGATTTATGACTGACTTATTTTAATATCTGTCTTTAGTACTGATAGAATTCAAAACATTTTCTGAGATGCTGTACTGTTGTCCTACGTGGAATAAACATTTATTGACCCCCATCTGTGTGATTTTATTTCAAAGTATCTATTGTTCAAAGCTACTTTTGTAGACAATTTCTGTTCTGTTTACTGGTTTGATTCAACCCAATCTTGGATAGCTCTTATAATAATGATAATAATAATCCTTGCATTTGATATAGTGCCTTATCATGTCTTCAAGATGTCTCAAAATGCTTCACAGAATATACTGTAAATTGTGATTTAACTGTATTTATTTTGTGGGTGCAACGGGGCAGCCAATGGTGCACAGCAGTATCCCACGAACAGTTGAAGATTGGGTGACCAAATTATTATATGTTTTTTGGAAGGGATTATTAACCTCGGAAAAGCGATCTGCCAATTGACTAACAACCGGGTACCTATTTACTGCTAGGTAAACAGAGACGTGTGGAGTAAGGAAACTTACCCAATGTTTTGCCCTGCCCAGGAATTGAACCCGGGTCCTCTCTCTTGTGAGACGAGTGCCCTAACCACTAAGCTGCAGGACTACTCTTCCCTCTTGCATAGTTGATGAGTGGTATAACCTTGTCTAGTTCCTAACAAGCTTGTTGGAGGGCACCTTGAATGCCCGACTGTGATTTGCTGCAGTACTTCCTGCTTGTTAGACATGAATAATAATCCTTGCATTTGATATAGCACCTTATCACGTCTTCAAGACGTCTCAAAGTGCTTCTTTAATTAATTTAATTCGTCAATTAATTAAATTAATTTAATTAACTTCTGGATTCTGATCCAACTTCTGTTTTTAGTGGTAAATCCATGATCTAATTTGTTCAGAATAATTGGATAATCTTTTTGAACACAACTTCAGTGCTCAATGAACTGTTCAGTTTCCATTCCTGTCGATTAACTAATCAGGTTATAGGGATGTCCACATGGGCCATTTCTCTAGTTCCAGGTAAACTTACAGAATTTGTCAGTGTGGATACAGTGGGTTTGGGGTGTAAGAACAAGCACTGAGATCCTGACATTCTGCAATAAAAAGTGAACTCCCCCACCACCCCACCCCAGCCCACCCTCCCCCAACAAACTTGCAGGTTGTACGAGCTGCAAAATCAGCTATTTCTGAACGTTTGAGTCAGAACGTCCAACAAAACAGTTGCTCATGTGTCAGACTGGGTCGAGAGGTTGAGCCAACGACCTGACTTAATTGAGTGCTGTCAACAAAGTCGGATTACGTTACGATACACCTTCAAGGTGGATAGTACTGCAGTTGAAATCCAGCTGTGCTACATGTTGAAGCCCAGCTCCTGGGTTAGGATGCATACAAGGAGAAATGCCAGAATATCAGCACATGCATTTGGTTGCAGCTCTCTCCGAAATGCAGTCATATGTTCGCACTGAAATAGGAGAGCGCTGTCCCGAGGTGAGGATGAACCTGGTTCCGAGTGTTGCCGGAGGGTGAGGTGCAGCAGTGTCGGGGCGGGCGGGCATTCCTGGTGTCTGGCACAGGGCACAGCAAATTGTTAAAAATCCAGGTCCCGGTTATAAACTGAACAGAGACTCTCGTCTGCATCGCTATTCTTGTCTCGGTGACCTACACCGGTAACCCCCGCGGGAGGAGGTCACCGGCGACCGCCGAGTTATGACCATCGAGTTTCGTTTAACTTCAGTGCGTTCGGAAAAATCCTGACCTCACGCATCGGGAATCACACGATGTTCCGGGAGGGACGGATCAGAAGGACAGCAGCAACTCGGCACCACCCGGAGATCCCCCTCCGGTCCCCGACTGAATTGCGTTGAAACGATTGCAACTTTTTAAAAAAATAAATAAAAATAATGTTCGGAATAAACACCCGTTGGGCGATGAGAGCACTTGGACCTCAACGTCGGGACCGCTGATGGGGAAGAGCTGCGCCGCGTGGGTTCGGCGTCTGGGAGTCCACGTTACGAGGTGAGAGGTGAGAGCAAAGCCCTGAGAACTGCGCCTTCGCCACCAGAACGGCTGCGACGCTGTGGTGGTGAAGGCTTAAAACTTCCCAACCGGAACCACTGCCCGACCCGACCCGACCCGACCCGACGCCATGAGCTATTTCCTGGCGTTTTCCAGGTCTCACGGGGAGGCGGTGCTGTCCCGGTACCAAGTGCTTCGCCACGAGAAGCTGTTGTGCGACGTGGTGCTGGTGGCGGAGGGCACCGAGTTCTCGGCTCACAGGTCGCTGCTCGCCTGCTCCAGCGACTACTTCAGGTCCATGTTCAAGAGCCACACCAGAGAGTCGGGGGAGGGGGTGATCCACCTGCACCTGGTGTCCGCGGTCGGGCTCCAGCGAGTGTTGGACTTCATCTACAACTCCTGTCTGTCACTCTCTCTGGACACTCTGCCGCAGACCCTGGAGACCGCGAGGTATTTGCAGGTGGTGGAGGCTGTGCGCCTCTGCTCCCAGTACCTGATCAGCAACTTGAGTCTGGAAAACTGCTGCGATTCGGCCAACATTGCCGACAGGTACGTTCTTCCAGAGGTGCAGAGAAAAGCCGAACTGTACATATCGTCGCACCTGTGGGAGCTCCTGGAGCCGCGGGCTGAGGACTCGGGGCTGATGGATCTGAACGTGGAGTCCATGAAGGCGGTTTTAGAGGCGGATCACATCCCCCGCACCAAGGAAATCACATTACTGTCCCTCGTGCTCCGATGGCTAAACCAGGATGAATCCAGATCGAGCGACGCGGAACGGGTGCTGTCCCGGATCCGCTACGGCCTGATCCAGACGCGCGATCTCCAGCTCCTGTGCGATCGACCCGACTTTCCGCGGAGAGCGGCTGGGGAGGTGCAGAGCCTGGTGCTCAAAGCCATGGTCTACCACTCGGCAGAGAAACAGCAGCCCATTCTCCAGAGCCACCAGAGCTCGCTCAGGAGCCGGGCCAGGGAAATAGTCAGTGTCGGGGGCACCACACTGAACGGGGGATTCGTCAGCTTTGCATCGGCTTTCGATGCACGATTCAAAACGTGGAGGCCGATCAGCGAGTGCCGACCCGTGCAGAACCACTGTGTCTGTGTCCTGGGCAACTTCTTATTCGTGCTCGGAGGGGAAGTCCTCGAATTGAACGAGGGCTCGAAAACAGCGCGCATGTCAGTCATCAACAAGGTCCACCGATACGACCCCAGGTTTAACAAGTGGACCCCGATGGCTAACATGCTGAACAAACGCGCTCAGTTCTCCTGCTGTGTGGTAGATGATTCAATTTTTGCCATGGGAGGCAGGTGTGGGGTCGAGTCCTCGCTTCCTACCACAGAAGTGTACGACTTTACTGCTGGTCGATGGGATAAGGTGAGGAACCTGCCTCATAAGATCTATGGACATGCCAGTGCTGTCCACAATGAAACCATTTATATTTCTGGTGGGAAATACGACAATCAGTTGGACACAAGTAAAGAAATGTACTCATTTCACCCCCTGGATGGTCAATGGAAAAGGTGCCCACCAATGACTATCGCTCGATTTGGACATCAGATGGCTACTGTTAAAGACAGTATCTTCTCATTTGTTGGGATGTATGAAGCTTTCTGTGACATTGAGTATTTTAATCCTATTCAAAGGCAATGGCATCGCTTGAGGCCGTTACTCTTTGATCGGTCTTGTTATGGACTAGCCGTGATGGATGAAAACATCTATCTTATCGGAGGCAAGAAGTGGCACAATGCTCAAGAAGTGGCCACACAAAACGTGATCGTGTACGATTCCACCAGCGACACGTGGGAAGAAGTCTGTAAGCTCCCGCTGCCTCTATGTGGGAGTCAATGCGCTGTGTTGCAGCTAATGGATCTACCGGAGACTGAAAACCAATTCAATTTAGGAAGCACATTTCATTTTAAAAAATGACTTCTTACAAAACCTCTGAATAGAAACCTATGTGCGAAGAAACAAACAGGAAACCGAAAGCCTGTATTTCCTCAGTGCAGACTTCAATGTTGCTGGAAAACCTGGATCGCTCTGTCGTCCACAGTATGTCAGAGACAAGTCACACTAGGTTGTCAAGTGAAGCAAATTAAATGAGTCCCGTTTAAAAATAGCTTCAAAAGGAAATGTCTTGATTTTGTAACTAGTTCAACGTTGACTTATTTTCAAAGTTTAGCAGTATTGTTGGATAAAAGGCTATCGGAGTAATATTCCCATAGTTACAAACAGTCGTAGATTGAAAATGACCAATTTATTATTGTTTTTGGTTTTGGAGGGATTATTATTAGGCGTGTGGAGTAAGGAAACTTGCCCAAGGTTTCGCCATCTGCCTGGAATTGAACTCAGGTCTCTCACTTGCAAAGCGAGTGCTCTAACCACTGAGCTACAGGACTCCAGGAGTATAGATGAAGATATAAGATCATTACATATTGTACCACTAATGAATACCAGATCCAGCAACAGCCTTGGTATTCACACATTACACACACAGTGGAAATTTCTCCATGTAACATGACAGTATTTATTTAACAATCGCGATTAGCTTTTGGAAGTGTCTGAGGTCAAAGTTTCTGCTATGTAATAGAGCTGGGCCTTCTATTCTGTGACGGGAGTAATAGATTTTAACTGTTTGATTTAGTCGTGATGTTATGACTTTGCAAGGCTATTTATGCAATGATGCATTAGAAACTTATCACATTATCAGCTTAAAGAGTGGTGGAGCCGATTCGATGACAACTTTTAAGAGAAGCAGGGCTATGGGGAGAGATCGGGGGAGTGGGGTTGAATTGGATAGCTCTTTTTAAAGAACCAGCACAGACACAATGGGCCAAATGGCTTCCTTCTGTGCTGTATGATTCTATGATTATGTGAAGGCAGGAAGTGCTGTACAGTTTCCCATTTAAAAGTACTGTGAGGCTAAAAACTATTCAGCAGGTGGTAGTTGTTTGCTATCAGGTCACTTTATATCATGTTAATCAATTGCATTGTTAGTAGCTAACTGTTTTGAACAAAGATGTTGTTGTACATAGTTGTTTTCTAATTCTGCCATTCTGTAAAACATAGTACATATTAACAATACATAACTATGGGAATAACAGGATAAATGGGAAGATAATTTTAAAATGGACATTACTTTTGAATGTCTGAGAAGTGTCTACTGTTTATCTAGGTTGAACATTAAGACTAATACTAACTCACTAATATGTTTCAATGAGTTATGTTGCTAGTTTAATTCTGAAGATGCTCTTCATATTCCCGTAAAGAAGCATCTAAGTATCACTTTAACATCGTGAAGCTTAACTGATTTTACTGGGCAAGATTGTCTATTGAACTTGTGCTGACAAAATTTAAGCAGTTGTCATAATGTACATATTGGAAAGAAATGCACAATGGAACCTATTTGGACATAGCTTAACCGAATTGAGAGCACAATTTATGATTTGTTGCTTTTATATATTTTTGGAACTTCCAGAATAAACTATTCCCTATGAAACCTACCACGTTCCCCATTGCAATTAATCGATTCTGTTCTTCACGCATAATCCATTTGTTCTCTTTTATTACATATACAGTGTTTTATTCCACTTTATATAATATGTTGTACTTTCTACTTTATTTCCATTACATATTCTCTATTCTGGTAATGAGGTTCAGACATCTGAGCAAAACTAATTTTAACCTTTGAGTTATTACATCAATTTGAAATTGTCAAAGATTAAAGAACTAGGCATTTGTGATTGTGGAAGTTGTGGACTAGTTAGTTCAATGAATAAAATATCAAACATTTCAAGAACTTAAATTTATTTGACTACAGATTACCATATTCATAATCATCTTTGCTTGTAAGCTGATAACCATAAAACATACGACAAATTACATACAATTCATTGTTGTTGAAAGGTTATTTTTTATAACACAAGAAAGACTACTTTATAAATCCATGCTACACTTGCCACTTAATATAGAAATAATGCAGTCTTTGAGAATTTTTTTCAAAACTCAAAACATTAAATGCAAATCTTTATGAAGTAAAGTGCAAACCATACGCTGTTGCACAGCAACAGCTAGATCTCCGTCTTCAAAACAAGCTTAGAACTACATCATCTTTGAAGCCTGTAAACTACATTCAAAGTAGAAACTATTTTCTTTCTATCATACATTTATTTTTGGTCCATTACAAAAAAAAGTCTGTCACAATGTACAATACGACAGAGGCCGAATGCTTGGTGTAGGTCCACAAGTTGATATTTTACTCAAGAATTTTTCTTTGAAATAATGATGAGAATTATATAAAACTTTGCAATTCATTTCAGTACTCATGCAGTACATACACTTGAGTTTATACAAATATCCTTTCTCAGATGTTATAACTATTTGTCTCAATCTGGAATCTATACAAACCAAAGAGCATTACTGTCTGCCTGTCTTTCATAGATTAAATTCACACTACTGCTATTCTGAAAGAAGGCCACTCTCCTGTTCACCTATCATGAACAGAATTAGGAAAATATTCAGAGCTGGTCATTTTAGAATATCATTAACCTCGAAAAAATATTTTTGAGTTATTATTTTCTTTATAAAGTTCCCTCCCATTTACTACTGCAGATATATCTTTTAAAACAAGCTTGTTGCACGCACAAAAAGCATAACCCTTCAGCTCTCAATGCAACATCTTTGTTTATTTAAAGCCATAGCCTGCTGCAAACTTACACGGTAATTCATACCTATAGTGTACTAAAAATTCTGTTAGTTTAAGTGGCAACTGAAGTATGTGATTTACTTTGCTGCATCATTGCATGGACAATACTACACAATACTTATGTATAAGCTGCAGTCTTGCAGAAGCAGCAGCAGGGATGGAGGATTCTGATTAGTTTTTTCTTAAGCTATTATCACATTAAAAAAAACTGCAGAGATGACCAACAGTTTCAATCCCTTGGGCCCAATTTTTTTAAAACAACTGGTAAATTAAAGGAAGAAAAAGGTTCCTTTAGTTCACTCAGATTGACTTGTCTTCATACTGCAAAAGAATTGCACATTTGAGCCCAAGTCTTTTCAAGGTTCCAGTTTTCTGATGTCAAAACTCGTCCTAGTTATATAGAACTGTTTTTTATATAACAAACCAACTGCACTCACAGAATTCCGCTGCACTATTCTAGGGTTACATTCAGTAATACATCATAAATATGTAGAGACTGAGTGCTACATGCTATTGAGGACTTGTTTCTGAAAGAGATATTGAAAGTAGCAGTGATGAAGTTGGTTCAAAGTAAATGTGTTGAAAGTGCAAACATTTTGTTAATGACCTTTGGTACATTATTTATAAGTGTATTCCGCAAAATATTTTGTATAGCAACAGTAAATATGTTAAATGGTTACTGTTTTTATGTATTTGTCTATAAACATTCTCGCTTCAATGCAGTACAGTAGTAATATGGCATTGTAAAAATAAAGCTTAATTTTTAAATTTTTGTTGATCCTGGGAAAATGAATAGTTCCTATTCGGACATTAGGTGTCGGCATCAAACATGGTCAAGGTTGGAATGCAAAATAAAGCAATAATATTCTTCAGTTTCAACCTTACAAAAATCCCCCTAACTGTATGAGTGATATTTTTCTTTACTGGGGCAATGACTGCTAGAAAGTGGACTGAGACTGTCCAAACTCATTTCACGTAGAATTTGTACAGCTGACCAAAAGAGGACATAAAATTGGTATTTAACTAAATGATCAGTGGGCTAGTAGATTAGGAGTAAGACTGAGAAGAATATTAAGGTTCCCAGTACAATTTTAATTTAAAAAGGTTTCAAAGTTGAGTTCCCTTTACCAAGACAAACTTTATGTAAAGTGACAATGGTCTGGAGTACTTGTAATGAGGCCTCAAAGATGTCCAAACTTATGCTCCTACCAGCTCACTTGCATGCTTCAGCTGATTTCATTTAAGATGCCCAGTAGAATGTAGACACACAAGTGGTCTGGAAATAATCTCCTTCCAATTCTCTATTTAGCCTCTCACTAAGTGTCTGACCTTCCACAGCATTTTCCACAGAAGCATGGTCACCTTTAGGTGCTCAGTGCAACTGACAGTGAAATGCAATAATGGAACTTGCATCTTTTCATTTCAGTTTGGGGCAAATGGGTGCATCAATGCTGCATAACTGAACTCCATTGGTTTTGGGGGTCATGTGCAGTCAATCTGCAACAGTTAGCACCATTAAAATTACACTGTTTTTGCTGAGTTTTGAGTTAGCTGTGCACAATTATTTAATGCATGGATTACATATTATTGCAACAAAACTTTTATTTTAAATGAAAAGAGACAGCCTGGTGGTTTGGTCAATGAGATAGTCCCATTATAACATAGAATGGTTTGAATATGTGCGACAGAGAATGAGAAACACCAGAAATTAAGTAAAGCACAAAGAAGCAATATTCAAAAATGCCAAACCCTTTTTCAGCTGCTATGAATTTGTGACTCACTAGATATGCTTGAAATTAATATAATTTATGAATTTGAGTTTTTGAGTTTTAACAGCCATAAAATAACAATTATGCACAAAACCATTCCATGTTACAATGGAACTATCTCATTGTCCAAATCACCAGCCTGAGATGGTGAGGCCAAATATAGCAGCCTTACTGCGGCCCCAAGCTAAGATCAACTAACTTGGAACCTGGGTCTTCAGTGGTTCAGATATTCACTGGATAAACATGCTTAGCCACTGCGGAAGCCATTTCAAACTTTCTGACAACCCATTATCTTGTTCATTACGTTTAGGTCAGTTCACAGGATCAGTATATAATACTGCACTCTGTTGGCATTAGTTACTAATACATCGATGTCCATCACCATGTGATTAGCAGCACTCAGGATCCAGCTCATGATTCCCCAAATAGCAAGCAGCTGATCTAAGATGAGCTTTGAGAAATGGACTAAGCGGAGATGATTCTTTCAACTATGAAGGGAAGAAACAAAAATGACAGAATACCCTCTTGACCACCTCCTAGTCACAGAGTAATATCTGCATAGGTCTGGAAAGAGGTGGCCTGGCTGCTGTCATATTCAGAGAATAGTATATGGTATTGGTGCCTAAAAGATGTGAAGACTCATTAAAATATACTTTCTTGGAATGAGCTCTTTCACAACTAAAGTACACTATTGTGAAAAGTCTTTAGAGAAGCAAAATGTTTTTATTAGGGTGATGATGACTCCCCTATAAATATATGCAACACAAGTAAGCTTCCTCATGTCCAAAATATTACTCAAAGCCCACAAACAACTGAAGAAATTTGGAGTATCCATACTAAGAAAATACTTACATCATAACTCACAAGTATAAAGTAAGTTGTTGAAAATTTAAATATTTAATACAAGGTCAATTAGAAACTGTTCATACGTGGGTTTCAATATAGGAGTGGGTGTGCATCAGAGATGCTGTAGGTGCAGCAGATTCAGATGCACCATTTACTGGTTCTGTGGCAGCATTGTTCTGACAGATGTCTGTGAAAAGCGCTACATAGGTTTGTTTCCATTCCTGAAACTCTTTGGATGTCAAGCTGGGATTGTCTAGGATCCTGTCTATAATCGCTATTTCTCCTTCTTTCGCCTGAGGGTAACAAACAGAAACATTTATTATCAATAACAGAATATGGGCATATAACAGCTTTATTTGTGCACTAAAGGCGTGAATGCATTTATACTACACATTTTTATACTTGGATGTACAGTAAAACATACACACACGTTTCTGATAATTTTGTTTTTTCAATGCATGGCAATACATTGATGTGGCTACGTCTGATACGTCAGCTTGGCCTACTTTAGGTTCCTTGCCGGGCCGGCAGTTGGGTCTTTGGCCCACTACCCCCACTCTCTGGAACTCCATCCCGGAGTAGCTTCGCTTTGACCCTTCCCTCGCCTCCTCCAAGGTGCGTCTTAAGACCTGTATGTTTGACCGCACCTTTGGTCATCTTCCTCAATCTAAACCCCAGCTTGGGTACAAGCCCTCGACTGTCCAGGACCTTGGGACGTCCTCTCGATGTGAAACTGCTGTATATATGCCATTTGTTGTCGAAGAAGGTGGCACAGCAGAGGAACATGGTTCATAATTTTAGGTGGAGGCTGTAAATAAATAGTTCCAACCTACGGTCTTATAAATAGGGCTGTGTGCCTTTTGGGACTTTGCTATCTGAGTTTGTTCATTTTTAATCAAATTCAACTAAGCATATTTAGATGCACGTTATTGTCAGTTTGATAATGCAATGTTAATTAACTAATTTTACATGGATCGTATTCTATTTACTTTAGCGATAAATTCTCTTAAGATAGCATGCAGTTTTTTTTAAAAGCTAAAATTAAAAAAATTAAAATGGAAAGATTCTCCTTGCAGGAAAAATATGTTCTTAATTTGGCAAACTGACTCAAAGACTGCAGGTCAGCTGACGGAAAAAATGTCTGGTTGATGCAGCTCTTTTGAGGTTGGCTGTTGAGAATGTGTAGATAAATTATTATCTCTGAATTATTATTATTGTTTACTTCTTGAGGCACATTATTGAGGTCTTACTCTGCATCTAAAAGTGCTATACCTGACTTGGGAGTAGTAGGCTGGCTGAAACCTGATGGCACTACTCATGTAGAGCATAAAATCATTTTTTTCCTGTTGAAAGTAAAGAACTGTTGAAGTCATTTAGTTCTGATTGTACTAATTATACTTACTGAAGTTGAAAGGGTTTCAGATTCGACATATTAGACCATGAAATGCAATGGTTTGTGACATACTCAGTTTTATGATATTCTGTATAACTATCAACGTTATGTAGAGAATTAATAAATTCAACATTCATTACTCATAACAAGTGTGATACCTTAATTGTGCTCTTTAGAATTCGAAGTTTGTGTAACTGCTCATTGATGACTGGATTGTTGCATCGTTTTACAAACGACTTCTTGAAATCCTGTTTGGTGGAAAGACGGTGCTCTCCTAAAGGAGATACGCTGGCATTCTCCAGCGCCTTGTATAGATCTTGTAAAGAGTCTCCAGTTTCTTCTGGTATAGGTTCTGGTAAACAATCACATTCAGAGAGTTCAGGACATTTGCACAATTGGGAGCAGCCAGTCAGGGGTGAGTTACCATTCAGGTTGACAAACTGAAAAACACACCAACCTATGAAACTCCCCCCACTTACCTTTTTCCTGTTTTCTTGCCAATGCTCAATCATTTGTGATCTTTGACAAATTACCAGTTTAGTAGTTTTAAAAATCTTAAATTAAGATTCAAGCATTTTCATTGTGTGCGAAAATAGTTTTGAAAAAAAGTTTTATTGTTCCCCCAAGCAATTAATATCTGTTAAGACAGATCCAATACTATTTTACTATTTTATACTTTGAGTTGAACACCTGAGCAGGAAGATGTTGGTCAGAATGTTACATAGAGGCTCTTTGACAGATTTTATTTCGGTAATGCATTTTATAGGAGGGTTGGAGAGACAATAAATATTCATTTTCACTTTTTCCAAAGAGTATATTTCACCTTTAAAATTGTGACAAAGAAATGTTTTTTTAAAAAGAAAACTAAAATTTAGTGCCGGACTACTTTCATAGTAATGGGATACAATCATAAACTAGTCATAAGATGATGTTTGTGGTCTAGATAGCTTGCAATATGAGAAGGCAAGGTCATTCTCTACTTTATAATTAAATGACTGTTTATGCGGGATAATGGATTGAAACACGTTTTAAAAAGTCCACAAGCAGTTATAAATGCCTGTGATCAATATGTAGCAACAATATTTCTCGTCCAATTACTGTGACTAATGAAACCTACTGGCAACTTGTTCGATGGGGTTAGTGCCTTCAAGGTCATCCCTATTTCTGTTACAGATTTAGGGCCCTTACACATACATCAGTTATTTATTATCCTAGGCATGTTGGAGGTATTGTGATGCAAAACCTGAGTGGAATTAAAGATCTGAGTAACTGCTGCAAGCTACAATCCGACGTGCACCAACAGTGGAAAATAGCCCCATACCTCAGTGACTTCATGAGCACATGATTTACATGATTCTTTGTCCTCTAATAGCAAATCAAATAGATGTTTAATAGAAATAGAATACAGCAGCCAATTTGCACTGGGGTTTGATACCAACGACAATGTCCCACAGACAGCTGTGAAATGAATGACCAATTTTATTTGGGGGATTGTTGGTCAGGATACTGGAGAAACTCCCTTCTCTTATGAAATAGTGCCATGGGATCTTTGACTTCCTCCTGAACAAACAAATAAATAAATAATCCTTGTAATTCATATAGCGCATTATCACGTCTTTGAGACATTTCAAAGTGCTTCACAGAATATTCTGTAAAGTGGATTGACGGTATATTTTGTAGATGAGTCCTCGGTTTAACGTCTCATCTGGAGGACGGTACCTCTAACAATTTACCACAGCCCAGCACTACACTGGAGAGTCAGCATAGAACATAATAATCATAAACATTGCATTTGATATAGCGCTTTTCATGTCTTCTAGACGTCTCAAAACATTTCACAGAATATACTGTAAACTAAATTGATTGTATATATTTGTGGGTGAAAATATATACGAGTTCCAAATCCTGGTGTGGGGTTTGAAACCGCAATCTTGTGACTCAGAGGTGAGAGTGCCAGCAATTGAGCCAGACTGACATGACAGTAAGAATCAACTAACTTGGAATCTGGGTTTTCAATGGTTCAGCTATTCACTGGATAAACATGCTTAGCCACTGAGGAAGTCATTTCAAACTTTCTGACAACCCATTATCTTGTTCATTATGTTTAGGTCAGTTCACAGTATCAGTATACAATACTGCACTCTGTTGGCATGAGTTACTAATGCATTTGTTTTCTAAAAAAAAGGCAGCGAATAGAAAAAAGTTAACTGAAGTCTAGAAATGGTTAAATAGCTATTTTTAACTGATGACAAAACCCCCTTCTTGGCAAATTATTCCTAGAATACAATAGGAATTTAGATTTTTGCTTTCTTCAGAAGTTAATTAATAAAAATAATAGTAACTATGAAGCTCAGCAATATGAAGCACCTAAACATTAGGGTTTGGGGTTACGGGATTGAGGAAATATCTACACTTACAAGCTCCAATGATGAGCCAGTTAGGCTAGTCAACCCTGTCATTCTTTCTCCCAATTTGCATCCTCATCTAGTCAGATAATCTGTACCGTGTAGCCTTCAGTGAGATCATTTGTGCTGTGTATCTTTCAGATAATCTGACCTGTGTATTTTTTTAAAAAAGCTGCTTACAGTGGTACCTTGGATCCCAGTGTTCCTGCTTGTCTTTGGAAGGTGTATTACATTGGAAGTCCTTTCAGCCTTGTTAAAAAAAATCCTTGATTTTGATATAGTATATAATCACAACATTGAGACATCTTGAAGCACTTCACAGAATATATTCTTTTCAGTATTTTGTGGGTGAATATGGTAGCCAATTTGTACACAGCACTGTTCCATAAACAGCCATGGAGTGAGTGTGAAGTGAGTGACCAATTTTATTTGGGGGATTGTTGGTTGTGAAAAATTTCCTTCCACTCCATGGGGATATTGAAGTCTAAGATATGATGTTTTCAAACAGAACCTCTTAATAAGGACTGAATTGTAAACACAGCTCCTGGTAATTGGAACTCCATGCTTATATGATCTATTTTTGGAGTGGAGTTGCCATGAGTCTGTGTTGTACACTTTCAGTAACTAGAAGGAATCCCTATTTGTGACTTGAAAGCACTCATTACTAAATCTTATTTAAAATCACTGCGATTTAGACCTATTATTTATATGTGATTTAAAAAAAAGCATTAAAATTCTTAGCATTTCAGCTGGATTTTGTTATAAATTACATTTTAAAAATACTTAGATCTTATATACCGTCCTTTAAAACCCACATCTGTGCTATGACTTGTTCTGCCTTCCCATCCCCTCCGCTACATTGCCCGGCTCGACCACTACCTCTTCACTCGGGCTGCAGAAACCCTCATCCATGCTTTCATCACATCTATGCTAACTCCCTGCTAACAATCGGGAAAGTTGGATTTCCCAACTCTTCCCTCTACAAGCTACAGATTATTCAAAACTCAAGGTCCATCACCGCCATCATCACCTGGCTTCATTGGTCCCCATCCCCCAGAGGATCAGGTTTAAGATCCTTGTCCTCTCTTTTCAAGCCCTCCATGGTCTTGCTCCTCCTAACCTGGGTGACCGACTAAAACTATACTTAAGGGTCCGCTCGGCAGGCACTGGCCTGCTCCATCTCACCTACCCGCCTTCAGACTTTCTGCCCCACCCTCTGGAACTCCATCCTGGAATACTTTTGCCTAGTCCCCTCTATTGCCTCCTTCTAGGTGCATCTTGACCTTCCTCTTTGATTGTGGAATTTGTTGTTGTTGAATTGGAATGACTTGAGCAGCAGATAAGTGATGTGTATAGAGGTATGTTATCCTCCTGGAAATTCAAATACTGGAGCTGCAGAATGGAACTGCCAAAAATCAAGTAAAGAAAAATAAGAGGTCAAGTTCTTCATATCAACATTGATTGAGGGTGTAGAGAAGCCCTTAATCCAAATGCTGCCGGTTCCAGCAGGAGTAAGTTAACATTGCAAGAGGCAAAAATCTAAAAATATAATTAAATATTAAAGATTTGTGGAGTCCTGTAGCTCAGTGGTTAGAGCACTCGCCTTGCAAGCGAGAGACCTGAGTTCAATTCCAGGCAGGTCAGGGCGAAACCTTGGGCAAGTTTCCTTACTCCACACGCCTAATAATAATCCTTCCAAAACCAAAACAATAATAAAATTGGTCATTTTCAATCTGCGACTGTTTGTGGGACATTGCTGTGCGCAATTGGCTGCCGCGTTCGCCCACAAATATACAGTCAATTCACTTTACAGTGTGTGTTCTGTGAAGCGCTTTGGGACGTCCTCCCGACGTGAAAAGCGCTATATCAAATGCAAGGATTATTATTATTATTATTAAAGATAGTGAGAATCCTAAAAATGAGATCAGAGCTTGTTGGTTTAATACTTTGCCTTTCAAACCTTACCAACCTGCCTACTCCCTCCTCTCACCCGGCTAGGCCTGCTTCACGTTCCCTGCCCTGCTCGCCCCACCATTGGTCAGGGCATCAGCCTTTCTGCCCCTACTTTCTGGAACTATGCTTTGCCCCTTCCTTCACCTCCTTCAAGGTCCATTTCAAGACCTTTCTCTTTGACAGTGCTTTTGGTGATCTTCAAATCCAATCCCCAGCTTGGGTGCAACCCTTAACTCTCCAGAGCCTTAGGATGCCTTGCGATGTGAAAGGCCCCATATATAAATCAATTTGTCGTTGTTTATATTGGTCACCTGAAACTTTGAGATTCAATTATTCCAGACTAGGTTTAATATATACTTTGTAAATATTTTGCTGCTTGTTATTCAGGTCTGTCAGTGGTGAGTTGGCTGGTCTGTATGGTTGCCACTTGGCAACATTCACATGACATGACTAACAATAGTGAGGTACCTACTGCAAATTTATTTGGGTGGAGTTCAAGAAAATTCTTCAGCCAGTATATATTGGAATGAAAAATATGTTTCATAATAGATTTTCTGATGTGATAAGTTTGAGTTTAAGTTGATCACGAAAAATGTTGAACATTAAGTTCAATCTCAAATGTGGAAGACAATTTCCTGTATTTATGACAGCTTGCAGTCTTTTGCCAATCTAAATTAACACTGAATTTAGGAATTTTTTATAAGACTATATAAATCACAAAACTCCAATTTTACTAATGAATCTGTGCTACATCAACAGAAATGTGTTAAATTAGACCGATTTGTAGTATAAATGGCCAAACATTAATCAGTTACATTTCAAAGGATCTGAATTGTGTCAAATCAAGGTGCTCGTAAACGGTGCTGTATAACATTGCTCAATATTGCCTTAGTATATCAGCCTGGATTTTGGATTACAACAACAACTTCATGTGAGTTAGCGTCCCAGAGTGCTTGACAGTGGTGGAGTCTGATGTCGAGCCAGGGGGGAGGCG